AATATTTCGGAATGTTACAAAATTTTTGAGAAGTTTTTTAATTCGTATTTTGAGAATTATTTCATTAGTCAATATGTTTATTTAAATATTTCATATAAATAACAATATTAAGACTGTGGTATAATTTTACTAAAGAATAAGACTTACTATCTATTCGTCTAACTATTTAATAACTATTTATCTAAAGATTAACACTTACCCAGCATTCTATTAACTTCTTTTTCAGTCATAGTCGTCTTCGACGTTTTTCATGGCGTTTTCTGTAACAAATATTAATTATTAAACAAATTTCTCTCATGTATAATAATTCTTAGAATCTTTTTCACTATTACACAAGAGATATTCGATTAACACGCCGACTTGTATTGTTCACGGAACACTTTAAGGAAATTACCTACGTAGTCCCTTCGCTAAAACACAAACACGAGAACACTAACACCAAATGAAATTATAAAACATAATAATACGAGTATATGTTGTGTAACTGATTGTAGCATGAAATTTAAGTATTATTTTTCATTATATACGTAAAAAAAAATGTAAAGGTCTTATAGATTCACGTAAAGGCATCTCGACGAGGGTTGAAAGGCGGATCGCGGAAATGCACGACGACCCCCGAGGAGCGCCGATTGCTAAAACCGTCCAGGGCCGCGTTCAAGTTTATTTTGACCCCATTAAATTTATGTTTCACTACTGATGCGTTCAATAGAATTGTTGATTAGAATAAGAAATAAAAATACTATTTCTCGATACAAATATCTATAAATTGAATCATTTAGTTTCATATAAAAATTATAATAATTAATAATACTGTCATAAATGGACGTGTAAAATATATAAACAATTTATGTATTTCTATGTTAGAATCTAATTTGTTCTAATGATGTTAGAATAACAATTCTTTGTAAATATCTGATATTAAATACGGCCCTGTGCTACCCTGCAGTGAGGTCGTCGTTTTGACGCCATGTTTTTCGCGCTTGCGCTTTAATTTTCCTTTACGGAGCAATCACTAGCTGTGTGTACTCGTAGTAATTAATTTCTATTTGGTGTTGCCATTCTATTAAAATGTAATTTGATCGATAAATAATTTAGTACTAATAAGTAATGAACGAATTAATAATAAAGTTTTGTAAAAATAATTGTTTCTTTTTATTTTTTATTTTATAGTATATTTTATGTTCAATGCGCATGTCTCGTACCGTCGTCCTACTCCGAGAACATTGACAGCAGAAAGGGGATCAATATGATGACGTCACACCATTGACATCAACGGAATTGCACTTAACTTTGCCTTCACTATACGGAAATAAAACATCCAAGTTAGATACGTTTCGCTTTCCGCTATAATTATACCTTTTGCGATACAAACATTTATTTTATAGGAACCTTGCAAAATCGTCTTATGACCTGTCAATGTCATATAAAACCTTAAAAGGAGTTTTGTTTTTATATAAAAATCGTCATAGAATTATTTTTCATACACAAGTCATTGAAAAATAATACCTATTATTGAAACAGAAGAGTCTCATTAACGTCTTATATATAACTCGTAATATATTCTATGTATTTCAAGGCCGGTAACATTCCCCATTAGGAGTTCAATTATTATATGATAATTGCTCAGCCATAAGCATCAGGCATTCAAAACAATGGAAACAATGCGATTTCATTTGAATGTAACGCATCCCAGGGGAATAGCTTTCGTGACGAGGGAGTTACATGCATCAGTGTGGTGCTGACTGTTTAATATACATATTTTGTTTCTCCTACGAGGATTTATGCAGAGTGAAAATTTTAACTATACGAGTACATATAGGTATTCGATCAATTATTAACTTTATATTCGTAAATTGTATGTAAAGCAATTTGTGTAGTTGTTTTGTATTTTAGTATTCTTTTATAATTCTTTTTGAATCCAATCATAAAATCTTTGAAGAGTCATACTAACTTAATATATTAAACAATTTTTTTACTTTACTTTAGTAAAGCAATTTTTAATTAACATTAAAATAGATAGCGGATTTCATTTCAATTTTTCCTTTGTATATATTGTTTTAAACATACAACTCCGATTTAAGATTAAACTAAAACTTTTCCAAAAACATTAGTATCTACTTTTAATATTTTTTTATCAATTTAAAAATAAATTCCTGTAAATTTTTATTTCATGCCAGTTACTTTAAAAACTTCAATGCTTGTTTATTCTGTGTGAGTATTTCTAAATGATCAGATTCAATAATTAATTGGACTGATGACATTTTTCACATATTTTTACAACTACAACCTCTCAACGTCTAACAGTGAACTAGTTCAGTTATGACATCGTATGTCTTTGGTAACACACATTCGAAATGTACTATTTGAAATCGTAATATAATGAGGTAAGAAAACCAGTCTTTAAATTTTGTAAATAATAAAAATCATTTGTTTAGGACTCTAAGTTTAAAACCTATGCTGATAATTGACAATAATATCGTTTATAATGATCTCATTATGTAAACTTTTCTCTATATATGCATTGATATATTTAAAGCTGAATAAATAAATTATAGTTACATTTTAATAATATATATTTATTACCTTTATCACTATCAAAATACTGATTTCACGTACACTATACACGATAACTTCATCACAAAACTCACTGAACACTATATCGTAACAATTTTCACTAAAAACCGTCCGCCACACACAAAAATTCTGTCTGAATTAAGAACACGCTTAGTACATCGATATAGTGTTACATAAAACGTAAACAAAAATGTGCATACAACCGATATAATTAGGAGCCACTTTGCCAAAACTCTTCACACCTACCAAATGTATAGAATAAGACTCGTTTTATTGTACACATACGAAATAACTTATTGATACGAACATAAATACGATATTTATTTATTTTTTAATCAAGCGTTGTTATAATTTGTATTTACTTTATTAAATACTATCTGTGTTTATTGAAACGATTCGCGCGTACCGATCGGCCGTACGAGATTCCGAACTGTTTAATTTTAGAGCGCTACGCTTCGGCCATGAAAATCGCAAAGGTGTATGTAGGCAGCATTACTCAAGCTGATGAGCAATTCACAATGTCGTACGTTGACTGAGCTCTAGATTATAACGTTCAGAACATTACTTATAGTTATTTATATGTGATAGTTTACTTGCATTTATTTATTATATATGCATGTAGCCTTTCATCCGAAAGATAGTAATATAAAATAATACTTGTTGCTACTCGTATAACCTGTTCGCAATGAGCTTATCTATAGGAAATAATTGAGAATTCGGAACAAGAGCATTAATGATTAAGAGAATAGAGGTCGATTGTTTATCATATTAATTTCACAAATATAATTACATAGTATTATAATTATTATTAGCGTTTCATCCATCATCCTGAGTGAACATTATCCTTGTTCTCTGACAATAAGGCCACTGACTCCGAAGTGTACTTTATTGTTCCAGCCTTGTAGTGTGAAGGCCGGAGTCGAGGTTAGGATCGGGATCGGGATCGGAATTCGGGATTCGGGATACGGGATTTTTGATTCGGGATTGAAATAAAGGTAGCCTATGTTCTTCTCTGAAGTTCTTTTCATTTATAATATTAGTAGTATTCTCAAATATAATTATAATAGTTGCATTTTAAAATCAAGCTTCGAATAGTTACATCACTCATTTTTTTTGTTCATCTATCGTTCGTGTCGCATTACAGTATTTTAAATTTGTTAATACTTTAATTGAGCCCGACTTGGTACAGCTTGGCTCGCATTAGCTAACAATGTAGGAATTAGGACTTATATTTTTATTAAAATTTAAAATAATATTACATTTTAATAATCTTTCAATCTTTAATCGGAATGATTATTTTATTTTCTACTCTATACTTTAAATACGGAATAAAACTTATGGTTGAATAAAAAGTATAGCATTGATTAATTATTATCTATTGTTACTTCCGTTTCATTATTATGAAAATAAATAATTAAATAAAGAATATTTTTCCCAATATTTTTATATTAACGTCTTCGATCCGAAAAAAGTACCATTAAAGTTGTAGATCCTCAAAACCACACATTTTATTAACGTTTAAAATGAAACGAAAATTCAAAAATAATGTTAATGAAATTGTTGACTTTTTTAAAAATCTAGTTACTTACCGTAATACAACTCAAAAAATTTAAATAAAATTTTATTTTCTTGTTTTTATAGTTAATCTACAAGTAAAATAATTAAAAACAACCAGTATCAAAACCTAAAAAGAGTTTTCATTTCCATAATACTTGCTCCATAAAGCGTTTTCTACATATGTGACACACCTCACGTAGGTGTTACAAACAATACGACTTACGATAAATCGATTCACTTCATTTATATTGTTCTCTAGACTATGACCGAGTTTTCTTATCGGCAGTACTCCTTTAATAAAACTAATTAATCCACATTACGATTAGGCATTTAATAAGTATATTTTTATACACAATTTTACCATTCATTAATTGTTTAATTCATATTCTCATTGACAATTACGACGATTGTAAAGGAGCATTAAAATTAGCTAACAGGCGTGTTTATGATACCACTTAGATAAGCGTAGATAACACTTTTGGACATATATTTAGCAAAGAGGTGTTGAATAGCATCAATAAAGAACCAATAAACGTACATCGCCCCTTAATACATAGAGGCTAACTGTATTTGATTGGCAATTGGCATAATAATCTCCGGAGCACAAAGGGGCGATCTCTCTTCACTCTTGTATACTTAAACTGCATTCATATAATCATCTCGATATTAAACTAAGCATATATCATTGTTTCCAATATACAAACAGAACGGTATTATCTTATCACTTGACATTAGTCGAAGCGACGCGTTACTGAGCACACGCCTCGTCAGCAACCATAAATGTGATGTGAAAATATTAACGTGTATTGAAATTATCAGTGCGTGGTATATAATGAACTCGATCATACATAGCGAAACAAACGTTAAATATGACTGAAAGTTGTATAGATTTACCCGAATTGGAGAGATTGAGGTTTGTCTGTTTGCTAACTTGGATCGTCTGGACGTTTTGTTGCTATATTATCAGTGGCGGCTGTACCTTAAGTGCGCCCGTGCGCTGAACCACCAATTCAAAATATTTAAAAATTACAAAATATTATGTCATCTTAATTTTTAAATTACCATTTTAATATTTATTTTTTAAACATACAAAAAGGTATAAAAAATTTAATTTCCAATTATGGTCAAAAAGTTTGAGCGCTTTACTAAACTCATATCGTGCGCTCCGGCGAGTGCACGAGGACTGCTAATACATCTTGTATGAGACACGCATTAATACGCCTGGCGCGTGAGACAAAAGATAGTTCATAGAAATGTACCGAGTAACGAGTCGGTTCTCGCGCGCCGCACGAAGCGGCCGAAGGTTACCGAGAGCACCCGATGTATGACGTATTGAGCCGGCCGGCAAGGGGCCGGCCGAAAGGATGGGTGCTATGATTGACATTTCGTTAATCGTTATTGGTATTGTTTCAACTTTCACTGTATGCGTGACGCGTTAATTCGTTATTGTTTATAATTATTATTTCGTAATTCGTTTTAGTTTTTATTTCGTTTCTATAATAGAACTTTTATTCTGTACTGTGTTTTTTTATTAGTTGAAAATGAGTATAAATATTGATTATATTGTAGAAAATAAAAAAAATTTTCAAAGTAAAGTGAACATAAAATTGGCCGGGCCGCCACGGCCCTTTTTAAATTTAAAACAAGAGTGTAAATCGAAAAATAAAGCATTCATACGAAGTTTTAAAAGTGAAATGTATAATAGAAAGAAATGGTTGTGTGGATGTGAGCGTCTTAATACATTCTTTTGTTTTCCTTGCATTATTTTTGGCGGACAATCGATTTGGACAGAAACTGGAATCAGATTTTAATAAAAAGGTGATAGAACATTTCGCTACAGAAAAATGTCGTCGCATTGATTTAATGTACAAAAAATAAACATATTTTATGTCAATTGTTGTTTTTGTCAATATTTTAGTAAAGTGAACCACCAGTTCGATAACCCACCAGCCGCCACTGTATATTATTAATATTTTTTTTGAAATAGATCGACAAATACAGATGGAGTTGAAGGAACTCAAGCAAATCAAACTGAACACAAATGGCGAATCATTCTGGAGCCGGCTCTCGTTGGGTCCATGATGGCTATAAATCTTGGACAAACATCTCTTCAGAATTTTTACTTACGAACTGCTTGCACTGTTGACTTGGGTTATTCGTTTAATATATGTGATAAAGGGGTTGGAGAGGAATTTCGTGCAGCTGAGGTAAAAATCGTAAAAGTTTTAAAAAATTTACTAGTTCTTTCATTATGATATAGGAACAATATTACATATAATAGGAATCAATATAACTGATACAATTTTTCAAAATATTATTGTATAATGTTTTTTAATTTGTGTCATAATGAGGATTTAATATACATTTTACTTATTCTATATTCCAGGCAGCAAGCCAAGTAGTGGTTTCAAGCATAAATGTGAGCCGAAGTTTTGTTGGTTCACTTATCGCCACTATGGTGCTATTATTCGTGGGTCCATGGAGCGATTGTAGTGGACGTAGGAAGCCTTTACTAATATTACCCCTACTTGGGATGTGTGTGATGACTACTGGAGTGCTTTTGATGTTGACCTTCCCTGGTGCTGATACAAAACAAGTACTCTATATGGTACAGATACCGATATCTATGGGTGGAAACTTTGGCTTATTGTTAGCCGCGTCATTTAGTTACATCGGAGACGTGAGTATGAAGAATTTATCTCAATAAATAATATACTCTTATTGTATAAAGGTGTAGATATCGTTTATGTTTTATTGAGATAACTCGACCGATAAGTACGTTCATACGTAACAAGGAAGAGTCTAATCGTATCTAAATGAAATATTATCATTTAACTCGCAATCTTAAAAAGTGATAATTTCACGCAAATTAAATTTTATTTACGTATTACTAAGAAGAATCATAATTTTTTGGTCTCATTAGTTAGAGACTGTCCCGAGAATAGTATATCAATCATAAGAATACGACAAAGTATTTTTTATAAGTAATAAATATAGGCAAAAACAATTGTTCAGTCGTATTATTTAGCAATAAAATCTAGAATAAGTATTATTTTGTTTTGGAATGATTTGTTAAACTTCACAGAAAATCATAAAGTAATGACGATGGTGTGACGTCTTTAGGGTTCCATAACACCGTCATAGATATTATTTTATGCTATACGTCTATGTATTACATACATAATAATTTTAAATAATAATATTTTAAATAATTTTAAAAATAACGAATTACTGGGTAGGATCAATGATAAGTCCGTTTTTCAATACAGTTTATTTGTTCGTTTTTAGGTATAATCGGTTTTAATATCAAGTTCCTTAGACTTTATCAACAAAATTACTATACGCAAAATGCCGTGGCTACATACATATCTATTCCAGTACGGAATCCTGTGTTTTTTCGTCACGTTTATGTTCAACCACTTAATTTTTTAAGTTAATTATGCATCATAATTATTTGCATGTTCATTAATACGGCGATATTATTCATATATCTTTCTTAATTTGAGAGTCTAATGAAAATTATGAATAGCAAAATTTTAAAGTAATGTTTATAATAATAAATGAAGAAGAACAGAACTGTTCAATAAAAATTTACACAACACGATGATAAGCAAAAATCCTCGCTTTATCTATGATAGTTATCACATTTAATCATATTATGCCTAGAGTGAACCTTACGGGGGCCAATAATAAGCCAATAGTAGTCTGGGATAGATCATCCACCCTCGTCTTCTTTTATACGTCTTTTTCGTAATGCTGTAAACATTCTAGTAAGATATGGCCAATGAGAATGTCCTATGAATTGACTTATAGTTCTGCGGTTTAACCAAATTGTTGCAATATTTAGGTATAGAAATTTCACCTACTTTAAAGAAAGTATTTGTCACCTGATATTCTTTCCAGTTATTTAACTTGTATATGTGATAAATTAACAGATAGAGTTAGATGTCTTAGCATTGTTATGATAAGTAGGGATACACTAATAACTGAAGATTTCCTCTTTTTTGAAGCATGCCTCTGGGGATTTCATACAAAGGTACTAGTTTACTATATTTTTTGAACTAAAGAATGTTAATGTTAAGATATCACCAGGCAGCTCTTAAAGAACTTCTGAGTTACTAAATGACCTATTATTGTGACATCAGATATCATATTGCCTAACAATGCTGCTTTTCCAGGGTTTCATTTATAGCGATAAAACGTGGGGGAAAACCTGGAACAACAAATATGATTGTCATCCAAAGTTATACATAATGAGAAAAACTACTATAAATGCATTTTTTCACACATATCGAGAGTATTATAACTATTACTATGTTGTCAGGAATATTATTGCTTGGACGATAAAATTTACGCTGCGTGGTATTTTTAGCAGGCCGTAATTATATAAGCGCTAAGACGATGATCTTCATAATGACAAAGTTATAAATAGACATTTAAACAGACCAGTATCGAATAGTATCGAATGGAACAGTCTTCCTAACGTCTTCAGAACCATTCCAGTAAAGGAATGGTTAAAATTAATACCAATGTTGATTCAAAATAGTCGAGGTTGACTTGTTAGGATCTAGAAATTTTACTGCTGCCTTGAATAACCTTATAGGGACTATCTCATTAGTGAGCTGAATTATGACATCTGCCTCGCCATTTTGTTTTTGGGCAGTGATTTTGATACTGACCCAGAAATATTTTATCCTTATTCTTTATATGATCATAGCAAGACACAGTATTCAAAAAGTAATGGTCAAATTATGAGTGCTAACGTTCAATTAATTTTTTTCCCTTGTCAAGATATTATGTATGATTATGCAGATATAATTAAAATTTATAATTAATGTATGTGACATTTTCAATTTTTTAGCTTTGTCATGCCACCGGTCGTGATGTAACGAGAACAATGGGCACTCATCGCGCCGCTGTTCAATTCGCCCACGTTTTGGGAGCTGTTTGCGGTCCTTTACTATACCGCCATCTCGGATTCTACGGTGTGTTTCCACTTGTATTGTTCTTGCAGGTACAATTTATATTAATAAATGAATTATTGTTTAATAAATTATCTTCTAATTCACCAGATTTCTGTAACGCAATTCTTTATCCAGGTCAAACTTTAATCCGCAGGTTGCATCTCTCATTTACGTGGTGGTAACGGTCAAAGATGTCAATGTCAATCTTGATAATAAAGTTTCGGTTTTCAACTGGAGATTACCGTTGAATGCAATACAATGTTTGACTAGGAAGAGAGATGGCTACAAAAGACTTGTGATACTCTTAATGCTGATTGTAGCTCTTGGTGACAGAATGTTACTGTCAGGTGAGTTATCTAACGTCAAGGCAATTATGTCAATATTAATTAAAGAACCATTACGTATGGCAATATGATCGGTTTAAGAAATTTAATTTAAACCACTTAAAATTTATGTTTTCCAAGGAAAGAAAATTCAATTTCGATTTCGAAAAAAAAAGTTTATTATTCGTTGGTATTGTTTTTTAATTATATATTTTATTATTATTATCAACAAACTAAATATAAACCAGCAACTCACAACAGCATACTTTTTTTATAAAATTTTATAGACTAACTTACAACCAATATATCAAGACAATTTCAACTGACTCCCTCTAGTGCAATAACTTAGTTTTAAAAACTTCTAAAATACTTTTGTGAATCGTGCAAAGGAAGAGAAACTTTAGCGACTGGTTGGAGAAAATAAATCATGTCTTTATAAAGAAGTATCTGTTTCAGTTGTTGAATTTGAAAAATCAATTTTATATCAAGGTTTTGCATAATAATAACAATTTATTCTCCGATATATATTTTATACGACTAATAAAGTGTGGGGGAGGCGTAGGATTGATTTTAATTGTATTTAAATGTTTGTTTAGTTATTTTAATATTCTCTTTAAAACTTTATAAGGATTGTTGTAATTATAGACACAGCAAAACTAAGTAAAGTAACTATAGATTTGCTTCACAATACATTTGTATATAGATATACATATTAAATTTCATGGTTTGTTAATTAAAACGTTAATTAAACGGTTTCCATACATACATCTCTGTATATAAAAACATCTAAATTGCTTCAGCTATGAATAATATAATACTTGAACAATAAATAGTAATTATGTGTCATTTAAATATTACGACCTTCAAATTATGAATAATATTTATTGGTAATAGATACATAAACAGTTTTTCCTTTCGATTTTTGGACTTTTAAAAGAATGTGGTAGTCTAAAATGTATTTAACAGCAAATTATTGAATCCTTTAATATTATCAAAGGTTTTTGTGTTTATGACAGTAAATTGCTTTCAATATCTTATGACACATATATCTACATACAGGTACATAAACGATCCTACTGTATGTGTTTATGTCACTCAGCTCCTCCCAAAGAGCTGGACCGGTTTGAATTAATCTTTGAATGCATTTTGCTGCCGCCCCAACTGGTTTAAATTCACAAAACAGCATAGCAAATGACGTTGCATTCGGTATCTAAATTATGTTTAAAAAAGGCTGTCACGTAGGTTACAATATTTATTTTTTAACATACTTTACACATTTATCTCTAAAAGCAACTCTGATGGTAAAGCTCATGGATATGCGGGAAAAAATTATATAGGTACACATACATAAATATACTCCTGTATGTTACAAAACTAAGACTCCGGCTTTTTGATTACCGTCCAAAGTTCTTGACAATTATTTGATGTTGTTAGAGTTTTTTTTATATTCTGTTTTACATTACTTGAATAAATATTTTTTTACTACTGTTAGCAATTTTGAGGGCTGCTCGAGCCATAATTTTTATTTTTTAGAATAGAATTAATTTTGCATTTCGATATTCAGAATAAGTATCGTTTTCCCTTCTACCTCGTTGGTTTTGCTATTGTGTTAAGATGTACGAACTATATGTACTTTATTTTAAGTTTATATTTTACGCCGTCTAGTAATTATTACAAAATTCCTTTTATACTATATATGAATATCAGAATAAGTTCTCTAAGAGGCGATAACTAGAATAGTGAATTGTATTTTTAACGCATATGTGATATTATAAATATATAAATAATACGATGATATTGTAAATTAAGATATGAAAATGAAAGACTGACGATGCAAACTTGTCGTACATAAAAGCATTCCATACATTGAACTTGACAAGCAAGTGCACTTTGAAGCAGTGTAGTGCTAGACTCTTGACTACCTTTTAGTACAAATACTTGAAGCTTCAAATAATACATGATTCTTACGGTCATATCTAAGTAAAGACTTATGACAATAAACAAGTAATTACAAAATCGTCAAAAGTATTCTATCAGAGAATAAAATTATATAGATTTTTCTATGAACCAAAAATATATTTTAAAGTATTGTCCTTATTTTAATTACAACTTTTTGTTAATTAAAATATACTCTACGAACAAAAAAAAAACAAATAAATAAAGATAAACATAATGTATAGAATTTCTGGTATAAAATATTAATTAAACGGAAAAACACAGGGAAATCGTTCGATACTTCCAAGGCTTAGTTGAAACCGCTGTCAGATAGATTATGATATAAAAATGCATTCTTCTGTATCACAAATTTCATGTTCGTTTTAGTGTATTCAGTTCTATGTTCAGAGACTAAAATTCCTATTTGAATGAAACTAAGCTTATCGGATGGTTCTTTTTAAATCAAACTTAGTAAAGTCTTAAATATACATTATGCAATTCCTATTCTACAATAATAAGTTAGAATTTCTACAATGTTTCAGCGGAGGTTTTACTCTCCTATATGTACTACAGATACAAATTTCAATGGGACGATGTGATGTTTGGATCATTCCTAGCTTACAGGAATACTATTAGTTTTATGGGTAAGAACAAAAACTTTTTACTTTTTTAATATAATTTATATGTACAATCATAAGCAACGCATAGTAAGCTTAGTGAGATGTACCTTTCTATACTAGATTCTGTATTCAGTAAACTTTGCTTGAATAGTGAAAAGCAAACTTTCCTGTTGATTCAGAGTGATGTGGTGCTCTACGAAGACTTGATTTATTCTCTATTTACAGTTCGTTAGAACAGCTTGTACAACTCTTCAGATGAAGCATCATTTGAAAATTAATATAAAATATGTTGTATAACCTTTTTTGTGAAAAACTCTTTACAGCACAATTTTTTATTTTTATTTCTTTTTTTTCATGCATATTCGTTTAAATTGTTGTTGGTTACCCATTTACCATGGCAAAAAAACTGATTATTACTAGTTAATTAACGACCTACATCAACGACTAACTTCTATACCATCATATATGTAATAAAGAAGATTTTACCAGATTAATTAACAGTTTATTTTAATTTGTACTTCAATATATTAACTGACTGATCCATAAAGGTCACAATTTTCGAAACTTCCTTTATGTTTTATGTTGTCTTATATACTTTAAAACTTAAGTGCTTCAAAATGTTAGTTGTCTTTACATCTCGATTCATTTTGAAGTGTTCACTATCTTTAATAGAAATGAATTAAAAAAATAATATTAATACAACGGCTCAAGTCATAATTTAACCAAGAACTGACTAGAATTGTTACATAATATGGATTAAAAAATATATTTTTTTTAATCACCTAATGGGAGTACCAAACAATTTATATTTTCTAAGAGAAGATATAATATGCCACATCTTAAATTTTTTTTAAATTAATATTAATAAAAGATATATTTAAAATTTACCTCAAATATTATTGTGGCACTAGAAGTAATTTAAATTATTTTATATCTTATACCTGCTCCATTAATAATCCAATAAAATATATTTTATTTTTACTTTTTATAGCTTAATTATTTTCTTATTTCATTGTCGATGTTACGCATAAACTGGGGCAATCGTATTTTTATTTTTATAAGAGAGTTCCGCTCTATTTATACTAATCGTATTCCAGTTACTCAGCTATTGTTGTATCGGAAAATGTGGTGGGATACATAAAAGAAACGTGAAGGAAATACAGATCGTGCCCATTTAACTGAATATTTTGAGAAAATTATTTGGTTCAGGAAAAAATTGCATTAACTTTGCAAGAAAATCACATTGCTAATTTTAGTAACTAATATGAAAGGAACAAGTATTTTGAGTATTTTAAGTCAGTGGTGGCCTAGTGGTTAAAAGGCCCGCCTCTCATGCACGAGGGCGCGGGTTCCATCCTGGCCCAGCAAGTGCCAATGTGATTTTTCCAAGTCATATGTACTTTCTTAGAGTATGTATTTAGACATCACTGATTAATGTTGATTCCCAAAGAGGGTTGATGTCAGGCAGGCGGCCGGTCGAAAAAACAAATAGCCAAAACTATTCATAACACGTAAGGCAGACCCAGGCTATAGCTGGGAAATTGCCAGGTAGAAGAATGAAAGGAATAAGTATATATTCGTAATATCAAGTGTTTTGTTAAACTTTGGATTTTTATATAGAAGCGGGGTTAGTTTAATACTCGTTATAAAGATGTTAAACAACTGTTTCGTTCGTTTCGTAATCAAGATTTCGTCTCTTTAAATAGTGGTTCCTATATTAAAACCTTCTTATCAAATTATTAAATGTATTTTCTTTATTTCTGTCAGATAAATAATCATTATAATTAAATGCAGTAAAACTTGTATGTATGAGTGGGTATCCACTTAACGTTAATTTGAAAGATTGGGACGACTTGAATTACGTACCTTTTCGTACCATATACATTATAATAATTGAGTACCATATAAAGAATGTGTAGACGATGTTCATTAATTACAAGTATTTCTACAATTTTGAATGTTGAAAATTTTGATATAAACGCATATTTTACGTTAACTGTTATGGAATATTCGAGGGGATTACTTTTTTTTGTTCGTAAAAGTCGTTATATATTAAACTTGTACTGACCCTGTTATGAAAAATCATTAGTAGGTATATAATTTAATTGCAATGATAATTCTGATAAATACAATAATTCAAACATAAATTCAAAACAAATTTATATTGTTACACACATCGTTTTGTTTCTCCTTCAATCACTAATACATTTGCTAAAATTTATAGTTTAAAAATTGTGATAAACATACAGTTGTAAATTTAGAAAAGGGTTTAAATAAACAGTATAAAGAACAAAAAAATTCATAATAGATTTTACTTGTACTTTGAATATTTTATGCCATTTTTAAAATTCCTAACAATAATTTTTTTTTCTATTACAGGCACATTGTTGATCCTGACGGTGTTGAAGCGTCGTTTCAAGCTATCAGATGAAACGGTTGGAGCAATAAGCTGTGTCTCCTACATGCTGGCTTCTTCTTCACTTATAGCTTCCAAAACCACTTTACTCGTGTTTATGAGTGAGTTTTAATACTCAATTACATGGAAAGTAATACGAATAATATAATTTCTTTGGTTCTAGTATGATAAAATCCAAAGAGTAATATTTTAACTGTTTGCAATTTGTATACAAATTTTAATTTATTGTTAATTTTTAAAGTGAACAAAAAACAGATTGTTTTGAAAAAAAAAATCCTATTTAATTGAACTCAGAAGGTCGCAAACATCACCGATACCTATTATACATAGTTTATAATTTCATATATTTCAGATTCTTCTAGGAATAATAAGTATATAAGTTTGAATTTAAATTAAACTAATATTTTCGGATATACTGCGCGATTTTTTTATTTTTGGCTATAAACTACATACGTCCGACGTTCCGGTTACTTTACAGCAACAGTGATCACGGTTTATAGTAAAAAAATGGCGTAGTAAGTTCGAATATATTAGTTTCATTTAAATGAGTACTCGCGAAAATCTTAGACCTCATTATATAAGTTGCAATTGAATCATTTTAATCGAATTTGTTTATTCAGACTAAGCAGTCATTATTGGTCCATATGATGAGGATATATTCAACGTGTAGCTAATTTGTAATATAATTAGCTTAAACTAGCAAGAACATATATATAAAAATGCACAAAAAATAGGCTCCTTAATCATATTTTAATGTTTCCTAAATATCCATTAATCTATATTGTAATATTAATTTCAGTTCCAATAATAGGCATCATATCACAAGGTTCGCAAGTGGTACAACGGCCTTTATTGAACAAACAGATCTTGCCAACAGAACAAGGTATGTTAAAAGAACCATAATTGGTGACCAAACAATCTTTTCCGGTTTACATACATAGACTCTAAAGCCGCGATATTTCTAAAACAGAATCGGAATTACATTTGGATATTATTATAGTAAATCTATGAAATGAATGCTATAAAAAAAATTACGTTTCACACGAAAAAATTATCTAGGGAAACGATTCCAATCTTATTTCTAAATATTTTTTTGGCACAAACAGCACTATGACTTTATAAAATAATATGAAAAATAATGATCCATAATATTAATATACAATTGGAATCGTCTCATAATACTGCCTGTTTTATTTATCTAATGTAGTATATCATATACACATTTTTTAAAATATATTCACTTAAAATGATTGAATATATTCTAATAATTCGTTGTCATTTATCAAAACATCGACTTAATAATGTTTTTCCGGAAACAATTTCATCATCACTATATAAAAAAGCAAAACAATTTGTATCAAATATTTCATTAATCTATTATTATTATTAAGGCAACAGTTATATCTTTAATTGTGACTAAATTTATCAGATTTCATTGAAATTGATTTCCGAAAATCACCTGACTTAATACAGTTACTTGCGCAATATGTATCTATATTCATGATATCTTATCAGTAAATAGCAACTGTAGTATATTAAAAACAATAATTAAAGTCTAATTTCTAATTACTTACTTTTAGGTAAAATATACAGTGTTCTCGGCGCTTTGGAGTCAGCGACGCAAATGCTTTCATCTCCATTGTACTCGCTGCTCTATACGAAAACTGTTTCCACTATACCGGACGCGTGGCTCATACCTGGGATCATTTTAGCTATAATACAACTCCTTTCATATCTATACACGAGAAGACTGCAACAATTAATACCAAATGAAAAAAATATACCCCTACCTGTAATAAAAACAAACGAAAAGGTAGCAGATCTCAAGAGCTGATGTTGAAAATATGTTATTTAAAATATATATTCTTATACATTGGACTCGTTTTTTTTTCTACTCGAAATAACACCACCAATTATATATAAATTGTATTTTTCTCAGAATGCAATTGTGTATGTAATTAAATTCACATTAATGTGTTTTTTGTCTATTTTTAAAATAGTCTATGGATTTTCCTTATACGAAAAAAATTGACATTTCTCAATGAGATAGAGTTTATCAAAAAGACTCACATGCTGAAGTGACGTCATTTCTTAATTTTACGAAGTATAATATATATGCATTATACAATTTGGTCGTATATCAGTCATTTTTAACACGCTTATATTAGCTTGGCCTGTATGTATGTAACGGAAGCTTTGAGCACAATTTTCACCAGTTTAAGGATCAATGACAATGCAATTCGTTAAAAATTTCCCATTATCCTTATTAGGGCCACCCGAATTAATATATTCTTTTCATAGATCCTCTATGAGAGTGAAAGGGACAGAGCTAGTGTGCGATCTTCACATGTCCACAAAAAACTAAATGATAAATCGTACTAAAAATATAAAATGAATAATTATTTAAAAAAAAACACGCTTTTATAGCAAGCCGAACTAAAAACTTAAAAATATTTTTTAATAACAAAGAGTTTATATTACCATAGCAGAAATTTAAACAACCAATCATAGTTTATTACTTCAAAATAAAATTATAATAAAATTTAAGTTACAAACAGCATTATTAAATTCAGAGTGAAAGGCGTGGGGTGCATTTTACTACATTTCCATAACTTTCTACTCATAGATAGTTGCCAAATGAATGATTGTATAACCTTTAATATGTCAAGCGACCCACGACTTTTCACTCTGAATTTAATAATGCTGTTTGTAACTTAAATTTAATTATAATTTTATTTTGAAGTAATAAACTATGATTGATTGTTTAACCTTCTGCTACGGTAATATAAACATTGTTATTTAAAAATATTTTTAAGATTTTAGTTTGGTTTGCTTTAAAAGCGCGTTTTTTAGTTTTTTAAACTACTATTTTTATGTAGAAGGTAACGTGATGATCTGTTTATGTATATGTTTGATGTCTCATATATAAAAAACTTTCTATTATAATAATTATGTATTGAAAAAAAAAATTCAAAATAGATTATATTTCTTATCACTATGACGTTTAATCTTTCGTACATTGCTTATTACACAAGAATTATTACAACGTTTTAGTTTAGTTTGAAGATATAAAATTGATTCCTGTAGTATTATCCGTTTTTTGAACAAAATTAAGTTGAGATATGTTTTAACCTTCTATTTAATGTTAGCAACTAATTAGAAAAACATTTTTTAAGGAAATACTCCAACATTTTAATAAGAACTTTTTTAGTGTACTTTAACCTTAATTTTATAAAATCAGACAAATAAACACTCAAAAGTAATGTAAAACTTCAAAAAATAAAATGTTTACGATATCATCAGAACTTAGGCACATTTTTACCTAAATTAAAAATATGAATGAAATGAAACTATGTTTTTCGAATATTTTATTTTTACATTCTATGAAGGTTTCCATTACTCTACAGCAACCGCAATCACGGGCAGAGGAGATGAAAGTCTCTCTTTAAGTGTTGCTATTTGTTGTCTACGGCCAACGATTTCTTAATTTTCTATCTACTGCTCTTGATGCACTCAAAGTACGCTAATTGTGTCTTGAGATCTTTTGAATACGGACATGGGATTTTATAATTTTATAATGGGTGTTTACTTCCTAGGTGTTTGATAATAATTCCCTACTGCCTCGTCTATTGTTATTGTGATGTTTTATAATTTTGTTATGTACTTGTGTTCACCATCGAGGGTCTGAGGTTTATCAAACTAAATGTATTGGCCTGGTTTGTCCATTGTGTGTTCTCACACTGCTGACCTCAACGCAGGCCTATTTTTAATATGCGAGATATGTTCTTTATACTCTTAGAAAGTACATATGACTCGGAAAAATTACATTGCACTTGCCAGAATCGTGCACGAGAGGCGAGCCTATAACCACTAGGCCACCATTGACATAGACACCACTGACAGACAGTGAAGGAAAACATCGTGACGAAACCTGGACTTATAATTTCACAAATTTCACAATTATAAGTTTGAAATCATCAACCCGTCTTGAGCAAGCGTGGTGATTAATGCTCAAACCTTCTCCAAGTGAGGAAAGGCCTTTGATTAGCAGTGGGCATTGATAGGCCGATGAAGAATATGTTCTTTCACCCTCGTACCGATGCACAGTTACGGTCAAGTTTGTATACAACAGTTTGTTGTAAGGTAAGTGGTACTTGTAATCTGTATACTCAAGTTGACGTAATTTAAAAAAAAGCAAAAGTTTTATAAGTTTTTTTTTAGCCTTACTGTCCATCGACTGCTTATGACATCAACTCGAACTTTAGGAATCAATTCTTACGAAAATTATCATTCAGCAATATGATCCAGACATTGATAAAATTATATTATTTTGATTTGTTTTTAACTGTCTGCATCAGATAATCATTTCATATCAGTGGTTTAAATCAAAGGTTTGCAGCCGTAGCCGACTACACATATGTAAGAAATACGTAAGCCGTAGCCAAATATACGTAAGAAATACGTAAGCATTAGCTGAATATACGTAACAAATTGGATTGAGGAGGGGAGTACTTTGTTTATTGAAAATAAAAATTCGAAAGTTATCAATAAAATATTCGAATATATTATTAATTGCATTCATATTTGACTTTGTCGAGGTTTAAAGAGCCGGGTATAGAAAGGTAAGTAATAAGGAAATGAAATAAAATATATGAGTTGTCAGAATAATTCATTTTAGGCATTTTAAACCCTAACCTGAGGAAAAAATCCTAGTGGGGTGAATTTTTGTATACACCTTTATTACGGCGTTATTATGAAGTTGTGAAAAATCGACATCTGCTAATATTTGTGTTAAAAAACCTTTTATTTTATATTTACACGTTTTAAGAAGGATATTTTTATCGCACATAGATTTAGGTTTTTAGTAAACTGTATACATATCTATACTAAACCTCTGTTTTAAAAGAAAAAGAGTTTGCGCCTTTATGTGCGGCATACAATACCGTATGCGAATGCATTCTAGTCGCTTTAGCAGCTCTTTAATCCGAGAACCGTTAAGTTTACAGAAAAACTGCAAGCCACGTTTTTGTAGACAATTTTATGAGGAACAATTTTTATAATCACCTCTTAAGATCTCCGAGCAATAGATCGCGAAATATTTTCAAAAAACTGATTTTCGTGATTTTTGACCTTTGTAACTAGTATTTTAGCCGGTACGATATCGATGTCGATTTTTCACAACTTCATAAGAACGCCGTAATAAAGGTGTATACAAATTTTTTCCCCAGATAAAACCTAAAACGACAAGACTATAAATAGCGGGTTAATTTAAAGCACTGATAGTTTTTACATTCCATAATTTTACTTAAATCATGATAAGTAAACTGCTAGATTAAACTGTAACAAATCGTTTTTGTTCTACTTATTATACTTTCACCTTGTGGTATTAGATATATTCACATTACGTATAGATATATAAATTTAAACAAAAATTCAAAATCTAAATGTAACAAGAATATTCTTCAAAATGAGCACTTTTTGACCCAAAAATCTCTTAAATATTTGTTACAGTTTATTCATAGTCCGCAAAATAATAAAATATTTTTTTGATATCGATTAAAAAGTGTAATTACTTAGTCATATGAAGACACATTAATCACGTAAACGATTACACGATAAATTAATGATGTAAAATTGCACAATATTACTGGACACAAATATACTTTAATGGGTGGGTGGTTGTTGATCCAATTACGAAAGATTTTTATACATACACAATAACTATAGAAACTAATATAGGTTTAATTTCATTCCTTATTATTGCTATGGCTTCGTTCGTACTAGAATCGACGAATATTTTGCTTGGGTCAACGTTTTTTTCAGTTGGATGAATTATAATTTTGAGTACTATGTGGAGAACACGAAGGAGTTTGTCGAATGGAGTATAGGCGGTAATTTTTTTTTATATGTAATGAATACTCTAGTTCAGTGGCGGCTGGTGGGTTATCTAACTGGTGGTGCACTTTACTAAAATATTAAAATTAGAAAATGCAACAAAAAACGAATTGACATAAAATAAGTTTATTTTTTATACATTAATTAATGCAACGACATTTTTCCGAAGCGAAATGTTCAATCACCTATTTATTAAAATCAGGTATTGTTTGTATATATTTTTTTTATTCAATACTAAGCACAGAAAGTGCATTTAGCAAGTGCATGGTATTTCGGAGAAAAGTTTTATTCTTTTCAATTCCAAGTCGTCATACATCGGGTGCTCTCGGTAACCTTCGGCCGCTCGTGCGGCGCGCTTTTATGACTTTTATTTCAATTTTTTTTAAACGTTTAATAAAAAAATTTTGACAAAAGAGTGGCATTAAAAAATTCAATCATATTTCTTTTTATATATTGTGATTTTCAGACAATTCACTTTTTATGTTTACCTATATATAGAAATTATTTGTTTTCTTGTTGCAATACTTGAACAAACTTAAAAAATATACTACAAAATTCCTTTTGGTTAAAATAAAATTGATCTTTTAATTATTTGCATTTTAAAATAATAAAAAGACGAATCTAAAACGTTCAATAGATAATAACAATGAATTCTTTGTTAACTAGAAAATAAATGATGCGTAATAATTGACTGTTCTGTAAGTGTAACAAAAACATATATATCTTAATTCTAAGTAAACATATGTTTATCTATTACACACCTTTTACCACACAAGTTGCTTCATTGAAACGATAAATCTTGCGTGTTTATTAGTAATGTCCCGGATATTCGTATCCGCCAATATTCGTTATATGTATTTATTAAATCTTTTTCGTTATTACTTCAAGGAGAATTAATAAAAAAATCTCTATAAGGGATGTTTTAAAATTTAATTTTTAAATGAAGAGTCAAATATCGATTATTGTTGAAGGTTTTCTCTCAAAGACACCGATTGAATAAATTAATTAAAATACATATCCGTAACCCTGGATCTTGACAACAATCCCAATCCACAGATATTTGAATACAATTCTCAGTTATTATTGCTTTTTCCACTACGGCTAGTATGTGTCATATTTGTAACCACCCGTGCTATTTTTAGAATAGACATTTTAATCTCGCAATCTAAGATATAATGAACATTGGTCAGACTGTACATAGATTGATAAGTTACCATATATATAAAGATCGATAAGTTCTCGATGACAGATTATAAGTTGACTACATACTAATAAGACCCCCCCAGGAAAAGTGGTAAAGAATATTTCAAAGAATTCATTGATTCATACGTGAGTATTTCTATTGATATATACTTTAAAGGAAATTTAGTAAACCATCCTCGTAATATTTTTTATATCTAAACATATATAAATTTTAACAGCAAAATGCAGCGACCAATCAACAATCCTTCGATGAGAAATGGAGTGCCAACTGTTAGTAACATCGCGGTGGCCAATTCTTATGGACACAAGCATATCCCCGTGTTTGATCCTTGCTTCAACATGGCTCCACCTGTCTTCCAGCCTAACTCCTGCTTCATGAGTGCCTCATACCTCAGAAAGATATGCCCTCCTACACCACCGCAACGGATACGATACGACCCTTGCTTTAACTGAAACATTATTTTTAGTTCTCGGAAGCGAATCTCGAGTTTGGATTAATAATTTTGGAGTAATTGTGAATAATTGTGGAGATATTTATAGGACAGTGTTATTTTAATCATGCCAGTGCTGTGTAACTACTTTTGAGGTGGTAATATTTAATTGATTTATTGAAAGAGTCTCAAATGAAAATAATTAAATAAAGTGTTCTTATTTTATATTTGCATCTACTTTTATTATTACCTGGGTTAACATTAAAGTTCTCAACGCAGAAAGAGAATTTTGCTCCAAATATACTATTGAGTTATTAATTTTAAAATACTAGAAAGAAAATTCTTCCAAAATTAAGTAATAATATTTATTATATGTATGTACTGACGTTAAATTATTTTTAGGTGACTTAAAAAAAAATAACATTGAAAATATAAAATTCTGTTTGAGGGACTTTATTAAAATATCTGAAATGAAGGCATAAAAAAATCCTTCAAATTAAGACCTTAAATATAGAGAAGTTCTAGAACATTAAATAACTATAATCTTTTAAAACGAGTCAATTGGGGAAAGAAAAAGTCAGGAACTAATACGGTCTTGTAAAACCGAAAACCTGGAATGCACTACTTATATTTATTGTTGAGCTTTAACAGTGCCTGGGACTTGCGACCCAAGTTTAGGTTTAAGAGGCCTCTGTCCAAGATCCTCTCTTTACCTAACCAAATTTGGTTTGGCAAATTTGGTTTGGCAAACCTTCTAGAGCTGTCTTGGAAGTGAGCTCCAAAAACGAATTGATGTTGGTTCTGGACGAGTCCAAGTCTTTAATAAAAAAGATTTAACTGTTATGTCTCTTGCTCCCTATTTTACACCTTACAAATCTGCGATAAAACTACTTCCAGTGATTACGGTTCCTAAAAAGTAGCCGAAACATCGGGAATATATAGTTTTTTACAAGAATAAAGCATGCGAAGTATATCCGAAAAATAATAGTTTCATTTAGCTCGAATTACATTTTGACCTTTATGGGGATGTTAGTTTCCTAAGGAATCGTAAGCTCTATTAACACAACGTTCTTTAAAATTAGCGAATACAGAAATATGATCTGGAATTGGGTTTTTGAAAAAAAAAAAGTATTGATTTTTTTTATGTATTTTAAAACTTTATTATTAATTATATTGGATTTTTAATGCAAAAAACTTGAAATATATTTTTTAAATTAATTATAAACAATTAAAAATTGATAAAATTCAAAAATATATCACGTGACTGTAAACGCGCCATGATTGGTCAGCATACTTGTGACGTCATAATGTTAAAGCAATTTCATAATAGTACAGTGTTTATGGCTATTATCTTTAACTTGATAAAAATATCTCAAATTTATTAGTGAAAAACGATTTGAAAAGTTTATTTCGACTATGTGTGATAAAGGATTTATAAAAGCAAAATCGGATAATATTCCTGATGTTAATATATTTTTATGATAACTAATTTTTTAAAAAGTGCGGTTTAATTTTGCTGAAGTTCGAGGTGCTAAGACATCAAGGTAAGTCTGTCAAAAAAATACTATTCTAAATGAAAATTAGTATTTATTCTCTATTAAATATAATTAATAATTATTTCATTAAATCATTATTAATAAAATGTTATTATAACATTATAAAAAAACCAAAATAACATATATGTACTTTAAAAATTTAAATGTAGTCTGATACAGAACCTAGAATGTTATAAAATTATGAAAATATCTATTAATTGAAGTCCAATTATTAGACAAACATATATATAGATTTACTATTTAATCGCTTTGAATTATCAATTAAAATTTTTTAATGCTACGATTCTAAAGGTTATGATTTGGAGCCCAGGTAAAAAAAATTAATTATTGAACTATACTTATTCGATTTATACACTTAGATAAATAATAATTAATAACAATACTATTATGAAAACTTACAACGAAATGATCTTCACAACAAAAAAAAATGATTTTGTTTTTGAATAATCTCGATGCACTGCTTGAAACCATTTCTTTCGACGTTTTTCGTCTTGTGGAACATTTAAAAACATTTTTTCAGGAGTTGTTTTTTGTAGTCTTTGTACATAATGGTACAAAACTTTTGATTATTTAACAATGCCAACAGAATTTACTAGATAAAAACTCAAACACTGTACTAATTATTATATCTCTGTATGCTACAATGAGCAAAAACTAACATTGTGACGTCACACGCGCTCGGGTTTATTCACGAGCTGTCGGCTTGTCTTCGGTACTGAATTTAAAATTTAATTTTTATTTTGAAATAACTTTTTAAATATTGCAAAAAAAAATAAAATAAAAATAGTTTTGTTATTAAACTTATATATGATCTTTCCATTTATCACAAAAAAAAAATAATTCAAAAACCCAATTTGGTTTGTTTTTTAATAGTATGTAATAAAAATTTCACCGACACGAAGAGGATTTAAAACCTGCAACCTCCGGAATATCGCTTTCCAAGTTCTAGTTGAGCCAATCGTTTTGTTATAATTTAATATTCATGTTAGCACCTTTACAATGTTTGTTTTATATTGGAAATTTTAAATAGAAAACATTGACTAGGATCTTTACAAATTCAATAGATATCACATTTTGTAATGGTGTGACGGTTAAAGATATAGAATACTCGCTATCTTCATTCAATTACGAACTAAAAGCCTCATCAATAAATTAAAATACGATATTAGGATGGTTTAAGTTTCGAATTTTGTGTCGAATAATGTTTATTCTAAATTATCTAATTTTAATTTTAAAATGAAGATGAAAAGTAGCCATGTTTGGTTCTACCTATTCTATTTTTAGGATAGACATTTTTATCCTACAATCTAAGATAGAATTCAAATTTTATCTTTATCGTGATCAAATAATACGTAAATTGATAAAGTATCCTTATGTATTAATTGCATCAAAGTCCAATAACAGTCGATTTTATCATTCCAGTAAAAAACCTTCAGCAGTAACCCATAACAATAACGCGACTAGTATGAAAATGAAGTGAAAGTCATTGAGTAAGTATATTTTATAATGATATGTAACAAACCTTAAATGTATTCTAAAAGAATATTGTAAAGGAATTGAAATAAAACAAAAAAGGATCCTTACGATTGATCCTTTCTTCAATATTGCGCCTAGTCTTCCAGTATATCCCTTGCTTCATGAGTTCTCCATACCTCAAATAAATCACTCTTCCTACCATAAACCAACAGATACTATACGATCCTTCGATAGGTTAGATAGGCTATAAGTATATATTGATCGCTAATATACCATTTTCCTAAACTCTCACTGCCGGCAGTGACGTTTGCCCAAATCTGACATCAGCATTTCAAACACAACCGGGTCAATGTTTACTTTGCAAGAAATATTCTCCCGAAGTAAAGTACGTGGCCATTACTACAAGGGCCTTATGTTTAACTGCAGCTGCGTCATCATTTGACTTAATTAAACAAATGAATAAATTTAAGACGCCGAGGTGTACCTTAAGAATCTCTAAGATGGCATTTTGATTCATATTGTGCTTAACGAGCTTCCGCAATAGCGTTTTGAATGTTCTATACACAACTGTTGCTATCCTATTTCAAGAGACTTAACATTATCGCTTTGATAATGCTAAAAATAACATCGAATTTTAATTTTCAATTTCCTGTCATAAATCATCCGAAGTTTATTATCACTACAGGTCGCGTGTTATTTTTGGTCATGATATCATTAAAGTAAGTTGTTGACACAACAAACATAATTACATATTATGATGTACGATTATATATTTATTCTTTGTACCTATTTATTCAGATACTCTTTTATTTGATTTATTATCCATATTTGAGAGTAAGGATACAAGAAGGTTTAAGAAATTACATTTTTTTATGTCAAAGGGGGCAAACGAAAAAACGGTGAATTTAATGGGAAGTAGTAACCGTCGCCCATAGACGTCTGCAACCATTCCTTATTTTGCAGATGCTTTGCCAGCCTTGGTTGTTTAGGAAGGAAGAAAGGGAGGGAAAAGAGAAAGGGCAATCGGCTCTCTCACTCATGTGACGAAACGAAGCTATTAAAGACTACTCCACGTCGATCTTCTGTAAGAGGGTGCTACTTTCTGGTCGTGCTAGCCCATGTTCAAGTTGCAGTAACTTGATCATAGCTAGGCTATGCCACCTTAAAGAAATGAATTCCACCACACGAATATTACCACCTTTTAAAATACATGGCAATTGAATTACAAGAGGAATGTAATTTAAATAAAAAGGTATACTCGTTATCTATGAACTGAAATATAACTTTTGCAAAGTTTATCATTCTATTTATATTTAAAATACAACAAAAGAAAATCCTTTGCATTAACAGTTATCAATTTTTATTGCTTATAAGTATATTAAGTCGTTGAATCGTTTATATATTATCTGTCATGATTGTCATATCCTGTGCTATTTTTAGAATAGGCATTTTTATCTCACAATCTAAAATTAAAAACAAAGAATAACAGATTAGACAATACGTATATTTATAGAGTAAAAATATATTTATGTATTATTTTGAATTACATAGAGGCATGCATATATAAACAGAGCCCGAAAATTATTTACATAACTGATCTGAAATTTCCAAACACTGTGAATTTGTTGTTAGAATGCGTAAGAATATACCTTTCACGAATAGCATTTTTGATCTTTACTATACTCCCACTTTTGTTCGACTGTAATTCGACGTGTTTAATAGATAGGCGATAAAATTCGAGACGATGTTTTAATGTTATTTATTATGTATTTAGTTGAATCAATTACATAATATTTATATCGAACTTTGTGATGATGCAGTTTTAAGTATTAAAAACTTTAAGACCCATTTTCATGGACGCATTAATTTAATGGATCCTTGCTTCAACACGTCAGCCTTTACTGAAACTCCTGTTCTTGAATTTTCCTTCGCCATTACTTAGCAGGATCTGCCATACTTTGAAACACTGCGACTATTGCTTCAACTAAACCTTTATAATAATCTTATCTTTTATTTGGATATCATTATGAGCCGATTCTTAGAAACATATGTATGAAGTTATTTATAGCACGATGTTATCTACGTCATAAAAGTTCACTGTTCTATAAATACTATTAACATAAAAATAACAAATAAATATATAAGTTTTTTTTGTTACGTGTATTGCTGTTATCCCTGCGGCTTTTACAGCGTCACCGGAAGAGAAATGTATAAGTTAATTTCTTAATGCTATGCTTAATGCTATTAACTTGTTTTTTATTAATATTTATTAAATATTTACTAACAAAAACTTGTCTTATATTAGTTTATTCGTAAGTATATTGACTTAGTGGTCGGAGGTAAAAATCTCTTTACATAAAGTAGGGTTCAATCATAAGTATATTAATGTTTAACTTTAAAATTACAAGTTCTCTCAAAAATGCCGTATTTCCTGTCTTCTAAACTAGTGAGGAAAAAAGCCGAAAATACTATTTTGTGTATGTAATTCTGATCTTATTGTTAGATGTTTATCTCTGATACTATTTATTCTTCAGAGATATATTAGGTACCGGAGTATGTTCTCACTTAATGACATAATTGGATTGTTTTGAATTTAATTCAACTATATATATATTTTATTTCATTATCAAATCATTATTTGTTTTGGGCGTCACAAATAAATTGGAAGTAAAATATTTATCTGCCTTATTGCGAAATATTTGATAAAAGGTATAAACGATTACCTATCTTTACAAAATTAAGTCATTGTTTGTATTTTTTATATATAACTTATATTATTTGTAATATTTGTTACAATTTTTTTCAGTTGTATAGACTTTATACTCATATATTATGTCAGATAAATTAGAAATAATATGACGAACAGATAGTATATCAATTGAAAAATCATATAATCGTTTTCAATAACAGATTAGAAGAGGAAAACTTAATAATACGAACTAAAGAAAAAAAAGATTTTTATTTGGATAGACTTTGATTTACGTGTGTGTCTATAGATATGTTTTCCTTAATTAAATATAATAATTATTAAACAGATATGATAACAATTAATTGGAAAAGAAAATGAAATAAATAGTACTCATATTTAAATATCTATAAAGTAATTTAATAGATATTTCAGAATCCCATAAATAATTGCGAAGTATAATGTGGACAAGAAGTGTTAAGGAAATATGTATTTTCTTAAGGAAATCACCATTGATCCTTGTTTCATCGTGTAACGTAGAGATATTTTTTTTATGTTATTTTTATATCGTGATTTTTTTAATACATTTTTTGATACCATTACATCGTACTTTGATTATTTAATGAAATTCTTACATATGTAGTTTTAATAGCTTTTTTCCTTTATAACATTTTTTATTTTTTACATAAATTAAGAAAAATCCTGTATTTTTTAATCATGTTTTTTTTTACATAATTGAATGTCTATTATTTTTATTAATGTAACTCTGTTAGTCGTTGATTGCCTATAACAAATTGCATGCTGTAATTACCTGTAAGTAAAAGAACAATCGAAATGTATTACTAATATTACTGCTGTACACGAATTATTGTATCCTTTGTTGGTAGTTCTAAATAAATAAATAATCAGATTTAAGATTTTCGCGAGTATTCATTTAAATTAAAGTATTTTTTCGGATTAAGTACTACGCGTATTCATCTGGGATCTCATCTGTCCGTGATTACGGTTGTTGCAAAGTAACCATACCTAACGTCTCGAGTATGTAGTTTTTTGAAAATAGCAAAATACACTAAATAATCCGAAAATATTAGTTTCATTTAAACGTAGAGATGCAATATCAATTGATACTTATAAATTAACATCTTTATAATTATTTTTAGCATTGTCATACAAGAAAACAGCTGATATAAAATTTAAGTAATGAAACGTGTACATTTATGAAGAATGACAAATAAGAACTTAAAAATTAAGTACATTCTTGCTAATAATCAATTATTTCTACCAGCAATCAGACTTGTTAACTTATGTCGATATTATATAGAATTTTCATTTATGGCGATTGCTAAATCATAATTACAAATTTACTTACTATTGCATTGTACACGAATTATTCGAGTACATCAATCAGTAGTATGAATAATAACCATAATAAAGTAAAAGCTTACATGGAGTAATTCCTACATTTTGTATAAAGTGTAAGATTTATTTTAATAAAAATAGTTCCAGAGCACTTTAGGTTTTTCTTCGGTCTACCATATAAACTCTTATCTCATAAAATTATTTAAATATTTAACTTATAACAAGTTGTATGATGAAAATTAAGGTGTACCTATTTTGATTGGAAAATAAAAAAATCATAAATAAAGCTACGTTTTAGGGAAATTACTACTAAAAAATACTTTTATATCTTCTGTCTGTGATCATGGTTGCTGCAAAGGAACAGAGACGTCGGGATTATGTAGTTTTAAAAAATTTACCAAAGTCCCAAAATCGTATTTTTCTTAAATGAATTGGTATTCACTGGTGTGAAAATCTTAGATATCATTATATAAAACATACATAAGTCTGCATTTTAATCTGCATAAAAATATAATATGTGATAATATCGTTAATTACTTTTTAATCATTATTAAAAGTATCTTTACGATAGAGATCAGTATCATGAAATTATATTTTGTGAGCTGGGCTTAGTATAAGTCTAACAATCGATTTATCTGTTAGTATATGCCGTTTCTATTTCTGTAATGTTGGAATCATTACGTAAGTACATTCTGCGAACTTTATAATTCAATTCGAGATCCCTCTGCAACTAAATAAATTATATTGTAAAATTACACTATATAGACATATCCTTGGAAAATTGCATGATGACGTCTTTAAATCATTCCCCAAGACAAGGATGCTTTAGAGCTAAGATCAAGAATTCAATGTCATAAACAGTTTATAATACGAGCATAAAGTAACAGACTAGGGTAAGGAAAGTCTTTTATTCGGCAAAACGGGAATACTAAATATAAGATCCATGCAAAGAGTTTAGAAATGCAAAACTAGTGGTTAGGAATAGGAAATTTTTGCATCCCATTAGGACTAAAATGGTACACCTTAATAGATCTATAGAAATCATACGTGACGTCTTAATAAATTGGTTTTGTGGGAGAAGACACCAGGGTTATAAAATCAAACGACAAGCCTAACTCTATTTTTAAAGCGGTTCTTAATTGGACTATAATGGTGGATACGTATGAGAAACAATAAAATAAAATCCCAGACCACAATTATGCTTCAGTGTCCAGACCAAACATTTTTCTGTATAAGAAAATTTTAAAGTGCGTTGTGTTATTAGATCTTATGGTTATTTGGGAAACTCACAAGTATAACGAGCTCATTAACGAACCCACTAAGATAAAAAGGATCGTCCTAAAAATTTCTTCCTTGCTTTATAATGTAACTTAGAAGATTTTTGTACAGTCGGTGTACACAGCCACTTGATATTAGTAGTCAAAATGTTCTTTTATTAACTTTCATACAAAAAAGATTACAGTCCCAGGTATCCAAACAATTTAATTACCGTTCCTGATGATCATCACTTTCTATAGCTGAAGCACTTTGTAAAGTAAATTTGCACCACATAAATTCGCCGAGATTCCTGTACTATAAGTTAATGGTCCCTAAAATTATGTATATCTAATAGCGATAATATATTGTGTACGTAGTATAAGGTCACTCACTCCTAAGTAACTTAAAAATTAATAAAATATTGAAAGCAAAATGTCAAGAAACCAAACAAATCCTTAACAAATAATGTGAATGTACGAAATATGTATGTACTATACTTAATATTTGGTCGTATGTAAAAATATTGTTGTCACGACATGTTTTTTCCTATTTTTATGGTTGTTTTTAACGATAATTTAGATATTTGTTTTAGAATAAACATCCTTATCAATATTATAATCCTAAATCGAACGAAGCATTGCTAAAAATAGAATAATAATCAAACGGAAGATCAGATCAGATATTGTATAAACTGATAAAAAAACAGTATATAATGACGTGATGCTAAAAATATATACGTATTAACAAGAACTCAAGCGATCAAGTGACAGTTTTGTTGAGAGAAGTCGACAAGTTTTAATTAGCATATTTCATCAAAATAAACGTGAGTAATACTTTTATTCATATTCGATCACATATTTTAAAGTTCCAAATTATGTTTTCTAGACGAAGATTATATTATTCTTAAGTTATTTACATAATTTTCTTATTTTTTTTAGAATGCAGCGTCCAATTCAGAACCCTATGATGACTTGCGGAGTGCCAAGTGTTCCTTACAACGCAATGCCCACGCCTCAAGGACAGCGACGTATCAGTATGGGCCCTTGCTTCAACCCACCTCCGTCAGCCTTTCAACCCAACTCTTGCTTCATGAGTGCGTCAGCCCTGAGGAAGACCTCGTTACCTTCCATGATGCCGCCAAGAACCAGATACGACCCATGCTTTAGAGAAATGTAAAAATGTATATGATTTATGCGAATCTCGATTCTTCTGGAATATCTGTTTCAATTGGAAAAGTGTTGATAATAGGGTATCAGTAAAGTTCTACTTATCTGACGCTGATTGTGTTTGAAAAGTGATGCGTAGTTGATGTACGAATGTTTTTGCAAAGGAGATAATAATTTTCTTTGTAGTATGTTAACTTTAATTTTATTTATTATTTATTAAAATAAACTTTTGTTACGAATATAATACCTTTTTATTTTATTACTTAACTTAATCCTTTAATTTTATGTTCTTACATTCCAAAAATTTTCTATTAACAAATTTAGGAAAAGGTTTAAGTTCAAAAGTGTTATCGAGATTTAATTTTGTTTAGACAACAGCTTCTAATTAAACAAACTACCTTGAACAGAAGCACTTTTCATATAATATTTCAATGTTTTGGTAATAGTAACAATATAGCTATTGGGAGAGACTAGAACGAGTTTTTTTTTCTTTTGATGCCTCTATACAAGTTCATGAAGAATTAGGACATAAATCATCACAACGATAGAATATCATCTTGGAAAGTATATTATCAGATCGATGTATGAAATCTGAAACTAACAAAAACAAAAGAGGTGTCTCACAAAGGAAGTATGTTCCAGTTTTTTTGTTGTTCTGATGAATTGTCTCTTCTCAAAGCGTACGTGATACAGGCGTGAAATTATTAAGTAATCAAAAATAATCGCAAGATAAAAGTTTTTTACAAATGATATGTAGATGAAGTTACGTAAATGGCACTGACCGTTGTAGTTGTATATTAGAAATTAACTTAAACGAGTATTTTTGTAATAGACATTTAATGAATATTTTTTAATTATCTTAAAGACTAATACTAATATAATCCAGTGTAAACGCATAAAATGTAAGGACATTTTATCCATAAAAATTAGTTTATTAGAATAAATATGTTTTACGTTTATCAAACATTTCATGGACATCCATTTGTTATACAGTAGGTTATAAGGTATATAAAGTTGATACAAATATTATAATGATTATTATTTGTATGAAATATAAACTTATTAATATGTATTTAGTACAGTCTACACACAAAAGGAAAAAAGAGAAGTGTCGACATTAAAACGGTTTGCAATTTAATACACACGAGGCGTTCATATCATTTAAATATAAAATATGTTCTATAAGCAATTGCTATACGTCCTAAATGTAATAAATATTTTGTATGTAAAATAAATAATTGTAGTAGCGATAAAACTTCATACATGTAATTGTTAAGGGTCTTATTTTATTTTAATTAATATTTAAGGCATTGTCATTCACTAAAAAAATAATGGTAAATGACAAAGATTCAATAAAATTATTTTATAAACATAATTACAAGTTTAATAAATAAAAAAAAATAATAATTTTTATGGTTACAAAAATTATAGATATTTTATGTTAATTTATAGAATAGATAGATAGAATATACTTTATTGTACACCACAAACAGTAAATTTTACACGGAAAAAAATAATAAATTGAAATGTACAAAAAGGCGGTCTTATCGCTTAGCAGCGATTTCTGCCAGACAACCTTCGATTTGGGGAAATTGTGCAGCGAAAAAGGTAGGTGGTGCCTTATCCTTATATATACACTAATACATATATAAATGGATACATACAATACATACATATATACGAGTACATAAACATATAAACTAATAAATATAAATGAACAATTAGACATATAAATATAAATGAATATAATAATATACAGGGTGACTGGTGAATTATTATCGATATTTGAGGACGTGATATTTGACGATCATATATGACAAAATAAAAATTAATATAACATAAATATTAATAAACTTCTAAGTAAAGTTAACCAAAAGTTATGTAATTAATTACGAATCGTATGAACACCCTACAGATTAGGTATACACACACACACACACACTCGCGCGCGGCTTCATGTTGTTGTATCAGCACGCCGCCGCACGCGTCCACACTTGGAACACTTGGAACGTGTACACACTTTATTTATTTATACGGAAATTTGGTAAAAAATTAAGTACCTATTTTTTTTACATAATTCGAATGAGAATCATGTACCGAGTATGCTCCTTAAATATTGATAGTAATTCACCAGTCACCCTGTATAAGTCGTCTCAAATATTTACGTAAATAATATAGACACAAAAGTTAAATAAATTACAGTAAGTAAAAAGAAATAAATAAAAACAAAATAAAATTATCAAATAAAACAAAGTCAAAATATAGTGACTAAGTGTCCATAGCTAGATAGTGCTCTTTTACCAACCTCTTAAAAGACAATAGTGTTAATGAGCTTAATTATATTCTGATAAAAAGAATTTAAAATCATACTAGAATTTAAATTTTAATTTCATTCCTTCTAATATAAAAGGAGCCTAAATTAAAGTTAGCTTAAAATGTGGTTACGAAACTAACAAAATTACATTTTTTGAATTTTTATGAATGTCTATTCACTCACAAGCTTTTATTCTATAAATTTAATATGAATTTGTTAAAATGTTCCTGCATTTACAACAGTTGAACCGCTATAATACTGTAAGTGATGACGCTAACAACAGTCCCGAGTATAGTCGCATAATTCATACGATAAAGATTGCATGCACGGAATTGTAGGCGATTTGAATTTATAACAGTATTAAATGTACTCATTACTTCTTTTCTATTCTTGTCTGAAAAAAAGTTTAATATATTGAGATTTTATATTATTATAATCTGTATATTGTTCTATAAATTCGTTTTAACGTATATTGTAATATTCACCTACCGCATCTGAAGTTGATTAAATTTTTTATTACTAATAATTGCGTGTATTCGACTTCTTGAGTCATTTGCTCGTCTATGAAGCATGCAACACAAAACCATATCATTACTTCGAGAGCCTTAATTATCTCCAACGATGGCTGTGTCGTCTGTAAACAAAATACTATTGAAAGAGAAACAAAAAGCTTTTTCTTTGTATAAGAAATTAAACACAGCTAGTAATAGTTTTCTTCTAGATATTCAGTTGTAAAAGATATTATTAGTATTATAAAAAGTATATTTACCTCGTTTTTAGTAATTATAGTTATTGCAGCAACAGCATTTGTAAACATTAACCAAATAGTTAGCAGTACCTTCAAAATAAGTTAATATTAACTACAGTAAATAAAAAAAATATCCTGGACTTTGTCTACATACATATATATGTGTATTAGTTAGAAATATATATTTTTTTGAAAATCATAACAAGAATATGCAGTTTAGATAGCACTATTAATTAACTATAAATTGAAAAACACGTTTATTTAACTATAAATTGAAAAACACGTTTATTTAACCCGACATAACAATAAGTGTTATTTAAAATCATAATTAAATCAAGATTTTGAAACTTACATCAATTCCATGACATTTTTCTAACAACTTCAAACAGCTGCACAGATCGTCGTATACTTTACCAAGAATTTTCAAATCAATAACAATATCAGACTTAACGTAAGGAAAATAAATATTGTGATTAAATACATATGACACAGCGCCTTTTGTTGTTTCGTAGCTATATATTAAAACGTCATCTGTGCTATTTTTCTTTAGTAGTTCCAGCATATTAAAATTAATAACTTTCAAAACCGATAACATTAAAGATAAATGTACTATCAAATGGTATATGGACAGAAAAACAGGTATCCGTATAATTATAACATATGGTTGAACGACGTATGTAATTTCAAGTATAGTAAATATCAATAATAATGATGCTTCAATAAAAAACCATACATACAACTTTAGTGACATCATTTTTATACTGATTGGATTTAATTTCAGTTCACAGTTAACTTTATCAAATATTTCATACATTCTATATATTTTCTCCCAGTTGGCTATGTTGTTTACAATAATTATAACGCTTACAATAACGTTATTTGTGTAAGATATTTCACTGTGTATAGAATCCATGATGGAGTTCATATCTATATTCATTTGAAACACACTAAATGCTATTAAAAACGCTATAACAACTAACGACCATAACGTTCGCCATGAGAAAATAGAAAAGTTATATTCTTCTTTTGATGATACGACAGGTTTAGACAAGCCAAAAATAGAACAAATGATGCTAAAACCTCTGAAGTAAAAATAAAACATTTCGGACCTCTGCAGTGAGTGAAGTGACCAAATAGGCTTGTTAAATTTTTTCCATTTTATTTATGCTTCAAAAATATTTGATTAATAAAAGTAATATTAAAGTAACAATAGGTGTAATAACAGAAACATGTAACGGCATTTTAATTATATTCCACTGATATGATAAAGATTGAACATGTTTTTTTAATTACCATTTCAAGCAATTTTCATCAACTAGCACAGCCATATTTAAAGATAAATAAATGCTGCAATATTTATTTTCTATAGAATTTTTAAATTATATCTAATCAATTATTCGAAAGATAAATGCTTTATCTTATCTGCAGGTGAAATTTTTAGCGTCCGATATTGGTTGGTTTCCACAAAGAAATCGATGGACATATCGCCAGGAAGCCTTCTGGCAATACTGTGAAGTTATATAAACAAAACTAACAAAGCAAATAATAACGAAGTAGGCTTATATTAGTGCCGTCTAAACTTTTTTAATACCTTGCTAAGAAATGGCTTATCGTAAGTACATTTAGATTATGAAATATATTTATAACAATTACAAAGAATTATTATATTGATGACGTAATCAAATAAGTATTAATTATAAAACAATTTCTTTTGTACTACCCAATAATATTATACTAATATATTGAGTTGATTGATTAAATAATTTTATTTTAAATATTAGGATATATATGTATACTGGTATTTTGAGATTATGAAGAAAAAGTCATTTCTGATGCTTCGTTGTGAAGTAAAATCTTTAATGGTATATTAATAGATTTGAAAATAATATTTCAGATCCTCCTAGCGGGCCTCCTCCGTACTATGGGTACCCACCACCCCCTAGCTTAGCCCCCGGAGCGTTTACGTACGTGCCAGCCCCCGTTATGATGCCGATGTACCCTGAAAATAACAACCCTACCTACGTGACTAATTACATATACCCACCGCAGCCAGCGCCCGAGCCTCCTATAATTATAGATAGTAAGTGAACAAGAACAGATAAGAATAAGTATACAATGACTCTTTCAAGAAATTATATAATCCAACATGAACTTACTGAACTAAGGAAATTGAAACAATTATTAACAATTTATTTAGATTAATGTATATCTAAAAATGTCCTATCGTTTTCGATGGGCCTCAATTATATAGGAACGAAAGAAAATAAAATAAGTTTAAATAATTATATACATATTTATGTTAGACATTGAAAGTAACGTCGTGGATTGGGTGCCAACTACACCTCACGAGGCGCATTCCCTGTACGGCAGGGCCTTTCTGGCTGGCAGAGAAGGTTGGGATAACAGTCCCTTGTGGGCCATCAGAGCCCACCACAACGGTAGCCTTGTGCCCGGAAAATTAGCCATTAAACATCGAGCTGCTTATATTCCTTACGGTGGCAGAGAGGTGCCAGTACATAACTTTGAGGTGATGACTGAATCATTATTATAGATTCCTTTTTTATTATAATTGGACTAAATTAATTTATAATATTACGATTTTAATCTTCTAAATTTAAAATTGTTAAAAGAGGTAGAATTATTTTTAAACTGTAATTGCAAATCCATACTTAAAGGTGTTGTGCGCGCCACAAATCGCTGTAAAATGGGTGCCCATGAGCCACGGTCAAGTACCCTCGGGCGCCGTCATAGCTGGGAACACTCATGACGCTGAACCTCTCTACCTCGCTAGAGTGAGACATAAGGGCTCTCTCACACCTGGCAAGGTAATCAAGCTACTACTTATTCTCCAATATTTAATTTGAATAGACGAATAAACCGTCTTGCGTGTCATGTCTTCACTTTAACTAAAAAAATTCAGGAATTAACTGAATTAAGTGTTTTGAGATTTAGAGTTATAAAAGTATGACATTATTCTGATAAAATTCTCGGTCTATTAGTAGGGAAACACGAGAAGAAAAACATATATTTCAAACAATACATAACCATGTTTAATTTTCATTATATTAAACTTACCGTATACTACACAGACGAATGTCTCTGTATGAATTTATATAAACAAAACTTTAATTATACCTGTTTTTAATAGTTTTAAAAGAATCTTTGAAATTAATTACAATTGTCTATTTGACAACACATATTTATAGTTAAACCTTATTATAGCTCATAATATAGCTATTTTCTAGATAATTCGATTTGTAATAATATTACTTTAATTTTGTATATTTCAGGTTCAACCCAGTAACTCGTGTTGTTCTATATCTTACGGAGGTGTTGAAATATCCTTCGCACAGTACGAAGTTTTATGTTACGAGGAAGGATATAACTAAAAGTGTTTAATAAACATCATTATTTCATCATACATTTTATATTTTTGTAAATCATATTATTATCATGTATTACATAATAAAAGTTTAATTATCTAAAGTACGCTCCCTCTAGATCTCTTAATGAAGGCTCCTTTTTATAAGAGAATTTTACCACAAGCAGAATATATACTATTTTCATTTATAATTTTTGTATTTGGTTATATAATAGCATTCATATAGTAGAACTTGCTTTTGGTATAATGAAATATAGTAGTCCTAAACACTTATAAAATGTCTTATAATAATTATGAATAGTAAGGAAAACATATAAAAATTGAAGGAACAGAAAAATCCTAACAAATTATTAAACTTTTCATCACTTTTATTTTACATTTTAACATTCCGGAACATAGATATTATTCATTAGCAAAAATGGGTAGTAATTAAGTAAATAATTAAAAGAATCATTTTTTATTTTAATTACCTATTCCCACCGGAAAAATTACGTACATGCTGCATTTCAAAAGAATTTGTTTAACCTTATAAAGAATAAATAATTTCAAGTATATTAAAGAAATTATATAGGTACTGATACTATCATTTGAGAAAATTTATGAACTACACACTAGAAACGAGTCGTTTGTATTGTGGAAATGCAAACTTATGAAAGAGGCTACCGAGAAAAAGATGCAAAATTATCCAATTCTTATGTAATGTCAATTGTATAAGGTTATTTAGACACAAATGCAAATTAGTCTTCAAAATTCCTGATGTCAAAACATTCATCGCAAAATAAATATGTTCCAAAGGATTGATAAATTAAAGTCGAAGAATATACCACATTTGAATGTTTGTGACTTATAATATTATATTATTTATAAAAATTTATAGTCTATTTTAAGATATAATAAACCTGATTTGCTTTATGTCACTATTTAACAATTAACATAAATTACTATTCTATGTAAATCTGTTATTGGAAGCACTCTATTTACAAGTAATAGAAAGGAAAAGGTTATAGCTATATTTATTCAATACACAAACAAACATAATACATGTATTTTTTGTTACACTATACATATGATAAGAAAATACCTCACACATTAAATATTCTTTGATAAAAACAATCACCTTTTTAAAGATTAAAAATCAAAAGTACTTTGTTCCCTTCCATTATCACTGAGACGAAAATTTATTGATACCTAGAGCCGTGATTGGATTCACTCAAAATAAATTTACAATTAATATAAATTTAAAAATTGAGTCATCCGAAAATATTTTTAATCACATGAAATGCAATTTAAAAAATGCATACAGTAAATGTTCAAGAAGTTATCACTGAAATTTATATAAGTTATGGAACTATAATTGATTTGACTAATTTATAGGTAATGTTTAGCTTGAAGTCCTGTGTAGTTTAAATGCTATCCTTGGTTAACAATAACAGTTCCACCTCCCGGATTGTTATCGTTAATAACAACTCCGCCGCCTCCGTCGTTATAGTTGTCGTCATCGTTGCAGCAACAACAGCAAGGCAGACAAGCGCAGGGATTACAGTTGCTGAAGCATGCACCCATTATATGTAGATCTAGACATTAATTAGAATCAGCAAATGTTGTGAGGGCATGAATATTTAATGTTATTCCTAATGATCTGGCATAAACATGGTTAACCTTCAAAGCTAAGGTCAAATGTGATTAGCTTTTAAAGATATATAACTCCTAAGATAATTTTCGAGTATATTGTATAACAATAACTGGGAGGTGCATCTTCTGAATTTTTCTTACTTTACTCGATATCACCTCTCGGTGCAAATTGAGTGTAGCGAACTCGGTGTTTCGGTATCGAACCGTTTTTTCGGCTATGGGTTCCGTTTTCCGGCCCTAATATGGAAATTGGAGGTTCGACCTAAATTTTTTATCTAAAAACCAACCCAAATAATACCACTATCAAACAAAAATCTTCAATTCGATCAGACAGTCGGTTCTAGATTATCTCCGTTGATGAATAACCATGGATGAGTCGCCAGTATAGAGTTCGCTTCACTCAATACATTATTTTGAAAAAACAAAAAAGGGAATTAAAGCAAAAGAAAAAGTAATGGTTTTTCTTAAAATAAACACAGTTAAATAATTATTAACGTTGATGATCGATGTAAAGAAATGTAAAGTTACTCACCAAAAACTACTTTTATTTTCCTTAATACAAATTGTTTCAGTAACAGTGTGTTACTAACTATAAATTCATTGAGTGTTTGCTCATATATTTGGATATTGGCATTTCAAAGTAAATGTGTCAGGGCGATTAGATAAATACAATCAAAAGTTTTTTCAAATTCATATCGTTATGTCGACAATTGACTATCTGGTGGAATTACGTACTTTAGCAGACTATGACGCTTTTCAGGTCTTAGATCATACTTATTTTGGTAAAATTTTAAAGTGACAGCGTATCAAAAAAATACCGTTAATGAAGTAATTATCATGAAATATTAAGAAAATTTTATGTCAAAGCTCTTGATGGTTGCTATTTAGATAGAGTAAATAAAAAATTCATTTAAAAAAGTATATATTTATTTATTTTATATGTAACAGACACAGCTTTCAGTAAAATAATCAAATATTAATTTACGAAACAAATGCTGTTTAATGAAGGTTCTGTAATTAAAATTCTATCGATGTTAGTTTATCACCATCTTCCACCAGGTCTTGGTTCGACAATGACCACTCCACCGGGATTATTATCGATAATCTCAGGGCCAGGATTAACGTTTCCAGGATTCCAATTGTCGTTGTCGTTTCTGCAACAGCAACAGCAACCGCAGCACGATCCATTGCCGCTGCTGCAGCCTTGGTTACAGTTGCACTCGCAGCAATCACAGCAATCGCAGCAACCACAACTACAGCAAGACGTGCTACAATTTCCCATTATTCAGTCTGGAATATAGTAAAAAGTGTTTTAACCCAGTTTTCAATTGTTAAGTAAAGTAAATAATGTAAGTATTTTTCCAAGTAATTAATGCTTTGGATTTTTTATTTTTATCATAATTACTTGATAGCGATTGTTGTTATCTCAGACGCTATTTTATTCTAATATTAAATGGTTAATTTTAACTATATTAGTATTTAGGAAATTACTAAAAATATTGAAATCTTTGAAGGTTAGTCAGTAAATGGATTGTAATTTCTGATCATAAAAAACAATTTAATTCGATAACCAGTACGAAAAGAATCATTCTTATTCGAAAGTACAGTTTGGTCAGAACTTTGTTTTATATAGTCTATAAAAGTAGACTATCTATGTATTCCTATATACCAGTTTCAAAATTCAAATATAAAAGGTAGGAAATACAATTTCATCGCCAAAGACTGATTTTAACCTCCAACCAGCGCAATAACTCTTCAAAGCAACGTATATAATTCTAAAGCAACTAAAAAGCAACATTTCAAAGGCTAGCATTCTGTTACAGTCAGTGATTTTTTTCATCTTACAAACCCCATTGTGAAATATAATAGTTATGTTCTGTTTATAATAATTTTCTTAATTTTTATTAAAGAGATGTTTAATAAAAATAAAATTAAAGAAAATAACAATACAATGCGTTTACTGGATAAAGATAATCAGAGTAGATATTTATTGATAAAAAATATGTCCAAAGCCAAAAGTATACATATAATATTTAAAAAATACAGATGATATAAAAAAACTTACCTTCTTAGCTATTTCCTTAAAAGAAATTGTTTGATGAAGTTCAAGAGGTGGAGTCTAGGGAAAGGAAATTCAAAGCAACAAATTCAAAAATTTGGCAATACTATCTTATCTTGAGGCATTGATAACACACATAGCCAGACTTTTGAAATAATATCTCAACACACATACCAATGAATGTGATATAATACTGGCACATTTAATAATAATTAAATACCAAAAACTTAATCAATAAAAAACAGACATTATTTATCATTTGATATTATATTGGCACACCTGAAGCACTGAATTGAGTAATCATTCGGAAAGGGCACTTAAAATCATTTTGTAAACGAGTTCATACTTTTACTCTACTGGACCATTAATAACCTAATGTTTGTTAGAACAATGGCAATAAAATTAAATTCCTAATGAAATAAATCGAAGTCGGTCTATCCTTTTGAGAGCTACGATACCAGAGAAAGAGAAAAGAAGAAAAAGAAAATACAAATACAATCGGTCACACGGGCACACGGTCCGATGCGCACACGCACGTACGCATATACGCATCGAACTTTTGACTCCTCTCTTTACGTGGGGGGTTAAAATGATTAAAATATTAAACAATTTATTTCATTGTTGTAGATATAAAAGAAATAATCAAAATTAAATTACATCAAAATAAAGTTTCGAAACAGATTTATATGGAAAAGATTTTATTAAGGTCACAAGACACCGCTTAAATATTTTACAACGGGTATTCTGTGTGTGTGCCACAGTGGTTACATGAAATTTATTTTATTTTTCATAGTAACTATACTTCCAAATTAATAATCAAAAAATATATTTTTTGGTTTATGTCTGTAAATGTAATTAAAGAATTTATTATTATGGAAAGATTTGTTCCTTACTTTTATTGAGTTTAATTAAGACGTTGGTAATAATACAAAAACATTTAGTATGGGAGAACACGAAGCATCCTGTATGAAATATATTCTCACTTGAGTAATTGGATTCAAACAGACATTAATGCAAGGCTTGGCGTTGTAAGCGACAGTGGGGATTTAGCATCATTCTTAGGATTTTATTAATTTTCATACACACATATTAGCATAATTGAGTAAACTGTTCAAAAATCAATCCGATTCAATTAAAGTGAAACGACTTTTATTTCACATACTAGCTGTGCCCGCGACTTCGTTCGCGTGGAATAGTGACTATGAGCAGCGTTTTTTTTAAAATATGTATATACTTATTTTTATTTTGGATCATAATCACAGTCATTTTGTGTAGCTAAAAAACCTGCTTTACTGTAATGCTTCTCTATATACAATATTAGATGTATGGTCACTGGGGCTGAAAGCATACAGGCTGCTGGGATTGCTAACACGGGACAGAGCCACATACAATTGACACACCCGGTCGAATATTGAACGCAGTTCTTCAGTTCTTTAATTTGACATAACTTTTTTATTTATGAACCGATTGACATGAAACAAACACTTAAGCATAACTGAAGCATACCACAATATATTCGTGAAAACCGCATCCAACTCGGTTCAGCCGTTTCTGAGATTAGCGTGAACAGACAAACAGACAAACAGACAAAAAAAGTTAATTACATTTTTAGGTTCGACATCGACATAACAATAACCCAGCTGCTATTTTTTTATTTTTATATTCAATGTACAGACAGCACTTTTCTACAATTTTATTATATCTGTATAGTGCAATAAAATTATTTCATATCAAAAAAAAAAATATATAAACGAGATTATTGTTATATATGTTACTTAAAATTAAAACTAATACTATAATAATAAAACAGAACGAGTGGTTAGACATAGGAGATTTTTGCATCCCATTACAATTAAAATGGCGCACTTTAATTTATGATTGGTCGCCAGCATTGCTAAAATTCTATCTCAATGCGTTCCAGGTGACTCTCCCAGATCAGAGTAATTTAGTAAGATGGGGTAAAAGTACCGAAAAAACTTGCTATATCTGTGGAAGGACAGTTGGAACTGCTAAGCACCTGCTGGTGGGATGTAAGGTACTCCTGGACAGCGGTCAATACTCGCGTCGTCACGATAGGGTTCTAGGAATCATACGTGAAGCTGTGAGTCTTTCGGTAGCCAGAGCGCAAAGGGAAATAACCACAAACGAAAGATCAGTAGGTTTTGTAAGAGAGGGCATTAGGGCTACAAAATCCAACGTCAAGCCTTACTCCATCCTTAAAGCGGCGTTGGATTGGACTATACTGATGGACACGTATGAAAAACAATATAAAATCACCGAGGATATTTGTGCGTCGGCCTCCAGACCGGGTATATTTTTGTTTTCGCGAATTTTAGAGCGCGTAGTGATGATAGAGCTTACGGTCCCTTGGGAAACCAACATCCCCAAAGACCATACCATCAAGGTCAACAAATATTACGAGCTCACAAACGAACTCACTCGAAATAGGTTCGTAGTAGATTTGTATGCGGTAGAGGTAGGAGCGAGAGGTATAACAGCGAAATCTCTCTTCAACCTACTAAAAGACTTGCGCTTGTCCAAAACTCACATTAAAGCATTCTTGGAACGTACATCGAAGGCAGCCCTAGTAGGTTCTTTTCAAATTTGGTTAGGTAGGGAGAGGAGCTTGGACAGTGCAGGTGAGCGTATAACGCGCGTTAGTTAAAGGGCCCCTTAAACCTACACCTGGGTCGCAAGTCCCAGGCACTGTTGAAGCTCCTCTCCCTGCAACCCGATGGACCCGGCACCCGCACGGTAAATCCATGGAATGCTGAGAAGTTTCGTCTCTAAAATTATCATATCTGAAATATAGTTACTACTCAAATAATAAGTATCTTTTGTTTGAAGGTTAAAAAAGTATTACTGTAATTCATATTATATCTTCTTCTTCTACTTGGTAATTTGCCAGCTATAGCCAGGGTCTGTCTTACATGTTATGAATAGTTTTGGCTAATTATTTTTACGGCCGCCTGCCTGACATCAACCCTCTTTGGGAATGCATTAATCAGTGATGTCTGAATACTCTTAGAAAGTACATGTGACTCGGAAAAATCACATTGGTACTTGCCAGGATCGAACCCGCTCCCTCATGCATGAGAGGCGGGCCTTTTAACCACTAGGCCACCACTGACTTTTTATAATTCATATTATATATTATATTTTTTATAAATATCTTACCAGCTGGTCTCCCCCCCATTATAGCTGAGGCCGCTCTCTCAAACTGGGCCGTGTCTTTGAGATCGGGCCATGTGGCTGAAGCTTTATAAATCACATGGCATGTTAACATGACGGATTAATTAATATAAAATGATGATAAAATTATATATGTGATATTGTTAAACTGTTTTCGTAATCAAGTTATAACAGAAAATAGTTTTATTGTAGGTGTAAAGCACATGGCATCTTAACATGACGGCTTAGTTAATGTATATAAAATAATATATACATATTACTATTTTTACTTTTGTTTGTAATGATCATGTTATAATAGAACATAATTTTATTGAATTAAGTTATAAATCGCATCTTATCAGGGTTTAATTAAAATACAATTAAAATCAAATAATATATGTGATATTCTTAGACTGTGGTTTCCATAATCATGTTATAATTAATTACTGAATAAAGTTATAAATCACATGACATGTTCACATGACAACGGACTTAAAATTCATATTGAGGTTGATGAAGACACAATTGTAAAAAATTACTTAATAATATCTAAATTTATATAAATTTCGTTATGTTTTTATTGTATTTTCTATATTTTCATATAATTTATATTACATACCCGAGTTGGACGTGAGATCGTTTGAATCATTTTCGTCATTCGTCTTAGAAGGAGTCACACCTTCGCTGTTTATGCTTTGATTGTCTGTTGAAATAAATAAAAATTATTCTATAAGTTTTAAGTATATTTACTTGTAGAATTATAATAAATCACATGGACTCGAACCCGTGATTTCCGAAATGAAGCCAGTGTTACCACTGAACTATAACGTCAGGAAAATTCGTGATAAATATTCGAGTATATACTTCTTAAATTATACATAAAAAAAAAAAGCAAAGGATAAACAAAAAGATTACCCGACTGAGTAAGAAACAAATTCATTAAACAAATAGCTGAAAGAAATTTTGTAAAATTAATCATATTGACATAATGAAGACGATATATTTATAGAATACAATCTTATATAAAACAAGTTTATTAATCAAAGTTTAAGCTCACAACATAACCTTCTACATCGCAGTCGGGTAAACATAATAAAATAAAAATAAATAATAATTTACATTATCAACGTATAACGAGGGTCGCTGGAGAGTGTCTTGGGAACGAAAACCAGAGTCACTGCTATAGGCACTCGCGAGACGTGACGTAGACTGGGGGAGAGGAGGAAAAATAACAAAAAATAACGAAAAAACAACAAAAAAATAACAGAAAAATAACGAAAAAAATTAGGAAGTTCAGTGACATACACACCTACAATATAATCCTAGTAATATTATAATTGCGAAACTTTGTATGAAAGAAGCTGACGTCCAGGAATAACACATAGGCTACTTTACATCCGGGAAATCCCGTAACACCGCGGGGCTCAGCTAGTTATATAATATGTATATAATTAATATGATAATGATATGATAAACCCACCTGTCCAAGCTGGGAATCCAAATCTGGTGCGATAGACGATCCAGTAGATATAGTTACAATAAATTATATTTCATGATTAAAACGACGCGATGTCTGTTTCAAAAGAAGAGTATAAATTAGAAATGCCGTATATGAAGACAAAACACAAATAGAATAAAGTTATTTCTATTATTGTGCAAAGAAGGAGTATTAAACTTTTGCCTCGATTTTCGTCCGCGATTTTCATCCCCGATTTTCATCCGCGATTTTCGTTTGCGATTTTCGTGATTTTCAACCGCGATTTTCATGATTTTTGTGATTTTCATCCGCGATTTTCATGATTTTCAAGCGCGATTTTCATGATTTTCAAGCGCGATTTTCATGATTTTCATCCGCGATTTTCGTGATTTTCAACCGCGATTTTCAAGATTTTCATCCGCGATTTTCGTGATTTTCAACCGCGATTTTCGTGATTTTCAACCGCGATTTTCATGATTTTCATCCGCGATTTTTATCCGCGATTTTCATGATTTTCAAGCGCGATTTTCATGATTTTCATCCGCGATTTTCAACCGCGATTTTCATGATTTTCAAGCGCGATTTTCATGATTTTCATCCGCGATTTTCGTGATTTTCAACCGCGATTTCCAAGATTTTCATCCGCGATTTTCGTGATTTTCATCCGCGATTTTCGTGATTTTCATCCGCGATTTTCATGATTTTCATCCGCGATTTTCGTGATTTTCATCCGCGATTTTCATGATTTTCAAGATTTTCATCCGCGATTTTCGTGATTTTCAAGCGCGATTTTCATGATTTTCAACCGCGATTTTCATGATTTTTGTGATTTTCATCCGCGATTTTCGTGATTTTCAAGCGCGATTTCATGATTTTCATCCGCGATTTTCGTGATTTTCAACCGCGATTTTCAAGATTTTCATCCGCGATTTTCGTGATTTTCAACCGCGATTTTCATGATTTTCATCCGCGATTTTCAACCGCGATTTTCATGATTTTCATCCGCGATTTTCGTGATTTTCAACCGCGATTTTCAAGATTTTCATCCGCGATTTTCGTGATTTTCAACCGCGATTTTCATGATTTTCATCCGCGATTTTCAACCGCGATTTTCATGATTTTCAACCGCGATTTTCATGATTTTCATCCGCGATTTTCGTGATTTTCAACCGCGATTTTCAAGATTTTCATCCGCGATTTTCGTGATTTTCAACCGCGATTTTCAAGATTTTCATCCGCGATTTTCGTGATTTTCAAGCGCGATTTTCATGATTTTCAACCGCGATTTTCATGATTTTCATCCGCGATTTTCGTGATTTTCATCCGCGATTTTCGTGATTTTCATCCGCGATTTTCAACCGCGATTTTCATGATTTTCAAGCGCGATTTTCATGATTTTCAAGCGCGATTTTCATGATTTTCAACCGCGATTTTCAAGATTTTCATCCGCGATTTTCGTGATTTTCAACCGCGATTTTCGTGATTTTCATCCGCGATTTTCGTGATTTTCAACCGCGATTTTCAAGATTTTCATCCGCGATTTTCGTGATTTTCAACCGCGATTTTCATGATTTTCATCCGCGATTTTCAACCGCGATTTTCATGATTTTCAAGCGCGATTTTCATGATTTTCAAGCGCGATTTTCATGATTTTCATCCGCGATTTTCGTGATTTTCAACCGCGATTTTCAAGATTTTCATCCGCGATTTTCGTGATTTTCAACCGCGATTTTCATGATTTTTGTGATTTTCATCCGCGATTTTCGTGATTTTCAAGCGCGATTTCATGATTTTCATCCGCGATTTTCGTGATTTTCAACCGCGATTTTCAAGATTTTCATCCGCGATTTTCGTGATTTTCAACCGCGATTTTCATGATTTTCATCCGCGATTTTCAACCGCGATTTTCATGATTTTCATCCGCGATTTTCGTGATTTTCAACCGCGATTTTCAAGATTTTCATCCGCGATTTTCGTGATTTTCAACCGCGATTTTCATGATTTTCATCCGCGATTTTCAACCGCGATTTTCATGATTTTCAACCGCGATTTTCATGATTTTCATCCGCGATTTTCGTGATTTTCAACCGCGATTTTCAAGATTTTCATCCGCGATTTTCGTGATTTTCAACCGCGATTTTCAAGATTTTCATCCGCGATTTTCGTGATTTTCATCCGCGATTTTCGTGATTTTCAACCACAATTATTCAATATATTCGTGAAAACCGAATCCAACTCGGATCAGCCGTTTCTGAGATTAGCGTGAACAGACAAACAGACAAAAAAAAATTAATTACATTTTTGGGTTCAACATCGACATAACAATAACCCAGCTGCTATTTTTTAATTTTTATTTTCAATGTACAGACAGCACTTTTCTACAATTTTATTATATGTATAGATTTATAAATTACATAAAACTTGGATAACATTTTACTCATGGTTATGTATTGTTTCGGACATTTTTGTGCAGTTCAAATTAATAATTTATATAATATCATACAATATCCATATAATATAATAATGTTATAGTTAAAAAGGGATTACTGCTTCTGATTCTGCGAGATTAGGGATTACAATATTTTATTGTAAATTTTAAAGTTCAACCTATTTTTTGCTTCGGTTTGCCTTTTTAATTTATTCATTATATTCAACTTGTAAGCAGAAATAATAAGGTTCTCAAATATCTTTCAAAGTGCTTCGGTGAATAATAGAATTTAAAGGCGTACGAGAACTTTATGTTTGCAAACAAAAGCCATCATAGCTTTAATCCTCTTTAGCAATTGATTCTTCTCTACCTTTACTTAAATAATTATGAGTTTTTCTTTACAATTACTGACTGGGTGGGACATGACTTTTATTCCAGTTGATGGAAACTAAAATGAAACCGTAGATGAAAAGCACTTTCCCACTATAAGCGTGCTTACTTTTGCTTTAAAACGTAGATATTTTAAGCAAGATGAAATTTAGATGCGAACAATTACTCCAAACCTTTGCTGTGAGCACATAGCGGGAGAAATCGTGCTAATAATTCGTGTGTATACACTCAGTACTGTAGTGTACAAATAAAACGATCGAAGCAAAAAGAGTCAGGTGATTTTTTCCTGAACTCGCCCACATTTAAAAATACTCCAACCTCTGTTTGGCAAAAAGGACACGTTTCTGTTATAGTAGCGGCTAAATTTTCAACGAATAAAATTATCTCATATTGAGATAGCCTAAAATATGAATTTAAAAACCCTGTCACACAAGCTAGTCCTAAAAAACAGCACCCAGATTTGCAAAATAATTTTCAATGAATAATTTTTCGAAAAAGGAAATCAAAGATGACAGACCCATTTTTCACTTGTTCAATAAAAATATATGTTTAGTAATTATTAACTGTTTAAAAGATTATTGGAAAGATTGCTAGACAGAGGTTAGGTGAAGTAAAAAGGATTATAAACAGCTAACATTTATTATGATTAAAACATTCTTAAAAAGCTACGAAAGGGTCAACATATTATACATATCAATATATTATACATAACATATATACACATCATGTAATATTTTTATATTGTTATGAATAATTTTCATTATGGTTCTTTAATTTATTTCTGAAGTATTTAATATGATTAGTGATATGTATCGTGCAAGTTTAAAGTTATATTTTTAAACCCTCTTGTGTCCAATTGGTGTTACCTTTTCAAATACTATAGTATTACTTGAAAAAGTATTGGACTATAAGTCCAGCCCTTTAGTGTTTACGTTTCTGTTAAGAATTTACTGCAACACTGTATTTACCTTAATAATAACCATTGAAAACATTAAAGTTTTATAAATATATGATCTAACAATAAACTGATCCGTTTTGGTCCTATAATGTTGAACAAATAATTACGTAATTAAAAAATATAACAAAAATAATAATAGTCTTTAAAACTTGCCTTGACTTTTTTCAGACTACATTTTTGTAAGCTTAGTACCATAATAAGTACATAACAATTTTATATGTATATATTGAATTACATAAATAAATATGTACAATGAATGTTATAAATAACGTTACTCAATATGATTAATATAATTTATTGTAGGTACATTACTAGTAATGACGAATTCCCAAACGTCAGGAACGCAAACATTGTCCGGCCGGACTATGTCCCCTGTATGACAAAATACTACATTCTAAGTTAAAAAAAAACTAGTACTTTCAACACCTGAATGTTAAGAATAACAAAAAATTTTTCGTTGGCTAATATAATAATAAATTTTTCGTTGGCTAAATATAAATTTATTTTGTGTCGTTAAATCCCATGTTTATTTGTAGTAATGCTATCTATATGCGGGAGGAGGTTCTTGACGTATGACGGTGACTGGTGGCGATTGAACGACGTGGGTAGTGTGAACAACCGTAGTACGTGGCGGCGGGTCCGAGCAGCAGTCGCAGCACAGACAGGGGATGCAGCAACAGCAGCACGGACGACACGATATGTTGCAACCCATTCTGAAAATGAAATAAACAGAGTTGAAAATTTCATTCTGAAAATGAAATTAATAGAGATGAAAATTTCATTCTGAAAATGAAATTCATAGAGTAACACTATTAATATTTATTTATTAATAATCCTTTGATCCTTTCTAATGTTTCATTATTACACAAAACAAAAGCAACATCGTGATGTGTAAGTGGCACTTAAATTATATAAACAATAAATCATACATCCCAATCCCGTGTATCGCGTCCTATTTAAAGTTATGATTTTTTGAAAACCTTACTTCAAACTATATAAAAATCTTAGCATTATGTATTAGCACTTATTTATTAGCAATATCATTTTTTTTTAGATAATACCGGTGTAAATTATCTTAACCACTTAAACACTCAATTCGTCATCGAAACAGAGGACTTCGTAGAACAATAGATTCTGAAATAACTATGTTTTTCATGTACAACTCAATAAAAATGTGCACCGTTTCATAAATTAAATAATAGAATAGGTTAAACCCTCTTTTCTTGTTAGTAATAATGAACAACGATTTTGCTTGAAAGTAATTAATAGGTAAAGAAAAATATAGTCATTTCTTATCAATAATATTATTATCAACTCAACATTTATCTAACCCATATGAGATCATATCCTTAATAATGTTATCAGTAAATAGAATTTATCTTTAAAGCATAATTAGCATGTACAGAACAAAAAACACAAAGTAACAAAACACAACTAGCACATGTCTTACCTTATTTAAATAATGTAAGATCTTATCCTAGTTGCAGACTATCTTTGCATTGGATAACCGCCTTGAGGTGGGTATCCGGGATATTGAGGGTAACCACCTGGAGGTGGGGGGTAACCGCCCTGAGGGTAACCACCTGGAGGGTAACCTCCCGGAGGGGGATAGGGATAACCTGGCTGTTGCTGGTCTATTACAACAGGAGGCTGTTGAACGATGACAGTTGGTGGTTGATTCTTGTTCTGATCACCGCAGGCGTTGGGGCATAGGCACGGTACTAAGCAACAGGCACTCAGGGCCAAGCAACACGGATTGACGCAACCATCACAGTCCCCACAGTCAAATGATAAACACAGGCCCATTTTGTGTTGTGTTCAGTGTTAACTAAAACGAACGTTTAAGTATGTGACAAAATGTCGCCGTGATACCTTATCAGGAAAATATATTTGTCTAAATACTTGAAATTCAAAGGAAGACTCTATTGTTATTGTGCTAGAATTCAACGTAGTTTGAGCTTTGGTATTCCTTTTATCAATACTTAGTACATTTATCTTATGATAAAAGATAGTAAGGCTTACAACATAATCTTAAATTCTTGTTATTCATTAGTATATTCAATGGCACAAATTACAATACACAAATCTAACAGTTAACATTCTGAAGAAAAAAGTTTTCCAGAAAACAAACATAAAATACTGCAGTTCGTGCCATTATAAAATAAATATTAACGAATAAAACAGAAATCTTCGGAATTGTATACTGTGAAGGCTATTTCATAAAAACATACTACATAAATGTATAGTATCAGTAACACGTTTATGATAAAAATTTGTTTATTATCAATTTAATATCAAGACTCATTACAAAAATATATATTTTTTTCTTACCTAAAAAATAGATTCGAGACACTGTCACTAAATATTAGCACATAATGTAAATAATAAAAAAATAAAGCAAATTATTTGCCAATATTATGCAGTCGATCACACGGAAAATAAGCAACTAATGACGCAACTATGCGCAAGCGCAATTATTCTTGAGCGCTCCTCACCGTAGCGGCTTTGACGCTCAAGTGAAAATACAGTCACCTTATTGCCCTAATGACTAGTACAGCTTGGAAAATATACACATACTCATCGGCCTTGAAGCGTCTTACAGTGTTATAGGTGAAATAATTAAGGTTTTGACGTAAATACGATGACAACTTATGATACACCTTAATTGTTTTGGTAATTCAAATAGCATTTGGTTTGGACATCAATTAAGGTTCTTCTGAAATTAAATAACAATAAAAATACATGTCTCTAATGAAATCTAAATTATTTTTCTAAATTTGTTATTATTGGTGTTAAAAATGAAGTTTTTAAATTTATCAAGCGTTTTTCTTTGGTCATGTTAAAGAAAAATAACGAAGCTATTGCAAAGAATCTAAATAGGAAGGTTAGAAGGCATTGACATAAAACGTCTCATGGTTAATGCGCACAAGGTTGGAACCTTGTGATACGTAACAATTGCATTTAATACTTTTTTCATTATATAAATACATTTAAATATTCTTTCCTATACATTAGAAAACACGTTTTCCTGTTAAGACGTTGATAGATTAGTCATATCTACGGCTAGCTCTTCTAAAGACGAGTGTAAGTATGAAAAAATGGGATTGTATGAATCATCATACACTATAAAGTTAAGACATATTTTGTTGTTTGTTGTTATTATGTTGGTACTTTTGCCGAATGTAGAGGTTGCTCATGTGACGCATTTCCCCTCACTCCGGAATGAGTCATTATAAATATCTAGTACCCAATTAAAAACACTAGAATGTTGTGATACGTAACAATTGCATTTAATGCTTTATTTTAATGATATATTAAAAAGACGACGTCAGCATACAAAATAAACTTCTCATCATCCCACACTACAATGGGTGACAAAAACAAAAGGCGATTGTGTTTATAAAAACACTTTATAATACTTCTATAGCAAGGCATTCGATATATTGAGGAACAAATAATATTAAATTATAAGAGAACCTCTTCATTAATGAATGCTAAATCACCTAAAATTCACGTAATATTAAATATTTTACATGAGAAACGGTAAAGTAATAGGTACCTACATTCTATATCTAAATTCATTTTCATCGTTTAATATTAGTACCTTTTCACTGAACCGATATCAGTACCTATCCCTTTTATAAATAAATTGTTTGGTAGATATCTATCAATTTACTGACGGTATTGTAGTCCTGGTACTGGATACAAAAATAAAACATAGTTATATACCTAATAGTTTATCAAACGCAAGGTAGACGTTGTAAATACTAGTATACAAAGAATTATTTACACTAGTAGTCCAATAAGATGAGTAGAAACTTATTAATGCCTGAGTATATTTATCATAATATTCATTTACAAACAAATTTTTATTCAGTGTAAAATAATTATTTTAAAAATTACTATGTGGGTTAACTTACATTTGAGTAGAAAGGCCAACTTTCGCAATATTAGTGTTTTCCGCAATCTCTGTCAACTATTCTGCCGAAAAGTTTGTGCAAAAATAATTGAATTGTCGATAAATGCGTAACTTACCTTTTAATTCAAGGCAGCGGCTTCGCCTTTCATTTTGTAAACACAAGTGTCGTTATCAGATGAACAATACTTAAATAGCCATAATCAAAATAATTATTAAACTAATGTAGAACTATGAAATTGTAAATAAAAAATAGTCCAAAATATCTTGTTTAAAATAATGTGTAAGGTTAAACAATAGTTTTGTTCTAAAAAGCATTATCTTCGTATAGTTACGTACTTCAATATTTTTGTTTTCTGAAAGGCTAATGGAAATTATGTTAAGAATGTCTAATTTGAATATTTGTATTCAATTATTTTTAAGATATAATATGTAAGTAATTATAAAGTATAATTTTTATAAAATATGTTCATAGGACCTGACCTGACCTGAAATTTGAATAAAGTGAATGAATGTATTTACAAAAATAAATATTAAATCAAGACTCAGCAACTCTATTCGACTGGGCAAAGATTGTGAATTAATGTTTATTCCTATTAAGTATTTTATTATATGATTTTTCAAGTTTCCGAGGTACACCGACATAGCGGCCGATGGCTTTCGCAGTGGTTTTAGTGAGTAGGGGCCTGCCCAGGCCGAGCCTCACACATCCCTTTCGACCCCACCAAGGCCGGTTGGACGGCTCGTAAAAAGAGTTTCCCTGCGTCATCAAAAAAAACATTAAGCTACAATTAACAAAACTGCAAAGAATTTTAGGTTTGAGGTTTAAGGTATTTTCTAGGTTTAAGGCCACATAATAAAAGAATTCAACTCCTATTCAGAGTAGACTAGCAATCTATTTTTCCAAATAAGTATTTGAAGGAAAAAATTATCAGGCGCCTTTGTGATCAACGGTATTTAGTTTAGGCCTGGTATTAATAAGGCAACAATTTCATTAATTATTAATTTTATAAAAATTACAGTATTAAATTCATTTCTGTAATACCTTTAATGAATCTGGAATTGAACTATAATGTTTCCCAATATTAATCTTATAGTAGCAATAACAACGTGTTCACTTCAAACTTTAAAACGAGTTTAATGTGTTTAGTGATATTCACGCCAAAAGTCAAAACTAGATGTCAAATGTGTCATATTCGGGTATATAATTAGTTCTTCATTAGTCAGTGGTGGCCTAGCGGTTAAAGGCCCGTCTCTCATACCCGAAGGCGCGGGTACGATCCTGGCCCTGGCAAGTACCCATGTAATTTTTTCGAGTCATATGTACTTTCTAAGGGTATTTAGATATCACTGACTAATGTATTCCCAAAGGGGTTAATGTCAGGCAGGCGGCCGGTCGTAAAAACAATTAGCCAAAACTACTCACAACATGCAAGGCAGACCCTTGCTAAAGCTGGGAAATTGCCAGGTAGAAGAAGAAGAGTTAGTTCTTCATTGAAATTTAAACCTTCTGATCAATATTTATAAAACTATATTTCTTATCGCGCTCAAGGATATTCACATTTTTTTTTTCTAGGAAACAAAAACCCAACTACTGATGAAATCGGTAAAATACATATAGATAAATTATGTATGTATGTATCTAAATCGTTATCACATTAAATATAACAGTATAATTGAAGGGAATCATTACCTATACCTTTTTATTTATGAAAGAAAAGTACCCAGTGATGTAAGTAGGTAAATAAACAAGTAACTACATACCTGTAAAAAGACAAACTTCGAACTCAAATTATCTTCATTGCTTTAAACTTTTAGAGAAATAACAATTTTAAAAACAAAATAAAAACTAATATATTACTAAAAAACATTCTCTCGACAAAATAACATATAAACATACAACCTACTTTCTCTTGTCAATAAGAAGCATTTTTATATTAAAATACCTATAATAATTAATTAGAAAATGTATAAAAAATATGGGCGTAATCAAAGCTCCTAATCTTCATAATCTTATCACAGGCACGTCATACTCAATCAATGCCAAAGTTAAGTAGGATCTTCTCTGTGATATACCAAACTAGTAAACGAATATACTGCGCACAATAATGTGATGGTTTAATTATGAGTGAGGAAGAATGTGCTTTGATTCCTCCTACAAAGAGAAATAAGGAACCCATGACTATCTTACTTGATGACAATAAACAATTGATAGAGAATGATAAGAAACAAGAAAAAAACAGAAGCTTCAAGAATCGAAAGCTGTTTCTGAAAATTCCTAAAATTGGATTGAAGCCTAATTTCTCCAAACTTCAAAGGAGATTTAAGAGCATAAGTTGTTTTAAGGGAGAGGAAGACGAAGAAATTATGATGGATGTCCAAAGGCACAAGAGTATAGATATAAATGTTGGTCTGGCGCGAAAGATGTCGCTGTTCCTATTTACAAGGAAAACGGTGTGCATACATCCATACCATCCTTATACACCACAACAGACGACACGGAAAATCTATTTCTTCCACGAAGAAAAACATCATTAACTTTATAAAGAGAAGGCTATAAAAGCTAATGAATAGAGCCCATTGATTTCTTGTATCATATAAGAAATACAATAGGGTGGAATGTGACGGTTTTACGGAATTGCTTAAACGCAGTTTGGTTTCCAACGTTGATGAATTAAGGAAAATAAGGAATTGGCTTTCATTATTATAATTTATAAGTAGATTATTCAATGAATCTCTACATTTTTATATTGAATACTGCATTAAGTTCTTACCTCCATGTCAATGACGTAAGTTATTGCTATTTCCAATCAAAATGAAAATTGGTAATTTCGATTTTGAAGTTAAAAATGTAATTTAAACAAGAAGGGTCAAGACCACCGTGAATCATGAAGACATGGTTTGACTTCAAAATACATAAATGAATTGACAAAAAAAGATGTTGTGAAAGAAAATAAAACACAGGATATTTTTCGAAATAATGGATTTCAGTGGTAATATATAACATTTCACACAATTTTATATTCTTTATCAATTTCTAAATGTAATACATTGTACATAAAACATGTAAGAAAACATAATAACCATATGAAAATAAATATGTTATACATAAATTACTTTATACAATGCATGGTACATCAAATGGATTAGATTAAAAATCGCTATCTCAGAGATTATAAATTATAATTTCACTTTAATTGTATTAAAAGATTTAAGTTGCACTAAATATATATTATATATATTTTAATTCACATTCCTTACTCATACATACATTTTTTATTACTCTCTGTTGTAATCACAAACAATAAATAGGTAATACTGTGTTCATATCACAAAAATAAATGGTAAAAAGCGAGATTCACAATATTCCAATAAAATACAATAATAATACTAAAGTTATAAGTATTCTGTTTAAAACATTCTAAGTTGTTATACCCATGAATGTATTGTTTGAACATGTGGTTTATGAATAAATTAACATATCAATATATACCTAATAAAATACAACAATAATACAAGATTCTATAATACATTGAGATTACAAATACATAATTGAATTGTATAGAACTATTCAATAAAAAAATATAATACCTCTTTTGTCATTAATTACTTCACAGATAATAAATAGGCATTGATAAAATAAAAAATAATTAAATAAGTGTAAAATGTCAACTGTCATGTAATGAAGTATATAATTGTATTCCATATACCGATTGTCATTAATGCTTCTAATAAATACTAAGACAAACTATTAATTCTTGCTCATCTCCTTGACTCTTAATGTTGCTGCTTCTATAGCATTTATCATTGTAGCCCTGAAATAAGTTACAAATTTATTATCAAATTTAAATTAAAATAATACTATAATAACAAGGAAATATTATAATACTTTTTAGTATTGGTATGGAAGACCATTGTTCGAAAGGTATAGCTTTGAAGTGAAAACAATATGAACCATTATTACCAGTATATAAAACTGAAATATATATGCATGAAATGAAAATTATATATACATATGCACAAAATAAATTTTGTCTTATTTGACCAATGATACAACGAAATTTTAAATTTGTGAACAATAATTTCATTTCTATTACAAAAGATAGTATATAAATATGCTAACTAAAATTTTAACAATACACATTCATAGTTACATGAAACAACTAGTATATAAATATCTCTCTGTCTGTGATTGTAGTTGCTGCAAAGTAAGCAAAACATTTAGAGCATGTAGTTCAAAATAATAAAAAGTACATAGTAAATCTGAATATATTCATTATATTTAAATGAATACTTGCAATTCTTAGATCTCATTAGTATGTAAATATTTATATATCAAATACATATATAAAATTATCTTGAAATACAAGATAGACGATTTTTGTATTTCCTTTTTTACAGAGATAAAAGATCTCTATATTTTCATATATAAACATTTCAAGTCTTTTATAGAGATTACCTTAGCTTTCCGTTCTCAAGGGCGGCAACTCCAGCAATAGTACATCCTCCCGGCGAGCAGACTTCATCCTTTAGCAGTCCCGGATGCTTATTGCTTTGTAACACCATGGTTGCACTGCCGGCCATCATTTGAGATGCATGCCGGAGAGCCATAGCTCGGGGAACACCCTGCTTTACTGCACCATCGGCCAGGGCTTCTATTATCATGTACATCTGAAATAAGAAATAAGGTATTACAAAATATTGCTGCAAAAACTTAGTTACAACATGTAAAGTAAGACAATAATTCGATACCTCCCAAGTAAGTTGTTGTAAGCCACAAAAATTCTATTTTGCTTTTTTTATGAAAAGTATCCCATTATGGATCATTACATCCATTCAAATTAAAAAACCAACAAAAACATTATTTTTAAAGGATTTGTCAGACATATAATGTTGTAATTTCCAAACGCGAACAGATTAAACTAATGTATGCCTATGCCACTGTATACGCGGGGCGCGAGGTGGGTAAAATCACGCGCTCGCGCCGCGTATGAGTTACATAGAACAGAGTAAGACTTATGTTTTTCAACATATACAGTTGTAACTATCATATACCACAGGTGATGCTATCTGGGCGCTGCGGAATAATGTTGTAAGCATCAGATACAACACCATTTTTAGCTTCTACTCTGAAGTAAAATGTTGTATGAACAATATAACAACAATATCTCTGCAAATATGTAGGCATATTAATTAAAATATCTTTTAAGGTAGTTAAGAAGACTATTATGTTAAATTGAAATACGAATTTTTAAAAACATGCATCAATAAATGCAGATTTTGGTTTAATTTGAATCTTTTAAACACTACTATAAAATTACACTTTTGGAGATACAACAACTTACGTGGGAGGTATCGAATTGTATTCGGTAAGATCATAATATGGTTGGGATTAATTTGTTAATATTATAATAATATTGAATGCCCTTTTTTTTGTGGTATCCAATAAAAATATATTAACTTTGTCATGTATGTATTGTGCTTAGTAGCAAACTGAATGACTGCAAGTATTAAAACAAAGTAATCTAGATACATTACACTTGACTTCATATTATTATTTTAACAATACCAAGCAAGTATAACTAATACATAACAGTTTTCTTTATCATTAACTTACAAAAGCAGGTCCACATCCTGTAAGAATTCCCAAGGAGTCCATCAATGGTTCAGAAACCTTTTCACACATACCACAGCCTGCTAGTAACTTCTCCAATGTAGCACATTGTTCTTGAGTTACATTTTCATCTACGGCATATAAACATGAACCAGCACCCACCGACATAGGTGTGTTTGGAAAAATACGGATCACATTGGAATCAAACGGCAACTGCTTTAACACCTAGCAATAAATAATGAAAAAATATTCATGTATGTTTTTTGAAATTTCAAGTTTATTTATAAATTATATTTACATAAAGAACAAAATATTTCATATGTGTAAAAGTCAAAGACATACCACTTATAATTATAAATTATAATTAACCTGTTTCAATTTCTGTATATTCACTCCAGCAAGCATAGATATGAAAAGAATATTTTTAGGATTTTTTGTTGGTAAGTAGCAATTACATATAGCAGCCTCCAGCATTGCAGGTTTTACTCCAATGAATACTATATCACAATTACAAATAACTTCTCCATTGCTAGTTATAACATTCGCGCCATATTGTTTCCAATGTTCAAGATTTTCCTTATGAGGTCCTGATACCCAGATATTTAAGGAATCGCGAATTTCTGGAATGTTTAATATTAAAGTTATTTTAAAAATATAAAATAAAAAAATATCAGTAAATTTTAAACAAATCAGATTTTAAAATGCTTGATCACAAATTTTAAATCACAATATAATTTACATACCATTTCTGCAAATCCCTTTTACAATCGCAGTTGACATATTTCCGCCACCAATAAAGCCTACCTTTAACTGCATTTGTATGATTTTTCTGCAATATATGTACTTGAATAAGTATTAATATAATATATTTTTATAATCAGTATCTTTATATTAAGGCAGACACTGATAGATTACCTAATATATTGCAAATATTAAAAGTAATCAAATTTATTAATCGGTCGGTAATTTAAATTGCGAGTTTTCTCTGGTGACATTACAAAATGTCATTTGGCAACCTGGGTGATGGGTCATGACACATGTACAGTAAAGCACATTTTAAAATTATATTATAACGTACATACCTACTTAAAACTATAAAACATTAAATAACGAGATTTTACAAGTTGTGACAATTATATTTTTTTTGAAATAAACAATGGTTAAAAAGTCAAGCTAAGGTTAAAACTCTACATGAATTAATCATGTTTTATAACGAAACTACGAGTAATTCATCAGTTTTGGCAAAATTAATATTTAAATGAAATGGACATAAAATAATTCATTATGTTTATTTTAACAATTCAAAACGTAGCCTTACGTGTATAAATTAAGTACAAAAGAATCTGTAAATATATATAACTTTTATTATTAAATAAAAATAACAAAAAATTTAAAATAATCAAATATAACTTATATTAAAAAAATATATATTTTCTCTTAAATATCAAAATAAGTCCTTATTATTTTATAGTCTGTTACTCACAATTTCATTCGGTTGGATTAATTTAACTGGCAATTCCTTTAGTTTGTGGCTTCATTTTCGAGGGTGAGGTGTTTTTACCAACTTTTGGCGTATTTTGATATCGTTGATCAGTTTTAAAATGCTGAAGTAGTGCTTCAATTCTAAAAGTGTTCAAATATGTGTCGTGATAGTGATTTAATAATTGAAAGTTTGGTTAAAGTGTAGTGTCCAACATGTTTCGATGTATACCTTTGTTCAAATGTAATCGCCAAGTGGAATGTGTAGACAAGCGGCATTGCTCCTTGCCAACAGTACCTGAAGACATTTTACGATATTCCAGGAGTTTGGAGGAACTTTTTCTAGATGCAAATCATATACGAGATTTACCTAAAGTAAGTTGTGTTTTGATTAAATTACAATATTCTTGTCGTGGGCGTTCACCTTATCAGTAGATGTAAATAGCGTAAACATTCTTACTTAATTTTTCTTGTATACATTATTGAATGAAATTACGTCTCTTTGAAAATTTATCTGTAATTTTGATACATTGTGGCCACTTAGTTTTTATTTTATTAAGATTTTAGTTATTTTGATTACACAAAATTATTTCAGAACTTGTTTTAGTGGCTAAGTCTCCTTGAGTAGCCATCTATATTTAATTTCAGTAGTATAAGTTACAATTTTTTTGTGTTATAAAATATAATTTCACTTATGATACATGTTCTATAAATTTTTGCTATTATTTTACATTTAATTTGAGTGAAGTATTTAGATTTTGTTTACTTCATGTATCTTAAAATCACTTTAGTATGTGTTCACATTGAATAAAAATATCCTATTGTAAAATTTACATAATACCTATAACAAATTCTGTTTGCATTATTAAAGGCTGTAATGTGAATAAACTACAAGTATTTCTAAATATTACATACAATTATTCAGTTTGTTTAGGATTATGGGGGATATGAGTGAAATCTTACAATAGTAACAGGTATACTCTAATCTAGACAAATTCATTTCAATCAGTTCTTGGTTACCCACTGTTGGCTACCATAAGTCTTAAGATATGTTTATTTCTCTTTAAAATAATTTCAAAGTTTATAAACTTAATTTTCGTGTCTATTACTTTATATCGCCAAAAACAGTTGACATTCAAATAATGGAGGGACATTAAAATTTATACATTTTTATATCCATAGACATGCATAATAAAAAGGGTTGTAATATGCGCTGAGTATAATAATTATTCATTTTTGATATTTCATGATAATAGTTTTTATTAGTTATTTGACTACAAAATTTTATATGTGTAAATCAAAATATATTTTTGAATATTATATAATTTTTAACTTGATGCTAAAGATATATTTCTATTCTGTATAAATAAAAATATTTTTCATTGAATGCCAGATCACCATTTATTTTGTATTGGTATTCAAAACATAACATTGTGCAGTCATTATGATCTTATACAATTATCATTTGAATAAATTAATGAGTTGAGAATTTTCAAACTATTTTGTAATTAATTTGATATAACCACCATTAACTAATTTTGGTCGCTAATTAAATTTCTTAATTATTTATATGGAATTTTACAATCAAATCAATAATTATCATATGTAATTTACTCATACATCTTTTATAAATAATTTATTTATAATATTTAAAATTATTGTATGTAAAGTAAGATTATTTAAAATTTATATGTATCTAATGAATGTATCTTTATTTACATACTGTTGTTTGTATGTTATAGTAAATTTATAAATATTCTTTGTTACAGAATTTCTTCAGACTTCACCGTCTTAGAAGATTAGGTTTAAGTGATAATGAAATTCACAAACTTCCGCCTGATATACAAAATTTTGAAAATTTAGTCGAGTTAGATGTATCAAGAAATGGTAAGTTAATTTTATATTGTTTGATTATTACTTTTATTTTGGTATATATAAAATTCTCCAAATATATTGATGCATCATACATGCATATTGTTTGAGGATAAATTAATTATTGATATAATATATTTGAGTCCTATAAATTGTTTCCTGTCTGAATTATTTAAACACATCTTTTGATGTGTCAATACTTAGTATATGAAACAGTAAGTTTGGAAAACAGAATCAAATTAAGCAATTTATATAAATGAAATTTCGAGCTTGACTTATATTTTGGTTAATTTATAAGCACGTCTAAATTCACTACACATACAAGTACCCTTTATATCTATAAACATGCTTAACCAAAAACTCTTTTACATAAAAAATGGCTCAATCTATTTATCAAAGTACAGAAAAGGAGAATTAGAATGAATCATATATTTATTGAAAATACAGTTTATCATAATATTATATATATTGGGTTTTATTATGTCGTTAAAGTTTTCTAATGAATAAATAGTTCACATTACGATTTATTCAGTTCTATGAGGTGTTCTGATAAAATTTTCCTTATAAATTTCTTATACTTGCCAGTCATAAAACATACTAAGTACTATATACTTACCGTACATAATCGAATATAAACGTCACGTTATACTAAAACTATCGGCTGAATCCATTTGATCAAGTTTGGATAATTTGTATGCGTATTGCGTGCCGGTTCGTCACATAGCATATCAAAACGTATTGGGCAGGTGTTAAATGTATAGCGGGAAAAAAATTCGCAACATGCCGTATGTACAATTTTGTCAAGCGTTATCCAATTTGGTACTGGAATATTTGTGATCGAATTCTTTCCAAGTATACGCATGTTTGTTAAGTTTATACTGTCAAACTAAACAAATATTTTATAGGACTAAACAAATATTATAAATGAAAAATTGCAAACTATTAGTTCTATAGTGTAAAACGAAGTAACGGTGTACATGTATTTACTTATAATACTAAGTACTTTAAATACCCATGAGTAACAATTAAGACTCATAATAATTCTTCTTGGCTCTTTAAATACAATAAGAAATGAATGACTCGGCATCCAAGTTCATAGAAAAAAAGTCGTCGTATTAAACCACTTTTTAGAATTGTTCATGTGTTACACATACGGCCTTTATAATTTATATAGCTTTGTATTAATAATATCAGTTAAATACCACTCACAATACCTTCAACAATTCATTAAATTAAATAAATTAAGATTTTTAAATGTATTTTTCTCTCATTTGGATTTGATATTCTCGCTACTTCTAATATTAGGATATTAATTCAATACATATGTAAACAAAACACAATAAAATAAAAATATGACACCCTTTTATATTTGTATTCGTAATTGAAAATATTTTTTATAGTAAATTAATAATTTAACAATATGTTTTTGTTATGTACAGACCTCTGTATAAACCTATTCAAAAATATTTTTTTAGTTATTCTAAATACATATGCTTATGTTAGTTTTATATGTATTGTATGATGGTGAAGTATTATGGGCCGGTGATGAATTCGAATGTAACGTCATAATACAATCGAGTCGATTGTACACAACCCTGGACTCTAATAGAGCTGCACAATTAGCAAGCCATTGTAAATTCACTTTGATTCGGGCCTTGAAGTGTAGAATTTAGACGATTCGGTAACACACTCGTGTGTATATGCGTTGGAGAAGTATAATCAGTAATTTTAATTTAACGTTTCATTAAAAAATAACTCTTGTTTCTTATTATTTTAAACTGAACATTGTTTAAATTATTTTTTTTATAATTCAAAATTATTTTCATACTTTTAAAGGTAAATACGTAATATTCTAAAGAATTTTTGCTATAACGTCTGATTATTTTTAGTGCTGAAATAAATCTATTGAATGTTTAATATAAAATTTATAATTTGTTACCAAAAGCTAACATGTCATCGCTCTGGTCGTGACATACTTATAAATTACCCGTCTTATAAATAAAGAAGTGAGCATCAAATTTAAATTGACTTTCTCTGAAATCGGTCTCTGTGATCTTACGTCATAAATTTTGTCAATAAAAGTTCCATCAGAAACAGAAGTCGTGTTTTTTTTTGTACTTGTGGTTGCCATTGTCTGAATGTAGCTTATAATTATTTTTCTTTGTAAATTGCTTTGTTATATGTATATATCTCTATCTTCTTATTAAAAACCACTGGAAATTTGGTAATAAATCTTAAATAACTTCGTATCAGTTTTAAAGCAGTATCTTGAGGCAGTTGTACAATTTAAAAGCGTGATATCTTTACGATTTAAAATATGTACGAATAAATATTTTATGGAAATATTTATCGTCAAAGACAAACCCAATCCTCGGGTCACTTCAATGACATTTGTTGTTTGGCTCTCCTTGAGTTCGTGGACCTTTTATGAGAAATTTAGTATCAACAAAATAATTGTATATCAATATTTTTGTGAAAAAATTATACTGTTATAATGTTTTATATCCAAAGTAAATAAATTGGTTCAGATGACTTTGTTGTTTTAAGAAAGATATACAATAAGAAAACCACCGTATTTTTCTCTGTTCCGTGATATTTTAATATTTTTTCATAAACCTATTCATAGTACTAGTTTGTATCGTCACAACATACGAAACGTTATACCGTTTTTTTATTCATTACCCTACGTTAATATATATGCGTATCTTTATGAATGAAAAACTGTTATTGTGTATGTAGCGTGAAGATGCTAATTCAGACTAAGTATAATTTATTTTATGATGTACTGTAATATAAATGGTAACGCGGCGTTGGGCTTGAGGTGTGAGTATGTTTGAATTAAGCTCCATAGGAAGCACCCAAGTTCACGGTTCGTGGTTTAATTGCAATCCCAGCGACCCGTGTAGATGGACTAGATTTCCTGCGGACTAAATGTGTTCGGTGTTATTCACAGTTAACTGCCCCCAAACGAATTCAATACAATAACGTTGGCTCCAGCTCCAGTTAATAATATAGTTGAGACGGAATTTTAATTTAATTAATGGAATCTATCTAAAAAAGGTTTGTTTATTCGTAATTACTCATATATACAAAATGTATTTAAACTTTTACGCTAAATATCTGTAGTTATTGTATATAACTCCGGTAAACTTAAACTAGGCTTAATTTACATATATGTATTTCCTAGATTCCGCTGCAGTACGTGGAATGTGTAAAGCGGGTTAAAGTTGTTATCCGTTAGATATCAACTTCCTGATTTGTTACGAAATAGATAAGAGAAAATCCAAGCAGTAAGTTTTTAAGAATTTTCTTAGTAAACGGCAAAGTTATATAACATTAGATTTAAACTATTATTGGTTAAAATTAATGTAATAAACGATTAATAGGGATCTGTTGGAATTAATTATACTTTTGTATATCATACTTGCCAAATATTTAAATAGGTATTAAGTCATTCCCGTTTATAAGTATGTACATTTAAATCACATCAAAAAATAATTTGATAGTTTTAAAGCTATCAATACGGTAGTATGAATGAATCGTATAGTAATTTCAAATAAAATAAGTATAAAAACTTTGTTATAACTGGTTTGTTCGTTTATACTTTAGATGTTACAACTTATTCGGCTATTGAACCTCGCTTCATTGTCGATCGTCACCGCTCCCACGCCGCATAGCAATCTCGGATCGTATCTCCCATAACCTTCTAAGTTCTATGCTTCAACAAACCACCTAGATTTCTCTTTTATTTCCTTAATCTAATACATAATTTACCATTCCATACAGTTGATTTTACTTATCAGATACAATTTATTTGTATACAAAATTCAGACGCTCTTGTATGGGAAATTTTTGTATATAATATTTGTTAAATCAATTACATTATTTCAAACTACAAAGGTCTGTTAAATGAGCGTGATGTATTCACATACGTTTAATGTTATGAGTCTTATGACAAACGATACGAAATAATTGGTAGAGTTTTGAATTTAATTACACCGATACATGATAGCTAATATAAAATATTGTTTTACCATTGTATGTATTTAAGTTATGTTATTTGTTTTTATACTATATTTTCATCATGAATTTAAAACTTGTAAGGTTAAAATAATTGTTGATAGTTTAAGAACAATGACTACGGTTTTCCTATTATATTTATTTAAACGACGAGTTTGTCAAGATTCGGTTATAGGTATCAAAATGAGTTTATCATTTAATTCTGTTTTATATATGACGATAAGCGTAGTGTATGTATGTTTTGTTTGTTATATTTTAATATACTCATGAGTGGTTCAAGCCGTCACGTAACACCATGGAATCACCAGACAGTGAGATCACACTTAAACCGGTTCCAATTCCGTGTTAATCCCATATTTCGTAATATAGTTTGCTCCATATATGAAAATATTCATCAAAATATTCTCTTTGTACATCATATTATTATGTTATGATCTTTTATTAATGTATTTATTATATACCTTTTTTGCTATTTCCATTTAAAAAATTGTATTTTGTTTAATATATCACGTTTTTGTAATATATTTTTTAAGCATGATACATAAGGCTAGAAATCAGTCTACGTCAGAATCTACATTACCGAGATAAAAGAATTAAATTTTTAATGAGTTATATAGGTTAGCGAGTCGCATATTAGAGTGTTTCATAAAATTTTCAACTGAAAAGCAATAAAACAGAGTTATCTCGCTGAAAACGAGTTCACATTCGCAGGTGTTACTGAAACGTGTGCGTGTTCGTGTTGCGAGCTCGTTACAAACGTATGGAATAGCACATTAACGTTATTCAACCACACAAACAAACATACGATACAAGTACTAACTGTTATACAATCATCATCAAGATCAATGAGAATTTTAATGAAATTATATGAAAAATTATTCAAACAAATTATCAGTGTATATTTGACTGGTTGGATGTATTCATATGTGTATAGTATAATACATGTATTGTGTATTAGTTTGTAACAGTAATGAAGCTATAATGTAGAGAATATTAGGTATATTTAGAGTGGTTCTAAATAGAAACTACATACTATTCGATACTGTTCAATTATAAATCTATTTTAGTTGGTACATAATTACATATATCTATCTGTTTTAATACTGTATGTGTTGGGTTATATGGTAGTGAAGCTTTTGCGGCTAATGATATAGCTATGTAACTTTGTACGTATAGATACTGGGAATGAATTTTCATCCGCAGGCTATACATTGTGTCGAGGCTTCCATTATTGAGGGCGGTGGATCGGCACAGTCCACTTGCTCGTAGCTTTTGTATTACAAACAATTCAATAACACTGTAATGGGATTCAACTCTGTCTAGAGCAAGCCACGCGAGACTGCCCTCTAACTGACTGTATTGTTTTTTTTTCTTTTCTCATTGCATTCGAGGTATAAAAAACGTTGGATTTTGTTACATTGTTACTACATATTATATGAATATGTTTTTTCATTACAAAAAAAAGTAATTAAATAATCTTAAGGATTTGATATAAAAGGATTTTTTGCTGTTTTTATTCTATAGTATACATTTATGTACATTCTATAGTAATGTGTTTTTACGTAATTTTATATACTTAAAAGTAACGTAAGTTAACAGTAGCTGAGTATACTAGCGGGAATCAACCAGTATATTTATATTTGTAATAACAACCTGTGACTCTATTAAGTACTACGTTAGGTAATTTCCTTAAACACCTCGCATTCGATGTTTTGAGCTCCGCAACGGATATTATGCCTCCACTTATATGTACATGGAAATGATTGTCAATATGCTTGACAAACAACATTCTATATCGTAATTGCTATTATAGTTAAATATCTCACACAATTTACCTACTGGTTGCTATTTTTACATCATACATATATGTACTTTTCAATGCTAATTTTAATAAATAAGGAATTTCAAATAAAATATGTCAGTACCTTATACGCGTTGAATATATAAGAGATTTTACGAATAGTGTACATATATTATTGTATATTTAAATCGCAAGGTGCTTCGATTAGTCTCAGATGCGTGTTATCGTTTTAAAGGTTTCACACTATTTATATAGAATTTTATCTTCTTACTAGTTATATAACGCGTTAAGAAAATAAACCAAACTATATAGATGATATTTTTTACTGTTAAAATTATATCGAATACAACACGATAGCTATATAAACAAACTTGTAAGGTGCACCAAAACGGTTTCTTTTCAACCGGGATCTAAGCGGGGATCTTCAATCTTCTACCAAAGACATTTCAAATAAAGCTTGACATGATACAGGCTTCATATTTCTTTGAAAAGCCATTCACCCCTAACATAAACAAAGAAATGCACTTAAAGACATATTCTCAGTAGCTGGGCGCAGCACACAGAAATAGCCTCACTTACATCCAACGTATAACGTAAGCGAACCGTTTTACCGGCAACGTTAAAAAAAATATTACTGAAATAATAAACCATTCTCTAGCATAAACATCGGTCAGGTGATGGAAACCTTGATCTCAGTGATTTTTAAACTGTCTGGCTTTTGTGAGTGACGTCATCCGACGAGTCTTCAATACGACCCAGATACTTTCTATTGGGAGTCCACTGACTATGAAATACTTATTGTTAACGCGACCATAAATGTACTTCCAAGTCCGACAAATGATATTAATGATGGCAAACTCGTTGGAATGTCAGCCTCGAGACCGGATATCAATGCGCACTACCGTTACTGTTGTGGAATTATAGAACCGGTTTGTGTTATATTAAAAGTGATATTTATTATGCAGATAGTTATAAATAGTATTTCCGATTTATATTATTTACACGTATGTAACTATAGCGTCACTTTATACTAGGATATGCTCACCTTGGATTGTCCTTTTAGAATACTGTTTCTGTTAATTAAATAACGGAAGCTTTGTGAGATAATTTGTTGTATATCTCAATCAGGAATCAACGGAGGTCAATTAATAGAAAATAATTTTGACTGTTTACTTTTAATTCACACAGTTGGGAATGGAAAATAAAATCAAATATAAGTAAAAACAATTTAATCAAAGTAAGAAGTAATTTAAAAAGTTAAGTTTGTTCTAAAGTACAGTTTGTTTTCGCCGAGTTACGTTCGCTACCTTCATAAGTTATCTAATATATTATTAACAATTACCGCAGTCAAAACCCTGGCTCCTAATCTGTTCTTCTTTAAGAATCCTTCTGAGAATGAGATTTAAATTAGTCTGGTTTTAATATTATTCATATATTAAAACTGTATTTTAAATCCATCCATCAGTCCTTAAAAGTAACATCAATTAATTTGGCAATTTTAAAAAAACTATCGGCATTGTTGGAAGCTCGTAACTATGTTTTTTATGTAATTATTAAATGTATACTTTAGTTGTGATACAAACTATCGTAAAACTAGGTCTCTGGTATGCGACGTACGAGGCCGGTTTAAAGTTTACTTCAACCGTATACAATACGTATTACGTATTACCCGTTATACGATATATTCGATCATACCTTTGTAATATTTTACATAAACTTGTATCATTTTTTATTATTTACAACTTAAAATTGATCATCAATGCTTATATCAATCTGGAGATTCGCGTATTTTTTAAAAACTTTAATTTACATTTTTTCGAAGGTAAAAATATAAAAGAAATGAGAAGAATGGAATATTTTTTAATTAAAACTTGCGTCTCGTCTCGCGAAGCCTTTGAAGATTTTATCTATAATAAAACTTTTATTTACAACTGTTGATTAATGTATTTTTAATGTACTAACAAACTATTTATACATAACAATAAAAATATAATACGTTTATGAATAATACAATTAAATGCATACTTTAACACTGATAACATAATGATAAACATACATTTAATTTTGAATTTGTTGCTGTATATTGATATTAAAATTATTATTATTAAAGTATATGGAAATAAATGAGTTTTAGATCTATTTATTTTTATCAGGAGTATAGTAAACGGGTTTTGATTTAATTGAATTTTAAATACCTATAATTTAATAGTATGTATGTGTTACTATACTAATAGTCATCGATACATTGTTTACGTGTTCCCGAACATGTTTCATTACAGTCCGGTGTTCGTTACACCGCTACCTACGTTTATTATGTTTATTTTTATCATTTCACGTGTTTTCAATTGAAGCCAATCGTATCGGAAAAATTATTATGTCATAATATTAATATTGGTATTTATCTACACTTCTACATTAATATTATATAGAAGAAAATGAATGTTTGATTGTATGTATGTTTGATAGTAATAAACTCAAAAACTACTGTGATGATTTCAAAATATCTTTAAACATTTGATGCTACATTCTCCTTCATCAAAAATATGTAGTCTCTCTCTCAATTAAGATTAAATATGATACTTAAATAAAAAATAATGAACAATTCGGGTTGTAAGTTTAAACAGATAATGGTTGTAAGAATTAAAAAAACTACAAAACTGTTAATAAGAGGTAAAAATAATCAAAAAATGTGAAACCTACCGGGTCTCTAGGTAACATATAAAAATGTTGGTCAGATATAGGTATATTTTTTGTCTCATTCTTTAGTACATTTTCAGCTTTAATTAAACGATAACAATTTAACACTTTTTATTAACAAATCATCGACGATTTTAATATAACATGAAATATGTACGTTGAATGTTCTTGTTTAATTTTACGATAGATTCTCACATTAAGAACGAGTAGCGTTGAAATGTTCAGAGTTCCTAGCCATGGGAATTATGAAAATGTATTGTCTGTTAAATATTGTGGTGTGTACGACCTTGTGCTAAAAATCTGAAAGTTTACATTAACGCTCTGTAACAACAGAACAATTGTATATTACTTTTATAATCGGCGCCGTACGTATGTCTACATCTCAATTGATGTTATGTAACTAATATCCTTATTTTGTCTACAAAGTATTTAAAAGAATAAAACTATTTCTTTATATAGCACAAAATTTACATTGTCGACTCATTTAATGCAAACTGCTTTACAACAGGAAAAGTGTTTTAACGTTCGATTTAAACTAATTAAAATTTATAATTAGATAGCAATTTAATGCGTCTATCGAGATACTCCAGTTGCCTTTTAAGTATAAATACTAGCCAGTTGTATGACGATATAGATGTGTGAATAAAAATGATTTTCTTAGTCCTAAAGTGTACGTATTTTTCATAAGAATATTAAGAATATAATAAGTGAGTCACCACGGTTACTGCGAATAGATAAAAAGTCTGTTAAAATATAGAATAGTAGGATACTCTAAGTCTAAGTAAATCCAAAGAGAAATAGTTTTATTAATATATTAAGCACACATATTGATAGTGTTTTCATTAATTAGTATTTTATTGCACACTAAAAGTCACATTAGTATGTAATCACTTATGGTTACGCGTTCTATGTGAATTTTGAGCAAGTATTACCTCGTCTCTACATTTGTATAAAATATTGACAGAGATTTGTGTATAATATGCAAATTACTTTTTTTATTCGCATATTCAAGATCAATTTATACATAATGTAATAGATATTGGATTTTATACATGATGATGAATCATCTTGAATATGGTTAGATATTTTATTAAATAAATAAAGTAATATAAAAGTTTTTAAAGAAATTCAGATATCTCATTGTTTATATAAAATATTTATATTCAGAACTCAACTTCGTTTAACGAAAGCAACAAATGTTTTTACTAACTTTCGTCTTTTGCGGTTCGCGAATTCTCTCTTTTATAAAATGTATTATAAATAACAAAGTATATTTGAAATATGATTTGATGGAAATAATTCTTATTGTATATAAAAATGTTTCAGACATTCCCGATATACCTGAGGATATTAAGAAACTTCGGGCACTTCAGATAGCTGATTTCAGCAGCAATCCAATACCTCGTCTGCCGGCTGGTTTCAGTCAGCTGCGGGCGCTCACCGTCCTCGGTCTCAATGATATGTCATTGACTAGTCTACCCAGCGATTTCGGCAGGTGAGACATCCTTATATGGACTGTTTTGAAACTTTCCTTTCGATATTCAATAACGTGAGTTATTGCTAAGAATTGTTACTCGTCTTATTATTGAAGTTATACTTACTCGATGTATTAATATATATTCATAATACGAGTACATCAGTCTTTAGGTGGTAGAGCCTAACTAGTCCGTTGAGAGAGCCGGTTGCCTTTTCCCTATTTCCACCTTTTCTGCTATTTCCCTATTCCCTCCCCTCCATTTTCCTCAAAAATCAAGGTTGGCAACGCATCCATAACACCTATGTTGTGGATGTGCATGGGCGACGGGGTCACTACTGCCCATCATGTAGGCCTTCTGCTCATTTGCCACCTTTGACATAAAAACAAATATATTCTTAACGCGCTATCGTAGGTTTTAAACTTCTTATTATATATGAATTCTGATCGTCATCTTTTTGGTTTTGTGGAAATTTAATTAGAATTATCTCGTTATTATTAAAATACTTATAAAGCAGTTAAATCACCGTTAGGTTTCCTTCTGGTAAAAATAATGTGACATATGTTGCTAGAAGTACCTCTTATTTATTCGACACTTTAAAATATATTACGATACCTACTGGAATTAATAATGAAGTCATTTTATAGATTCTTACTACAAAAAATAAATTCAATAACAGAAATAATTAAAATCATAAATTCCCTTTTGAACAGTTCACTCATTAGTCATTACTAGTACAACTAGACATTAATTCAACCAACTTTAATTCTTTTATTAAATCATAACACCAATTAGTCATGATGATACGTATAAAAACGTTCAAAAAGGTTTTCAATTATCTTAAAGTATTCCCGTTGTGATCTTAATAGCGTTAATTCGGGTGTTAGAAGCGAAGTTATTCCCACCTGAAGCGAAAGTCCAGTGGAAAGTTACTAGTTTAATGTGGACCTCACCAGTCTAATGTTATGTAACATCACGTCCAATGACCCACAGATATAAAGCTGCCAAAACAAATTTCACTTACGTCATAAACATTACTGCTATCGGTTAGCTCTTTTTGTTGTTCGAAATAAATTGTTTTATGACTGTTAAAGCGTTATTTTTTTTCTTTGATAATATGAAAGGAATGTTATATTGTATTAGATGATTAAACAAATATTTCATATATATTTTTTAATAATAATTTCAAAAGGTCTCGATGTTCGCGGTTAGTATGACGTCATAGTCTGTGGCAACAAGTTGTTTTATATACACCCTAAAAGTATATTAATAAAAATAAGCTTTTATATCACAGTCAGTTTATTTTATACTTAAAATAGTATATCTTAGAAGTTACGTAATTATTCCATGTCCTTGACAGATTATTATATAATAAATCTATAAATGGCTCTATGGAAATGTATATAGATTTAGATTTGGTTATTGTTCGATGTAATCAGAATTGAACGAAGGTATATGAAAATTCAATGTAGTTTCAACATAACAGTAATTAAAGTTATAATTTGATATTTATATTGTGTTATAGCCATAACATCGGCGTACACAATCGAAATCACTGGAAGCGACTAATATGGGATACCGATATTAAATTTCGCATACGATTTTCAAATAAATTTAACTTCATACATATTATGAGTGAGATTATAACACGTTGTTGTAATATTTACATATAAAAATGTTATGTAAGGTCATACGTGCAATTACTGTTACCGCTCCAATGATAGCGATGCGTTTTATTCACGGTCGTTGTTCGTGAATAGTTTATTATAAAACACGTTATTGTACTTTAAGGAAATTGTTTTAAAGGGAAACTTTGGATCGAATATTTTAACTCTAATACAAAAACTGAAGAGTTTAAATCTTTATTTTATGAAGGATTATTATAATAGTTTACTCTCTTCTTAGTTAGTTAAAATACTTATACCTTTATCAATTGTAAGTGTATAATAACTTATTTGTAATAAATATTACTATTTGTTTTCTTCTCAAATTGATTTTAGAATAAAACTTAATATAAAGGATAAGAGCTTTATGTAGCTACTTGCACTTTAAATTTATAATAACTGGTTTTTATTATTGATCTATAAATATAAGATAATACTACCAGCATCGTTAAAACAATTTATAGTAATTGTGAAGATTCCGTCAAAATATTAAAGCGAATTAATATTGAGACAAATTTAAAAAATTTAATTTGGAACTTAAAAAATATTTGTCTCTGAAAGAATTAATATTAGTTTTAACTTATAGATATGAATTATTACGTACTCATTACGTAAAGTTTATTGAAAATACTATCCCAACGGCATGCTTGGAATTCTGTGCAAGTATGAAAATTTAAGACTTGTATTATAAATATCATTACGTGTTTAATGATTGTTGAGGAGTTTTTATCCATATGATAGTAACATGTATTGTGTTTGTACTTTCTGTTGGTAACCAACTGCATACTGATGAAAAATATGGTCAAGGTGAACAGCGTTAAGCTTCTGAGTTCTGACCTTTAAAGCTATATGTTTTATAATCGTTTAAGTTTTAATGAACGAAATTACATTACACGTTAACAGGCCTATATTGAGTACACTATTGCTCTATATATATTCCGATTAATTTCACATATTAGTTTTTATATGATAACGCTTGGGGCGTGCCAGCGATGTTCATTATCATGAAAGACTCTTTCTTATCATTCCTATTTCTTTTATTACTGCGATATTCTAGTTTTATTAATATGTAGCAATTTAAAATACTATGAATCGTTATCATTTAAGCATACCGATTGTCATGGAGGCGTACGTTTGAAATATAAAATATATCTAAGTTAAAGAATCTCTCTATAAGATTGTAATTCGTTGTCAGTTTTGAGGTAATTATAAAGTATTCTGGGTTTAAATGAGCCGTTAAAAGTAAAAGTATTTTATTGGTAGCTATAAACCTGAATAAGTTCGTCTTACTATTTTATGGGTCTGATATTAAATTAATTGTTGATTTTGCTTCTCTACCGTTTTATAATTTGAAATGTCTCTAAAGAATAAACTTAAAATATTTTTGTATAAATCGTTCCAGTCGTTGATTGATGATTGTGTTCTGTTTGTTCTTATATACACGTATTATATATGAGTACTTTGACATGCTCAGGTATGCGCGACCAAGGCTTTGTAAATTAAACGATGTACATAGCCAACAAATTATTTATATGTAAACAATACGTGATTAATTTGTTAAATCGATTCCGGTTTTCCATAATAAAATGCTAAATTCAAAATGATAATAAGCAATAATACTTTTTAGTATTGAATTGATTTCGATTTTATATATATAAATTTAAAGATGTCATTGTTGTAGTATATAATAAAAAATATATAAATAATGTCCATAAAGGTAAAGTTATATAAATTTGTAACATTAAGTTTAAAATTGTTCACTTACCCAGTTAACCTTGTATGGGTGCAGTGCAATGAAAATTGATCTTCCATTAGTCAGCCATTGTGTTTTTATTCTCATTAAGTGTGTCGTGAATCTTAAAACGTTCCAATGTTTGTAATAAGTTTTGTAACATTATTATTGTAATGTCAGTTTCTTGTAAGACATATTTCATATTTCAACACATGTCGTTAAATTTTGAGAGCTATGATCTTGAGACATCCCGGATGAATGGTTACATGTGACGAAATTTTTATATTAATATGGACTGATGAATTTCTAGTTCGTGTAAGCGAATTTGTGATTTTGTTATTTAAATTAAATAATTTGTATGTTACAGCTTAGTATCTCTCCAATCTTTGGAGCTGAGAGAAAATTTGCTCAAGTCATTACCGGAGTCGTTGAAGAATCTTACTAAGTTAGAAAGGTTGGATTTGGGGGATAACGAGATCGAAGAATTGGTAAATATATTATCTTAATTTACTTTGATAATTATATTATTATTATAACTATTATGTCTTTGTCACTTTCAGCCTGGTTTTATCGGTGAGCTACCAGCTTTACAAGAACTATGGTTGGATCACAACAAACTACAAAATCTGCCATCGGAGATAGGAAACTTGAAGGCTCTGATATGTCTGGACGTCAGCGAGAACAAACTAGAGAGGATCCCAGAAGATATAGGTGGACTTACATCACTCACAGATCTTCATCTATCCCAGAACATGTTGGAAACAGTACCGAACGGTATTGGAGATTTATCGAAACTAGCTATACTTAAACTGGACCAAAATAGACTTCACACTTTAAACGAAAACGTCGGAAGGTATAATAACTATTCATCAGTATTTTACCAAAATATTATCTGTTAATTATGAATTTCTAACAATATCATCAATTCCAGGTGTACGAGCCTACAGGAATTAATTTTGACGGAGAATTTTTTAACAGAGCTGCCTAAATCAATAGGAAATCTGAACGAATTGACAGTATTGAACGTGGATAGAAATTCATTAGGTGATATTCCGTTGGAAATTGGCAATATGACTCTCTTGGGAGTTCTGAGTCTTAGAGACAACAAATTAACCAAATTGCCAAACGAACTCGGCAACTGCAAGTCACTCCACGTGTTAGACGTCAGTGGGAACAGGTAAAGTTTTATAGTACCATTAATATTATACAACATAAGATAAATACAGTTCAATGATTGTATGTATCTGAATTGACTAGCTCAATATTTAAGACAGTCTTTACAATTTTTATGATATTTGATAGACCAATAATAATATTAAGAAAAAATTTATTATATAAAATGAAATACTTGGCATTTCGAGTTGTCCTTTTGTATATCATATACATATCTAAAAGAATTAAAATTAAATACATATATACGTAATTTAAATTTTTAACTACACTGCAATACCAACCAAAGAAAAAGGAATTTAATTTATTATATTTTTATGTATGAATTATTTTCAGATTACAATACCTGCCTTATACTCTAGTAAATCTAGAGTTGAAAGCTGTTTGGTTGTCAGAGAACCAAGCGCAACCCCTACTAACTTTCCAGACGGATAGAGACGAAACCACAGGCGAAAACGTACTCACGTGCTTCCTACTACCACAACTGAGTTACACGCAACAACCAGGCACGTCTATAATAATTATATAGAACATTTAACGCTTAATAAAAGTCTTATCATGTTTCGAAAATTTGTAGGGGATATTGAATACAACATTTTTACTATTAATTATCTTGTATAACTCAAACATAATAAGACTATGATTTAATACAGCTTTATGCAAATTGTTCAAGCTTTCACCGCTATATAAAAGTTTAAAGAACGGATTCTTAAAAACACGAGGTCACATTAAGAGTTCACATTACTTAAGAGCATTAAAGTCGTGAGGTCAACGAACCTTAAATGTTTTGTTACGCTAAAAACACGCAATCACTATGACACTGCTATAATATAATGTATGTCCGTCTGTTCTTTACGCTTTATAGATGCACTTAGTAGATATTTCTTTATAGAAAACGCTGACATATCTTTGACAGTTAAAGTATGGAAATTTGATGTATGTATAGTGATGTTATACAAATTTTTATATGTCCGTTTTGCTTTTTCGTGCTTCCATTTTAATTGTGCTACAATCATCGGCTATTTATTTGATGAAGGAATTAATTCTTATTTTCTTTTTTCTTACTATATAAAATAGTTTGAAACATCTTTACGTAATGATTTGATATATTCCTTTTTAATATCATTTGTACTAAATAGCCGTTGATTTGTGTTGTTTTTGTTTTTTTTTGCTGTGTAAATACTAAAAGTCACTTTCATCGGAACACAATAGAGTTGGAACATACGTCAGAGGTCGGCAGTGGCACGTGGTTCAGGGATCACAGGTTTAATTCCAATTCACAAGAGCTTTATAGGATCGAAGGTGAGTTCACACTAAGGGGTACATACACATAAAACATATATACTTTATGCACTCGACCTTATATATATTCTTATAACGTAGCTTAGTTAATAAGTCGTTATTACCCTGTAAATAATATAAACAATTTTGTTTTTGTATTGTCCCAAGTTTTTGTTGCTTTTTTTCTGTTGTTATCGTCAGCGCTAACGGCATTCATTTTGTCCTTATATACTTTTTATATGTAATAATTATTTTCTTAATTGAAGTTTTATTTCATATTAGAAGCAAACTATTCCCGGGACCGGGATTCGGATGACGATTGGGAGGAAAAGGAAGCTTCTAGGACGATATCTGTCAAGTTCAATGAAGATGTTCCCGAAGCGAAAGAGGTGAGGATATGTTGTTGTCTCTTTCACACACCAGCTACTAGCGCTAGGTTCAATTATTGGCACGGTCTTTCTAGTGCGAGTACACGTCGATATGAGAGAAGTAGGAATTGGTTTAGGAATATATTCAATGTGATGAACCGCCAGAGGGCGTATCTAGCTCTAAGTACGATTGTAGTGTCACTAGAATAATATATAAATATATAATTATATTATTTGTTCATTAACAATACATGTATAATAATTTATAATAATAAACGAAGATTGTTTTTATATTTATATTGTAATTATTTCCATAATAATAAAGTTGTATATTAAATTTATGTTTTATTTTTATTTGCATGTGCTGTTATTTGTTGTTATGTAAAGTTAAATGTTAATATATATTTTTATTATAATATTGGAATGGTGTTATGTTTTTTATAATGATTTTCTTATTTTTATTTTTTGCATATGGCAACATTGTTTCACATATGATTTTTTATTATAAACCATAAATTAATTGTAACTCACTGTACTGGAATGTTAAAAAAGAAATGTTTTTTATCTGATACATATGTACATTAGCATCAGCTATCTTCACGTCGTCTTAAGATAATGCAATGAGCTCATGATATCGTCTCAGATAATGTAAGGATTTACAACACCATTTTTTTCTCAATAAGAATTATTTTGTATATTTTACTTTAAATTCATATGTATGTTATTTTAATATTAAGTTCGGGGTAAATGAAACGCAATCAGATGCTGGGATTTTATTAGTTGCGGAGGTTTTACGTAGAATGGGCTTGTTGAAGGTGAATCACGAGGATGAAGAGGCTGATACGTTCTTCGGAGTACAAATGCTAGGGCTGAAGCGGCCTTTAGATGTAGTACGAAAGCTAGTTACTACACAGCGGAGAGCATCACTGCAAAGACTATCATCATCTATAACAAACCTCTCTGAGGTACTACTGGAGTGCAATCACGGATTTTATTAGGAAAACTGAAAAAAATCAAACGGGAATTAGTTTTATATCAGCTATTGATAGATGTCGCTATGAATAATATTGTGTAAATACCTTAACGTCTCTGAATGCACTCCGATCACGTATACAGCCGCATACAAGCCTTGGAAGTATAACCAGATTATAGATTTTGTCGCTGCGAGTAGAAAGCATAGAATAGTCTTAGATTATTTTTTATTTTGTTAACTATAGCTATTAAAATTAATTTTCATACCATCAATACATATACATCAGGACTTTGGCGATTTTATATATAAGTAAAACTATGCTTTTTTCGGATTTTAGTAACCGATGTTAAGATCAATGCAAAAAGTCATAATTACGTACACTGCACAAAAATGAAATCGGCGAAGTAAATCCGGAAAAAATATAGTTTTGATTACTTAGAGATCTTCAGTCATTTTTTTCTCATTCAGTCTCATCACAGCATGTTAAAGGTTTTAGGACCATTAAAGCACATATCACTAGGAATATTCTTTAGGTAACTTGTCTAGCACTATTCACACACAACTGCTGAGATCACAACTTATCTCATGATGTACGTCCTCCTACTCGAATGTTTCAGATGCGTCTGATATCATATCCTGTGATTCATTTGTCGTTTAATAGGTTAAATGCCAATTATGATTTTTTTCGTGTGTCCACCAAGGTTACCTGCATACATATAATTTTTTATAAATTTTTTCATCACATACAGATTCACTCTAATATAAGTTTTTGAACATTTTATTAATGTTTGGTTTTGCATATCATTTTTGTATATTTAACTTACGCTATAATAATATTCGCTTAAAGGCTTAACGGTTCTACGTACATTGGTTATTTTATTGTAATATTCATAAAGTATAATTTAGGTCAACATTTAATATTTAATCGACAATATTAAACATATTATTGCCTGCCATTTCATACGAACTTATTTCGTATACCATACTATGTAGAATTATATTTATATTATTAAAATTTTATATGGCATGGGCATGTTATTAGTATTTTTTGACAATAATAATGTAATTAAAATTGTATCTAATACGTATATATTTTTCAGACGCCGTTCGTACGTCAGAACACACCTCATCCGAGGGAGTTGAAGGCAAAGGCTGTCAAGCTGTTCACACGAACACCTGAACAACAGCAGGAGAGAGAGATAGAGAGAGAGAAGGAGACGGAGAGAGAGAAAGAGAAAGAGAAGATCAATGAGATACCGACAACAAACGGCATTGTACTATCACCGCCGGATACACACGCACCTGATGTTACCGAGGTATTTATATTGAATTGATGTATTGATGTATAATATTATTATATACAGGGTGACTGGTGAATTACTATCAATATTTAAGGAGCATACTCGGTACATGATTCTCATTCGAATTATGTAAAAAAAATAGGTACTTAATTTTTGACCAAATTTCCGTATAAATAAATAAAGTGTTGACACGTTCCAAGTGTTCAAGTGTTGACGCGTGCGGGGGCGTGCTGATACAACACTACGTCACGACACGCGTATGTGTGACTGTCAGTGTATACCTAATCTGTAGGGTGTTCACACGATAACTTTACTCAGAAGTTTATTAATATTTATGTTATATTAATTTTTATTTTGTCATATATGATCGTCAACTACCACGTCCTTAAATATTGATAGTAATTCACCAGTCACCCTGTATAGAACGTTCATGTAAATAAATGATTTTTTATTAAACAAGAGTATGTGGTTGTTGTACCTTCAATTATACAAATATATTTATTTGCACAGGAGTTCATGCCTATACAAAAGTTCTTATTTGTCAAATGAACGCTTATAACATATAAAGAGAATAAATTTTTTGGTTAAATTTTTAAATTCTTACGATTTAGATTTTTTTTTGTTGCGCAATTAAAGACCTAAATCAACTGTCACATTTAATGTGCATTATCATTTGTTTGCATAAGTCTTATAGTACATTTCATTTGAAATGTATCGCAAAAATATGTTTAAGTATTATATATGATTTTTTAATTTCAGCCATCCTTAGCGTACGTACACGAAATAACGAGAGACGATGAAAGCGATAGTCAAACAGCTCACGAGAAGGAATCGTCTGAAGCTGAGAACGAAGACGAAGATTCAGACGAATTAGAGGTAATGTTGACGAAATTATTGTATACAACGCTTACTAAGGCATATGTGAAATAAATGTTCGGCCTGCCCCATTGTTGTTACGAGAAAGTTATGGGAAATGCTTTATGTGTATATTCACTAATAACGTGGGATAAATTTTTAGTACTGTTGTCCGGTTTGAATATAATGGTGATAAATGCTTGTATTTAACTTACTAAAACATAGTATACATAGTAATTTAGTCGAGTTATACATGGGTTTAGTTTACTAATAAATAATTACTAATAATTTAGAAATTATATTGAAATGACACGAAAAATTAACTTTATTTTAATATTATATCATTAATTGTAGAATTAAATTTTATTATTGATTATTTATATATTAATAATAAAAATATATAAATGGATAATACTCCAGAAGTAATAAATATAGTATATATACAGGGTGACTGGTGAATTACTATCAATATGTAAGGAGAATACTCGGTACATGATTCTCATTCGAATTATGTAAAAAAAATAGCTACTTAATTTTTGACAAAATTTCCGTATAAATAAATAAAGTGTGTACACGTTCCAAGTGTTCCAAGTGTGGACGCGTGCGGCGGCGTGCTGATACAACGCCACGCCGCCGCACGCGTATGTGTGAGTGTGTGTGTATACCTACTCTGTAGAGTGTTCACACGATGCGTAATTAATTACATAACTTTTGGTTAACTTTACTTAGAAGTTTATTAATATTTATGTTATATTAATTTTTATTTTGTCATATATGATCGTCAAATATCACGTCCTCAAGTATCGATAGTAATTCACCAGTAACCCTGTATAACGTTTGTCGAATTAGGTATATATTTAAATCCATTTATATATTTCTATCTTAAAAATTCTAAAGGTGTGCAATACGAATAATATATAGCATAATACTTAATCTAAACTATCAAAGTCATCCATAGGCTACTGTGAGATCTAATACTAAAAAAACTTCCTATATAACTGAGCTTATATAGGTGTTTATATATCAATAGTGTTAGTATTTGCTATTATTCCCAAAGAGGGTTGATGTCAGGCAGGCGGCCGGTCATAAAAACTTTTATCCAAAAATATTCACAACATGTATGGCAGACTGGCTAAAGCTGGGAAATTGCCAGATAGCAGTATTAGTATTTGCTATATACTGTTTGTATATATGGGGTTACTAACTGGTGTAGGGCTCGGGTCGTCGTGTAGCGTGGGCCGGTGTCCGTGAGCCGCGTGGCGCCGGTCGTCTTCATCGGCGTGATACTCCTCATCATCTGAAGAACAAACGCGTCAACCAGATAGATGCTGGAAGAGCGAGGGATCTTATAGCGCAGGTGCTGCATGGAGCGATCTAGATCTAGATGCATACATCTAGATTTAGGTGCATGCATGTGTGCATACATCTAGGTTTAGGTGCATGCATGTGTGTATATATCTAGATTTAGGTGCATGCATCTGTGCATATATCTAGATTTAGGTGCATGCATGTGTTGAATAAATAACCCTGTTTGCATAGGTTATATAGCATGAGTTTTTTTGCATGTCATAGTCCCACTGATGTGTGATAGTGAGTGTTATTAACGCAAAGGGAGGAGTGTTGTAAATTTAATTACGATGTTTGTGTGTTTGATTCTGTCTGTGCCATTTATATTTCATCGATTTTGATGAAGCTTTTCAAATAAAGGTAGTTTCCTGATTTGGTTCTTCGATATGTTTGGTTATTAAGAGTATGAGCTTTTTCAAATTCATGTAAGACCATTTTGTCCTATGATTACTCCAATCAAGTACGGCACATTACAAATGAGACTGTTTTTCATAGTTAATATAAAGTTGTTAATAATTTATGTTCTTACAACCAATGTACAGGTTGTTATTATGTGGTGTTTTCTAACTGTGTACGTCCTTTACCGTTTATTACTAGTTAACTGATCCGTTTTAAAAGTATTACACACTATTACGTGATTTATATAAGTTTCATACAAATAACAGTACCATTCTGTGGTATTTGATTTCTTGGTTTCAAAGTTCCTGGGCTTAGTCTTTGCCAATTTTGTACTGAATATCTCATACCTGCTATTTTTGAGACTCGTCTTCCATACAACGGTCTGATTTTATCGTCTTCCGACTTATACATTTATTCTGAACATTTCATTGTACATAACAGTGTTATAATGTATATGTAATCAGCTTGGCCATGCTAGTGTCAATTGTGAGTTAATCGTATAACTGGGCAGTCTTAAGACTGTATTATTAAATCAATAAAAATAAATTAATTTAACCATATACAAATGTACCCCATAAAAATTCTAGCCGTGTGAATCAGATTATTTTAAGAGAAACAAATATATATTAGTACGCGTAAAACAAATCGCATTGTAATTGTTTATAGTGATCAGAAAAATATGTTATAATTGTCTTATAATATTTACACATCTTATTACTTTTGGTTATTCTTAAAGAAAAAAAAGTTGTTTTTTTTTTGTTGTGTTATCCCATGTTTCGATTATTTATTTATAAAAGTCGTATAACTAAATTAAAAGTACCGAAGTATAACTCATATAAATTAAGAATCTATAATAATAATGTTATAGTTGACAAAATTTTATTAGAAAAAAATAAACGATAATGTCTCCAATAAAAAAATGTATTTTTCTTTTACTTGAATAAAAAAACTGTTTCCTTCCACCGTGACTTTCCAATACTGATAATATATTCCGATTTCTGCTGCATATTTATAACAATAACTATTATATTGTTGTCAATACGTAAATACAGCCGTTAGTTAGTCTCGACACGATAATTGCCAACCATATAGTAGTACGGATACGTAACTCATAACGAACGTCTACATGAAAACGGTACTTTTGCATTTAATTCAATAGAAATAGGGTTAGAAGTATCAAATTGTGCTAATGACCAATAAATCAAGAGTCGAATGTTTGTGAAGCACGACTTAAGCGTGGGTAATTGTTGGAATAGTAGCAGTTCCGGGCTGATGAACGCGGGCCCTCGAGCAAGACGCTAACGTTAGACTGTATACCCTCATAGAGGTTCGCAGAAATGGCTGTATCTCACAGCGCTCGCGACAATCATTTGTTATTGATAAAACAAATGAATTTTCCCTTGTGATTGTATCTTCCTAGCTGTTGTTTATGATAATGAGGTGTTTGAAAGCGGCTGGTGGATTTCTTGCCCGGGTGAGATCTTTGTTCGTTCCCTTAAAGAATGTTCTATACATTTCTCGCTTTACATAGCTTTTGTTTTGTTTAATGATTAATTCATTGTGTGCAATTAGTGTTTTGTTTTTTTTTTGTATAGTGCTCTTCATATTAGTCGGAAATTTTTCTTGGTGATGATAATATTTTGAACAAGAATTTCTATTGCAGGCTATAAAGAAACGAGATCAACACGAAATTAAAACAGACGAAGAAGTCACTGACGACGTTCCAGACGGTGAGTCCGTTTTTTTTTCTAATGTATGTCATTTATTGTATGAAATTAAGGGGCCGGTGATACATAAACAGTGGTATGTAAGGTGTATTTTTCATTATACGTGAACAGATATTTCGTAAGGCTCATGTAGAACATGAATCTTTACAAACTATTCGGATTGCCAAGGATGGTGACACAGTGAGTAATGTTAGTACCACAGATAACGCTTGCGACATAACTTCACGCGATCGTGACCACATTCTCTGGTAATGATCACGAAGCATCACTTCCATGACAACGTCGAGCTTTAAAAGGTCGATATTACGAAAAACATGACACAAAAATACTAAACAAAATGTTTTTATAGTATATATATCATGCCAAAAATGTATGCCATAAAATCGCTTACGGCCTTGACGCTTCATTTTCTTTTGTTTTTATAGAATAGTGTGTTATTTTAGGTCATATTTTTTGTAAAACAGCAATGGGATACACAACCTGTACCACGTTATCTGTTATCGCGTTGTTATCGTGTTATCAAAACACTCTACGTGCCAATTTTGTAACTCGCCCATTTATTCGTCACATGTGCCCAGTTGGCTCTAGTTGCATTCATAAAAACATAATCTGTAGTGCGTGACGTCTGAAAATATGCGATAGAAAATTATCAACGTTTCAATTCGTTCAGTGTAGTGCGGTGCAGTGTTTTGACTATGTGTTTTTCATTTACTTAAAGACGTTATCTGTAATCAAAAATATTTATCGCGAGTGATGTCATCGTAGAAAAAATTTATGGTGTATTTATTGTTAACAAATGTTCGTACAGTACGTACAAAATAATCCGTCCTTCTCATATTATTTGAATGTCGTATTCTTGAATACGTATTGTTAGTCGCTCGTAACATCTTCAAATACACTAGGTTGTTTGTTTAAAACATAACACCTTGTATTTGTTATTACATTGAAGGTCAAAAATATTGCTAGCATTGTCTTCACAAGCGTATACGTCATGTGACTTGCACTAATGTTATTAACAATACGATCTTATAGTTTTACAGGTCGTGATGTACTGTTTTCTATTGTGAGAACAATATAATTGATATAAACCCGTACTTTCTCTGTTACAATCGCATACTACCTGCGCTAGTGTTATCCATAGCTATATTTAGATTAATTCTACGGTATAGATTGGACAAAAAGTTATTTTACTTTCACATGAGAGGTTAATTATGTTTTTTTGTTGTAAACATCTTATTCTTTATATTCGCTTGATATAAGAGCCATACTGTATATTGTATGCTTTAATGGTTCATGTTTTTAATGGCTTTCCATTACTTTTATGATAATTTCCTCAGTTTTCTAAGAACATAGTTTTTTAAAATATTAAATATAAAGATGATTCCTAATGAAATAAAATATAATTATTTTTTATCTTTTAAACCAAAAAACTAATATTTAGACTTCCTATACAAGTCTTATATTAATCAACTTAATATATTCGTATGAATAAGTCATGCTATTGAACTGATATTATCTTATCACTACCAATAACAACGGTCGTCCAGGCATTCCAATTGCTAGTCTAGAGTGACTTCCGTCGGTCACTTACTGTTAAATATTACGCATATACTATATAATCTCTTTAAAACATCGTATTTGTTATTAATAGTTCAAAAAGAGTTTCTTATAAAATGTTTTTGGTTATTTATTTTAAGTGTGTTAATTTCTTGGACCATCCAATTTTCTCTATCCATCAACAGCATCTTTGTCTGAGTGTCAGTTAATGTTACGTTCAATATTTTAACCTCAATTAATTTTGACAATGTTGAGACTGTTCTCGGTCTTGTAGTCATTTGTTGTACAAAATACATTAGTCATGTGCTGTACTTATTCTATGTAACTTTCCATGCTCACAATATTAATAAATCGTCTTTATCACTTTGAGAATGCGTTTGTAATTACGTGGAATGAGTTGTTTGAATTCTCTCATAATGATCAAATAGTCCGTATTTGTATGATATATAGTGAAAGGCAACAGTGAAATATTAATATTAAAATTATGAAAGACAAAAGACTTGAGTTGAAATTGAGTGTTCGTGGTGATGGTTCGTTGAGTAGGAACAGTGCGAGGAGCAGCACGAGGAGTAACAGAAGCAACTTAAGTAATTCTAGTTCAGCTTTACCCGTGAGTGAGATATTTGCAACCGATCGCTACCAAGCACCGAACCGTGCTTTTGATATCCTCGATAAATATAGACAACAGCCCATACAGAACGAATATCCGGCGAGGAGTTTGCAAAATTTGCAACAGTACCCACCACAACACAGTTATGGATACAGAAATGGAAATTTTCTGCCAGATTATGTGGAATACATAGATCCAAGATACGCTCCGGCAGAATATCCGGTGCGAGGTGGTTACCAGCCAGTGTACCGTGACCCTCCCGCCGCTGTCTACAGCACCGTACCGCGGATCCCGGTATACACACAACAAAATATAATCAACCCAGTTCATTATACTCTGCCACGAACAGCTAGACGTGTCAGAATAAGCGAACATGAACCAGTCGTTTTCGGTTATGGTATGTTTGTTTAATAATTTCATTGTAATATATCATAATTAGCAGATTTTTATATCAATTTCATTATCGTTTGGTTCAAACTTGCCATATTTCATCAACTTTCATACACAAGGTTGTGTAGAAATAACTCTTGTTATAAATGCATTTACTTTCTCCCTATTAGAATATGAATTGATCTTAATGACACGATTGCTATATTCTATGATTCCTTCAATTTAACCAGTAGGGATGTTTTGCAAGTTTATCTGACATTTACCAAGAGAAATTGGCCTTAGAAAGCTGTTTAGAATAGAAATTATTTACATCGACCCGTAAGAGTTCCTTATATTCTATAATATCTAGTTGCAACGGATGTTATATGCGTGAAAAGGTATTGTGTGAGTTATTGCTGGTTAATTTAGAACGGTTTAATTAGTTAAGTCGAGAAACTTATAATTAGTTCGAGACAGGTAGAAGAGATTTACCTTAGCGATCTGTTCTCTAAATATGACACGTGATTTCAAGACGACATGTATTTTGCTCTGAACTGACATTTGTTTTGTGATTTTCAAGTGCATAGGACCCTATGTTCCTCGTGTAAAACGCCATTAAATTTATGATCAGTATTTCAACCATAAAACTATTTATAAATCAATAAAATTTAATGTCATAAATTGAGTCCAGTAAATTTTGTAATAGAAATATTGCAGTTATAATAATCAATATTCCATACAATAAATTATTTAATATTTATGCAAACTTGCCCATGTAGGACGATATATCGGTCAGCCGTATCTAGGGACGTACAACAATAGCACACGCACCTGAGTTAATTGGTCCGGTCCAATGAACCAGCCGTCAGGGCCCATGCTCAGTCCTTTATAAGTATCGGACCTAATAACTTAGAACGGCTTTGGTTTTTTTGCACCATAATGGCTGCAACAAAATCGGCAGTACGCGGCATCATGTGTTCTATCATGGAGCTCACTTTCAAAGCAAGTAAGGCTTGTTCTGTGCACGTCTTCCTGAGGTCAGGATCCGCATTCGTTTATGTTTCTGGTAATTTCCTTCCTCTTTTATTTTATTCAACATGTTCGTCGTGAAGAACTAATCGGATAATCTGTTTACATCACCTAATAGTTACGCCCTTGATTTTGGTTGTACATATTTTATTTCTATTATTTTTTATTATCACGATCTTATATTTTCTTAAAATTTGTTAATTTTTTTCATAATATTTCATATGTCACTTAAATTATTTTTAATATACAAGAAAGTTAAAAAAAATCTTGGATATCGTCTCGTTCTAGATAGAGAACCGTTAAGTTGTGAAAATAATTTAATGACGCTTAAATAGTTTTAGTATTAAAATTCAGATTTTTGAAGGTCAACGAAAAGCAATAAAAAGATAAAAATATGCTAATGTATCTCGACGTTTTTATATAAATAGATAGTGTTTAAATAAATTCGTTGTTTGTCTCCAATATGCAATTATTTCGTTTGATATGTATTTTATAATTATAATGCCCATTATATGTAAAAATATATTCGTTATAAATAGCCAAATATTACACGAGACCATTAAAGATAAATTCCTGAATAGTTCTAATATACATTATATTACGTACAAGTACAGTTTCAACCATAATTAATCACCAATTAAGGTACGTAAATGTTCTAGGCGTACTTTCTAGAAAATTTAATTTCAAAGTTGTATTTTATAATGGATACGTAACATTTAATCAGTAAATGACTTACGTAACGGAAAATGTATTGCTAACCTTTTCCGTTCTAAAATATAATGTATTTGAAACCTTTATCAGATAGAAAGTACATTTACTATTTGCGGAGGCAGTGTCAGACGAATAATAAACGAGATGATCGTGTAATTATTACAATTTATTAAAATTTTATATCGTTTTGTAAACTGAGAAGTGAAATACATTGTAATGGGAACGAACTCGAAAAGGATTTGTGCACGGAATATCGGTCCAAATAATACCAGGTACCGCTTTATTTTCAAGGCAGGTTTTATTTGGTGATACAATCAAGAGTTTATTTAAACGTATCGTGAGAGTAATGCAGAGATTTCTTTAAATTATTCAAACTAAAGCTTTGAAATACCGTTTCATATGTAACTGACAATTTTAAGATCGGGTTCGAAATGATTTTGTTAATTTGATTACAGCCTGTCAATCTATGATTACTAGATAAGACTGCTTCCTTTTTGAACGATGAATTAACTAATCACCCAAGCAACAATTACGATAGATAACATTGATATTAAATTGACAAATAAGACATAGTCATTAAAGTCCAGTAGTTTAAATAAAACCATTTATGTTATCTTGTATATATCAAGCATATTTTGTGTGTACTTCGTGATATATCAAGTGTCGTGTGGCTTTATCTGTAGCATTTATCATTTGCACATCGGTATGCTATCTGTAGGAAGTGATCTTAGCAGACACATTCACCTTGCCCATTGTGTTTGTAAAGTGCACCTTTCTCTTCTAATTTATTTCATCTGTATAGATCAATCTGTACGTAACTATCTGTATAGGCACCAGTTTCGTATATTTCGCCTTACTGACCGGTAGTTTAACCACAGTAAGACATCATTGTGGTTTATTTCCAGTCGAGGGTGAAGATCTCGAAAGTGAACTTGTGAAATGAACTAACGAAGCGAGTCCATAATCTGATATTCTATATGATGGCTAGTCTTACAATATTTGTTTTAACAAATAGAAAATATCATTCTTTCATTGTAATAAATAATTTAAAATATGCGTCGCTGTATTATAAATTTTAAGACTCAAGTCCAGCGACATCCGCCCACTGTGATGTTTTTTGCATGGAATTCTTAAAAAGCTACATCATCTTAACAGTTATTTGTACAGTAAAATAAAGAAACCAGTAAGCAGCAGTCAACAGACATGTCTCTTTAATATTAGAGGCAGGTTTAAGAGTACAATGTCTGACGTGTGCTGCATCTCATTGACATACATACATATATTAATAGTCTATATCTAATCTAACATCAAAAATATGGTGTTTATATTAAGAAATATAATGAAGTAGCCACTAATATGGTTTCACGTTAATGTTGTTTCACGACGAATTAGGTAATAATGATTGATACTTCCTCCACTGACGGATATAACCGCACAAAAAAGCAACTGTAAAGGATATGCATAGGTATAGGTTTCAAATTTTATAGCCGTGGCCGTATATTTATAATTAATTAATAGGAAACTATAATTTCCATTTGTGTCATGCAAATGTCTGTTTAAATAATGGAAAGTATATTCAGCCGTCATTATAATCTACAGTCGCACTGAAAGGTATATCCCGGTAGTTTTAATTCTAAGTTTCTAATTTTCTCCTCGCTGGGCTATTAAAAGCACTTGTCGCTTATCGACTTTACATGATATCTGACATTAACTTTAGATATATTTAATGACACTTGGCATAAATAGCCACTTCTATTTGATACTTTGTATTCAGTGGCCATTAATATACTCTCCTAGTGGCCATTAATATACTCTCTTAGTGGCTTATGTACGAAATTGATCGTATTTTATATAAATTTCATTTTGTACCATCTTTTGAAATGTCTTGAATAGTGTGGTGGAAATAGTTCAGAACATTCTTTCGACTCGGTTTTAAATCCATTCAGAATCAGCTTGTCCATAGGTATTCTTTGTTTATTTAGTTAATTAGAGTAATGCTAATAAAAACGATAGAAAGTGTCTATTGTTGAGTTGACTTTCGGTTTTGTTTTAATGCTTTTAATTGACACTTCGCTGTAAATGACTTCAGTTTTTTTTTTGTTAAGGTAAAAGCGTGACATCAAAACTATAATTGTCTTACGATTTTAATCTATGTGAGGATATTTCATCTTAATGTCATCCGCTATAACCGGTATGAAAACTTTTAACTCAATAGCTATCAGTTATTAAGATTAAAAATCGATCAACCAGCGACATTCATCTACCTGTCTATAATAACATGAAAACCACCTGTAAATTAATGTCATTACTCTTATTCATTACCTATAGATTTACCTTTGAGAATGTTTTGGTATGATTAAAATGTATGAGGGTAAAAAATATATTAAAGAACGCTATGCGTTAGGTTACTTTCTATTTTTAATGTAACGGGGAGGCTCGCTCGGCGCCGGCGCCACAGCCTCCAAAGCGATTGCAGAACATTCCGTGAGCGCATGCGCCCCGGGCTGCGCGTGCTTTAGAACTTATTGTATAACCTTGCGAGTATCTAGTGATCATATACTTTAATATAAATATTATTGTACAAGCGACAAGTAAGGTATTATGTGAAGAAGACTCAGTGTTAATGAATGAATTATAAGACATTTTTTATTCAGAGCGTTCGTTACAAATTCTTTATTTTTTATTCAGAAAAATAAATAAGACTTTGTTTGACTTGAAATATGGGTGTGATAAGGAAGAAGAAACGTAAGTTTATATTTAAATCTTTATAATTGTATCCACATTAATATTCACGTGAAGAATATTCTGGATATAGATTAAAATATATATTACTCTCATTAGATCCTTTTTAATTACTTTAGTTTAATATCCTTGTAATATTCCTAAAATCTTAGTATCTTTACGATCACTTGATTATATTTTTACAAACAAACCTGTCGAGACAAGACAGCTGTAGCTCGAATAATCCATCGATACAAATTCTTTGTCTCCAGCCCGTCAAGCATAAACACTTTAAAGCTATATATAATTATGTCATAGAATTAAAACAGTCGTTTAAATTAAACGGTCTGTAGCTCAATATCAATAGGACGTTTTATTTCTGTACGTATGTAAACCATATTGTTTCATTTGAAGGTGAAACTGTGGTAGTTGCGTGCGATGCGGTCATCATTGACCGAGTACTGAGGTTCATTTCTTATGGAGCGTAAATAAAACTTATTTGGAGTTATAGTTACGATTTTGATAATATATATATATTATGCATGTAAAACAATATATAAAAAACAATATCGTGTTTTCACCCAAAAAAGGGTTTCAAACTTTATTCTAACTGAATAAAGTCTTAAATTCCAGAAATATTGTCACTGAGATGTAAATTGTATGATACTTTAAGATTATGATGTACGTTGAACAAACATTGTAGTATATGATTAAAGCAAAGTGATTATTACGTTGGTGCTAAATTCGTCACAATTAGCATCTTCGTAAAACTCAGCGATTTCATAGGATTGTTCCTTTAAGTATGTGTGGGTATTATTTTGAAAGCGAAGTATATGTTGTTTTCGTTTGTAATATCACAGCTTAAATAAAAATAAACTTGCCATACAATTGCCATATATTATGTCTATATATTATGTCAAATTATCCGATATATGTCTGTTGAAGGGATAAGGTTTGCAGTAATAATCTTGAAGCCAGATGCTGCTCCGATTTTATACTGACAGTTGTATTTTTTATGAACACCTGTTATAAAATTCTTTAAAGTAATGGGCTCATTGAATTAAAAAATCCTCGCTTAAATTAAAAATGTTCTTTGTAACAATATTATCTCTAATATTGTTATATAATTGTCCGTACAAATAATTCACTAACCGTAATATTATTGAAAATTCACTGATGTATATTTAAAAAATTCCAACATGTATAGACCATATGTACATACCGTGTAGCGAAGTACACCTGTCTCTTGTACATCCTTTGAATCGAGATGACCAATGGATATACCATCCCTGTCTATTGACACTTACCATCAATTTATCAACTTTAAACTCCATAAAAACTATATAATTTTATTACCTTTTCCATACTTTTCACTTTTGACGTAAATCATCTCAATAAAACAACAAAAATCATTCGGTAGCAATAACGATTGTTCGAAATTATACACGCTACCATAAGCGTTGCTTTCTTCAGAACGAATCGGTTATTGCTAACATTAAAAACCGATAAAGCGATTTGCAATTTATCATTGTTATGTGATTGATAAATGGAATAATTTATACTTTCACTTGTCTATAAAATTCAATAAAGTTGTGTTCCTAGAACGGACTGTTTCCCGGTGAAACGATTCTACATAGATAGATGACGGTCACGATGCTGCGTCTCAACTATCACGATTCCGCTCTTGCATACAATGGATTTTGCTGTTACAGCGTTTAGTTTATGGGGGTGGGTGAAAGTACGATTGGCTATTGTACGGGCGAATTAAACGAATGATTTCTGGATATAATTTCATTGGGTTGCATGGCTTTATCTCTTCTAGTTGATTGTCGTGTGAACTGCGAGAGGTTCAATAAGATCGTTTATTATTCGATTCAGTACCGTCTCCGGTAGGGTTTGTGTTAGAGAAACTACGAATGTGTTTTATTGGCGGCGTATACGTACTCTAGTATTATGGTCCAAGCTGTAATTTATCTAAGAGGATGTCATCTGTTAGGTATTGTATGTTATTTTGATTTTAATAGCATATCATTATTAGTATTGACGTTTTTTTAACTATGTTTAAGCTGACTTTGAAACTAGAATGCAAATAATACAATATGTCGTCTGTCAAGGTATCAAGGGAAGGCTAGGTATACGTCTAAAGGTCCCAGTTTGACGCCCACAATTAATTGTCTGGAGACCTTGTTTATTAATTACGATGATATCTTTTAATGAAATAACTCATCTTTAATGTAATTTAGTTAGAATTGGAAAGCCAATGGAATGTGCCAATATGTGATCAAAGCCCGCCGGCTAACATTTATATCGTGCCTATGATGCGCTAAAAATATTTTCCTCTATTTATAAACTTATCCCCGAGATGACATTTAAACGAATTATGTACTTTTATAATTAATGTCTGCGTAGAAAGACTTCCCTGTGTCGATAATTATCGTGTATTGATTTTTTACTGTTTATCTGTTAAAGAAAACATCCAATTACTTTGAAGCGTAAGGAGTACCTATGGGTCTCTTTATGATTGTACATATATATGTGTTATATACTTCAACGTTCTATTTTATGCTGTTACGTTTGTATAGCATGGAATCATAATACGGACTCTATATGTACATTGTACATACATCAAGCCACTCGGTATTCAATAAACAACGTGTTATACATATTTATGGGTTATATAACTTAGATTTGTTATTGCAAAACAAACTATTGAATAAGATATAAGTATTGGATGTTATTATTCGATTTTTGTTTCGAATATTTCTTCTCTGTAGTTTAGAATATTGACGAAATTTTATAAATTTCTATTGTTTTAAAGGCGAATCGGTATCGGAGCGTGCTGACAGCGAAGTACGTATTGTGAACGATCAGAAATGTATAGAGGTGCGTATAGCACGGGCGGCTGGTGGTCTGGGTCTCAGTATAGCTGGAGGAAGAGGATCCACTCCATATGTAGGAGACGACGATGGCATCTTCATATCAAGAGTCACTCCTAATGGACCCGCATATCTCGCTGGGCTTAGGGTGAGTCAGACTTACGTCTTAATTCTATTGGATGATATACTACTTAAATATCCCGTATTAAAAACCTTTGTTGAGACCATATGTATACTTTTATGAAAGGTTTTTGTATTGATCACCGGATTTTTAAAACAATTGAACTAGCAAACATGTCCACCGACAATACAGGTGACAAATGCCAAGACTAGTAACATATTGCGTAGATATTAGACCTTTACCATATATGTACATATATCGCCTTAAAATGTTGTTATTTAAACTATTACATATATGTATTGAATTATATACATATTTATAACAATATTTCATTTGGTTCAATATGTTAATAGGTTTTCTAGATAGAAGCAAATATTACTATTTTTTATAGATACATACATATGTACAAGTTCTATGTCCTTTACAATCATTTTAACATATTGCTTATATGTTTATGTTTTGCATTATTTTTGTTATATTTATTGTCAGGTTGGTGATAAAGTGTTGTCAGTGAATGGTACGTCAGTGGTGGATGTCGATCATTACTACGCTGTTGAGGTTCTAAAGGCGAGCGGACAGACACTCACTCTAGTTGTTACTAGAGGCTCGCCAACATCCACTAGGTACATATATAAATATTACATTCTTCTTATAACTGTTAGATAAAGAAGTAAAACAAAAGAAGTTAGACAAATATTATTCCTTTTCTTATATAAGAGATGGTAGATAATTAATTTATGAACTTTTAAATGTTGATATAATTAATGTATGTTAAATGTTGTTTAGAACTCACAGTAGAGCCCCGAGCGGTGCAAGTCATCACTCAATATCCAGCACAACTGATACTGTATCTACGTTGGAAAATGGACAGGTATTTATTATACATATACATATGTATATACATATACTTAAGATTTTGATGCTAGAAGATTTATAAACGTATGTAATTGTGTATGACTAATTCAATATATAATAATTTTCAATCAATTCAGCCAAATTAATTCTATATACATATATATATATTGTACTCATGTTTAGGTACCCACCGGCCGCGGTATATTATCGAAGCCTCTCATAATCAGCAATCAGTACGCCGAGGAGTTCGAACCGGAGATGAAGGACACTGTTAGCAATCAAACAAACATAGGATACGGAAACAACTATCAGAGACTACAGGCCTCACCACCGCCTATAACACAGCCTTATGTACCACCAGGTAAATATATTGACCTTATAGTGAGCCAGTTTTATTACCAAAGAGGCTTTAATAATTAATTATTATTTCCTTTATCTGTCATGTATATTTTATTTTCTTCTTAGTTCTTATATATTATATACATACGTATATGTTTTTATATTGGTATACTAATTTATATTTATGAGATAAGACGCTAATAATCTGATCTTATAAACACCAATAATTGATTCGAGATATTGATTTCTTATCTTCCAATTACCTTTGAATTTTGTTGTCTTTCTTGAAGGCACTCCTTATTGGGTTGGTTTTATTCCTAATTTAATACTTTTTATTTAATATGATCTTGAGATTTAATTAAATTTATTTAAGTTTTCTACATATATGCATTTGTATCATAATACTGTATGTATGATAATAGTGTGTATATGATGATTTCTATGTATAATATTTGGTCGACAATGACGTCACCCGAACGATTATACTCGCGTTGTTTTAGTAAATATTTTACATATGACGTAATGCTTAAAGGTCATCGATTTATATTTGAAATTTCTGTTAAAATTTTGTATAAGTATTAAATAAAATTCTATTGCAGCATGGACAGGTGATTAAAGAAACATCGTTATTTATATTGAACACACACATACACATATACATATATGTATATTTACATCATTATCATCAAGGTCATTTTTGACAAGTTGATAATAATATGTGTTAAATATCGTACAAGTCACATAAAAAGTGTTTTGTATTATCTTAGTCAATAAATATTTATCTCTTATAGAGAATTCATATAAAATCTATAGGAGAGGTTCTAGTTCCAAAAAATATATACCACTCAAATGTAATGACTGCAAAGTTTTAGACAGAACATTCCCTTTATAGATGTTATTTAAGGATATTGTTCCATCTAAATATTACTAACTCCAATAACATCAAAAAATCTATTTCATTACAGTATAAATATATGTTTTTCGTTCATCAGTGTTAATAATGCTCAATACACGTATAATATAATGACCACAAATTTTTAGAGAGTACATACATACCCTTTCAATGTTATTTACGGACATGCCCTGTCTAAACATTACAAAGCTCATATAACCTTGGTACATTTCAGCGTATCAACAGAAAGTGTTAGTACATACGACGTTGATCCGGGATGGCACGGGTCTTGGGTTCAGTATTGCTGGTGGCAAAGGTTCCCCCGCTTATAGGGAGGACAGTGACGCCATCTATGTATCCCGGATAAGTCCTCAGGGAGCCGCTGCCAAGGATGGGAAGATGTTGGTCGGGGATAAAGTCGTCTCGGTATGGGTTATACACTTATATATTGACTAGCTTTCCGTCCGCAGTTTCGCCCGGGTGGAGTTCGGTTATATAGCGTTTCCAAGAGAACCTTTCAAAAGTTTGGGATAAAAAATATCATATGTTCTTTCTCAATGTCAACTCTGCCTCCGTACCAAACTTCATTAAAATCAGTTCTGTGGTTTAGGCGTGAAAGTCTAACAAACAAACAGACATACAGAGTTACTTTCGCATTTATAACATTTGTAGGGATTTTGACTTCACATAGATTCTCTAATTTCATTATTAATTCTATGGATCCTCTTTAACGTATATAAAATTTATAATACTATTTATACAGGGTGACTGGTGAATTACTATCGATATTTGAGGACGTGATATTTGACGATCATATATGACAAAATAAAAATTAATATAACATAAATATTAATAAACTTCTAAGTAAAGTTAACCAAAAGTTATGTAATTAATTACGCATCGTATGAACACCCTACAGATTAGGTATACACACACACTCACACAGACGCGGCGGCGGCGTAGTGTTGTATCAGCACGCCGCCGCACGCGTCCACACTTGGAACACTTGGAACGTGTACACACTTTATTTATTTATACGGAAATTTGGTCAAAAATTAAGTACCTATTTTTTTTACATAATTCGAATGAGAATCATGTACCGAGTATGCTCCTTAAATATTGATAGTAATTCACCAGTCACCCTGTATTTTGTTATAAAACCTTAACCTTTTTAACTGTAAAAAGGTTTTTATCTCCCATCCCGTTATTATATACTCTGTTAAATAATAAATAACACTTCATTTCAGATCAACGGCGTTGATATGGAGCAGGCGACTCACGAAACAGCTGTCTCCTTACTGACGGGTCACGAACGTTTCGTGAGACTTGTACTACAACGGACTATAACACAGGAACAAGGTATTATGATGATGTTAACAAAATATTACCATATAAATTAATACTCGGTATCCTTAGAACGAATTGGAAACGACAATATATACGAAACGTTTCCATAATTTTATTCGTATATCTACGTTAATATTATTATGTGAACAGATTTAGGAACGAAAAACAGAATACTTTATTTAAATTTTCGTCTTGTAAGGCACACTTTTGTATACAATTGTATGCTTTCTGTGTATGGTGTTAACGGTTCATATTCATTTTACGTTAATCATGAATTCATTTTCTCATGAATAACATATGTATTCACCTAACTGTTTGTGATTAATTCTCTTATCAAAATTGTTGATGTAATTATAATTCTGTTTTTATCTCTAGGAGATCTTATACCTCGAAAGTCAACATCGGAGGAAATAAAGGAACAGAAAACGAGCCTACAGAACGTGAACATCACGCCGACTCAGAAACCCACCGCCAACCACGTGCCACTGATTGGCAACCACACAGCACCACGCACGAACACACACGCACCGCAACCGAACACGCAGACAAATACGCAACCACACACACATACACAGAAACCGTTGATCACACAGACACACACATTCGCAGCACCACAACCAGCGCCGAGGAAACTAAGTCAGACTAATGGAACGGTAAGGCTTACGCTTTGTAGATACGCTTGGATTATGTATATAATAGTAAAGTATATAGATTATGTACATAGTATAGTAGTTATAAGCTAGGGTGACGCATTGTATGTGGGCGCTAGAGCTAATGTATTCCATGTTGACTGCAGGCGAGACCGGCAACTAACAGTACGAGCACGCCTCTAACTCCCGGCGCAAATAAAATTCACGCATCTAGCGACGACGTGTTCGAAGATATACAGGTAAGAATCATTCACGGTGACGGGCTAGTATACGTATAACACACGACGCTCACATCATCACCGCTTACACGGTCGCCGTCACGTCGGACGCTATCGTTGACGTCGCGAAATAAAGAGCTCATATTTCGTGTACGTGAACGTGTACGTCCTATGTGATGAACGGTCCTATGATATAATGGCGTGTGGTTAGCAACGGGCGATCACCAGCGAGGACTTCCAAGCGATGATACCGGCGCACTTCCTGGGAGGTGCTAGCGGTGGTAGCGGCGATGGTGACGCCCGCGTGCGGGTGGTTGTCGAGCGACCCCGGCAACCAGTGTTACCGCCTCCCCCCTCCACCATCGGCCGCGTCACTGAAACTATCACCAAGTCGACCTTCACCGAGACGACGGTCACGCGCATCACTGATAACAAACTCGTCGAGCCGCTCATCATTGAAGTAAGATATACACAATAAATGAATAAACGAATAAATGAATAATTAATTAATATATTTATGGCCGTTTAAACAATGAGGTAATTGAAACTTAATAGTTACATTTATAAAACGCTATGCTATTGTATTGAATGATATATTATTTTTTTCATATGATATATTCATAAGTAGATATAGAATTTTTACATAGTAAATTTTATGGCTACGTTTTCAGTAGTTGTTTTTATTGTGATTTATTTTTATTAGTATGAGCTATGTTAAGTAATTAATACTTTACATATATTAAATTTTATACAGCTGATACTGAAAAATATACATAAACAGAAGAAAGTATGGAGGATAACTTAGAGATATTATAAGAAAAACAATCCTTACTATAAATATATAAACTAGTACCATCGTTTCTATATTTTTAACAAGAAAATCGGTGCGACTTTTAGTGAATTACTAAATAGTTACATACTGACGACATCTCAGTATTATCTGAAATTACTATATCATTTGAAGTACTCTATTTAAGTCAAACCCATTATAAGAAAACAAAAGTTAACCTGGAGAATATATCAAATTTCTTAGCCGTATTCACAAGCTTATGTATGTCAAAGTAACATTCAGTGAGTAATTTTATTTAAGAGTGTAAAGTATATACCTATTTTTTATTTTATATTTGATTGTCCTATGATATTCCATATTTATTAGAAGTTACATACTCTTTTGTACTACTATTTGATGAAAAAATAAGCTAAACACTTGCAGTCCAGTCGTGTTAGTATGGAGATAGATCATAAAAAAACAGTTACATTCCGTTAGTAATAATATCTCACAAAATGTTTTTAAACAACAGTACAGTAAGTGAAACTCGTAAAATGTCAAATATCTTATATTTATTGCTCGAGCTAGGAAAGTGCGCGTTAAGGTAATAAAGTATTGAAAAGACCGTTATAGTTAGTCTCACTAGATTAGTTACTAGAGATTAGTTACACGTTCTCAGTACAATATACTAATGGCGAATTATTTAAAACAGTTCTTGTTATAAATTACAATTTTTTTTAAATATGAATATATTATAATGTATTCAGAAATCTAAATGAAATACTACATAATAAAGTATATTACAAATTATAAACTTTCCATTTAGTATTGATTTCAATCAAATAATAAGTATATTTTTTATTGAAATATAAAATAATTATAGACATGCTATTTACAATACAACTGGGCTATTAAATGTAGGACTTCGTATGAATGCTCACATAAAAATATATCTTTTCTATTTATTTTCTCTTAATATAAAATTAAATTCTCTTATATGGTTAAAAGAGAAGTTAGTTTCTTATCGTAATTAAAAGTACATATAAATTTATAAAGAAACATAACAATGATAGTAGCTTAATAATAATCGTAGACGAGAAAGTAATGAAGGCTTAAAGATTAACATTGACTCTGAAATTATAGTGCGGTTATTACGTATTATAATTGCCTTCAATACAACGTACAGAAAACTAGTACGTACAGGAAACCTGATATGAATTTATATATTTATTTATTTTGGTTAATTTCTTTTTAATACATATAATACTAGGCTTACCATTAAGTATTAATTGGATTGAATCCCAGCCACGAATATTGCATTAATTCCATAGAGAAACGTTCAATACAAAATCAAATTATCTCTTTGTGTTTTTTATTTTAACTAAGGAGTTATAACAGTTAATGTCCAGCCATTTTTTATTATATTTTTTTAATATTAAATTAAAATCATTGTAATTAAGTTCACGTAATATATTTCCTACTTGTCACCATGTCACTGATTTATTAACTATACAGGGTGACTGGTGAATTACTATCGATATTTGAGGACGTGATATTTGACGATCATATATGACAAAATAAAAATTAATATAACATAAATATTAATAAACTTCTAAGATAAGTTAACCAAAAGCTATGTAATTAATTACGCATCGTATGAACACCCTACAGATTAGGTATACACACACACTCACACAGACGCGGCGGCGGCGTAGTATTGTATCAGCACGCCGCCGCATGCGTCCACACTTGGAACACTTGGAACGTGTACACACTTTATTTATTTATACGGAAATTTGGTCAAAAATTAAGTACCTATTTTTTTTACATAATTCGAATGAGAATCATGTACCGAGTATGCTCCTTAAATATTGATAGTAATTCACCAGTCACCCTGTATATTTTTTTAATGATTGATTTGATTTTAATGAAACTTATTGATCTAGCAGACAGCTTATACAGCACATCTATATATAAGCCTTGTTACCTATTTAGTCCTTTAAGGACCACACTATGAAAGTAATATTTTGTATGAAGTCACGTATTTTGTATGAATTCCAATTTAAGTATCAATTAAATTCCTTTATGAATTCAATTCCAAAGTAAAAGTATAGTCGCATTAAAATCTTTAAAATTGTACTTACTGTTGAGGTTTGAATATTTTTTTTTAAATATAATGTTAATTTAATGTTCCATAAATTTGTTTTTAGTTAATTAAGTTAAATTTATTGTTATAGCAACTTTATTTTTTTCCTTCAAAATAATAAGTATCTATTCTTGAAATATTTTTGGATTTACTAAGTTAATGATAATGTTTACTACATACTCCCGACGTTTCGGCTACTTTGCAGCCACCGTGATCTCAAATCTCTTTAAGTATTTATTCTTCCAATTTAAACTTTGAATTTATTTAATTGAGGGAATACCTAATTTAAAAAAAAAAACAAAGTAAGGAGATAAGTTTGGGTAGCCTTTTTTTGCTTTTATACACCTGAAATGAGATTTTTTTAAATACAGAAATTATTTTAGTGTCCCATAACTGCAACTTTTTTTTAAAATCTTATATGGCTTTGAACGATACGTACATATTTGTATGTATGTATGGATGTAATCCTTCTATTCTCATACTTCTTTATTAAACACTGCTTATTAAAGTTAACACGGATGTGTATGTGACTTATTACTTAAATTTATCTAGGTACCAAAAATAACAGTGAAAGTTTTTAAATATTATATACTGTTTGTTTACATGACAATATAGTATTACACTTAAATCGTTACTGTAGCTTCATGGAAATAAGAGCTACTTTCCATAAAGTTCGGTGACGATATTTGTATGTTTGTTTTATTATATCGGCCAAATCTATCAATATAAAATTTGATATATATGTGTCATAAGCGTAAACTATAAGGCGGTTTCTGTTTGTTGCAGGATGTTATATTGGTTAAGGACGGTGGATCTCTTGGGTTCAGTATAATCGGTGGTACCGACCACTCCTGTGTGCCGTTTGGTGGCAAAGAACCAGGCATATTTATATCACATGTAAGTATAACTGATCTTATTGTCATGAAATTTTGTAATGTTAATGAAATTTTTACATAGTGATCCTTTATCTAATATTCTACTATCCTTGTATCTTAGCAGTCTTCTTATAATTGTTATTTTAATTTGAATTCAATCAGAAAAATGTAGATTAAAAAATATATATATCTCCAAGTAGTGGTCGAATTTGTAATCTCCGATAAGTCGTATTCATTTTTGAAATTAAAATTCATTCATATTATGTCAAAACTTGCATCTTCATAGATTGCTCATCAATACTATTTTATAATATTTTCTAGTCCTTTATCTAATATTCTACTAAACTTGTCCCTGAAAATTCTTCTTATTGAATTTTTTTTTTGTCGTCAAGTAGGAGTCAAATCTGTTATCTCCGATAAGTCATATTGATTTTGTTTTGAATTTAATATAATTCATATCATTAATGCTTCAATCAAACCTTGCATGTTTATAGATTAGATTATACTAATAAAACTTATATCAAATCACTAATAATACTTATATTAAAACTTGCATATCCACAGATCGTTCCGGGCGGCGTTGCTGCTAGATCAGGCAAGCTTCGTATGGGTGACCGTTTGCTTAAAGTGAACGGCACCGATCTTCCCGGAGCAACACACAGAGACGCTGTGCAGCTCCTACTACAGCCGGGCCCCACACTCACACTCACAGTACGACACGACCCACTACCACTTGGATTCCAGGTTGGTATATGTTATTATACACGTGACACAGGAATCGCCATTTGATATATTTAATTATTTATTTGTTGGATCGCCAACAAAGTATACACAAATACAACCATTTAAATTAATACAATTAAGATGCTATGTGCTACCTCAGTTACAGGCAACCACTTCATGCTGAAATAGTAACAGAGTGCATGTAGTCACAAAGTTAATATTTTGGTTTAAATACATTTTAGTTTAAATACAGTGCATGAAGAACAAACAACTAGAAAGTAAAATCATATCCATACCATACTAACAATATATATGAATATAACAAAAATGCTATGTCATAAAGTATCATTCGATATTAATGTATTTTTATATAAGTTATAAAAAAATTAAAGCTTGCTATACGTAAGTAATTTAAATATAAAGATATACGAAATCGTAAGGTTTACAATACCTGTTGTATATTTATTTGTTTTGGCGATCCTGTGTCATGACTCATGAGTGCAGTAAGTTTTGAATGCCAGATGGATGACGAAGCTTTAATAATTTTTGTGAATTTTAAGTCGTTGCATTGCAAGTCGATAACGTTGTATGTCATAACATAAAACACTGCGCAGTTTCCAATAACAGATAAACGATTGTCTCATGTGCATGAATGCAAGTTATGGGAGAGAAAAAGCGATTATGGTATCATAAGTATGTTCGAAGTAGTATAACGAACGCTTAAGTAGTTTGAAAAACATATATGTAGTGCATCAAATTGACTTAAATAGGCCGTGGCAGCGCTACCGGGACTGTCGCTTATGAAGATATTATTAATATGTATCGTTTGAGTAATATAATATATATATATTTTGTTCCACACGTGCACACTACGGCCATCACAACACACATACAGGGTCTCATTCAAGTTGAGATTGTTAACGCAACTGTAAGTGATCGTCAGACCAACTCGAAACTATGTGTTTTAAAAACTATTTTATGTCCCCTCTCCCGCCACGCCCCCTAGCCACGCCCCTCCCACTTATACAGCGTGTTCAACGTGATACATACCGCTTCCATAGTTGGTTATTTAAATCCCGATGTCTCGATTGTTCAGATATATAAATTAAATAAAGCTTTCTTCCCATTTTACCTTTTGTTTATGAGCAATATTAAGTGTGTCCTATGAAATTTTGTGTGGATTATTATTATAGCTGTACTCGACCGTTCAACTTGCATGCTTGTATTTGCTTTGCATGTTCTTGTTCTTGTCAGCATAACGAACAGCTTGTGTGTGAGTATGTTTGTGTCGAGATAAATTAAGGATTAAAATATAAATGTCGCAGCTTAACGATGGATATACTGAGCTTTTTAGAGCTGTGAATTTTATGAATCGATACTAAAATTGACGTTATGTTGCAGGAGTTGACCATAATAAAACAAGAGGGTGAAAAACTGGGTATGCATATAAAGGGAGGTTTGAACGGACAACGCGGCAACCCTAATGATCCAAATGATGAAGGAGTGTTTATATCGAAGATAAATAGTGGTGGAGCAGCGAGGAGAGACGGCAGACTGAAGGTATGACAAATTCAAATAAAACTATTATATTCATAATCATAATGTTGTTTTATAATATAATTATCGATTTGAAAGGAAGACAACTCAGTTTCTGTAAATCTAATATTTAGGAATATCTCATTAAACAATTTGTGTATGTTACACACAAAAATGTATGATTTTGATTCTAAAGATGATGTGTCAGGAGTCTCTGCTTGGTCAGTAAGTCATGATAATTCTTACCCTGAAAAACTTCTTACAATGTCCTACAACCAAAGCTTCTGTGTCCTATAAAATTGTATGTGTAAAGTTCAAGAACAATATATCCCTACTAATATTATAAATGCGAAAGTAACTCTGTCTGTCTGTCTGTCTGTCTGTCTGCTACGCTTTCACGCCTAAACCACTGAACTGATTTTAATGAAATTCGGTACAGAGATAGAGTTGACCTTGAGAAAGAACATAGGATAGTTTTTATCCCAGACTTTTGAAAGGTTCTCTTGGAAACGCGATATAACCGAACTCCACGCGGCGAAGCTGCGGGCGGAAAGCTAGTTAGTTCTAAATAAAGCTAGTTAGTCCTCAGTGACTTATCGTGACATTTTTTATGTAGATTATGAAATTCTTGAATATATAATTTTCCAATTTATGTTTTTTTTGCCTTGAAATTTATTACGTGTTTTTAATATAAATATCTCATATACGGTTTATGTTTAAGGCTGGCATGCGTCTATTAGAGGTGAATGGCATTTCCCTACTCGGTGCTACACACGCGGAAGCTGTAAACGCCCTAAGATCTGCGTCAGACGCCCCACTAACACTAGTCGTCTGCCACGGATATTCACGTCCGGAGAAGAGTACTGTGAGCATAAGATCATTTAACTATTTTATAGTATAACGCTATATTATTACTAGTTTATATACATGAGATCAAAATATTATTATAGCTAGATGTTAAATTTTGCACACCATGTATTACTTAGTATATAGTTTAGTTGTATCACAAGCTAGTACACGAATGCAATTCACACAGACGGGCAGTGAGAGCGGGACGGCTGATACCGGCGGTTCTCTGTCTCACTCTACCTCCAGTCTGGATAGAGACGAGTCCTTGCATCAACAACAGGTTTGTTTGACAAAAAAACACTGACTATGCTAAATACTTAGTAGTTTTGTTTTGATTTTTAACTTTAGAACTTAAATCAGTTTCATTAAAACTATTACTATGACCAACTCTATCATAGGAACAACATATCCGACAAGATTTAGTGGAGTTTGAACATGAGAAGCAAGTCGCCGAGGTGAGGGAGAAATCCACTCCTGAAAAGGTAATTTAAATGCTAAGTATGTGGTTCTATTTTCATAGATAGACAATTCTATCGCATAGTTCATTACTTAAATTGTAATAAATTTTCTTAAAATGTCTGTAGCTTCACATATCTCTTTCAACTTTTAAAACACATAAATTTATATATAACAACGCCTCAAATAAATTGTCATTGTCAAAATTCATTAATACATACCATATATATATTTTGTTATGTACAAGGTGTTGGACATAGTGCATGCTGTGGAAAGTATCGCCCTTGATCCTTCACCGCCCACGCCGGAGCCGCATCAGAAGACCACTACCGTCGTCATGTCTAAGCACACTCTGCACAACCAGGTATGTCCTTAAATCAATATTGTACACACGTCCATAGTGTACACGTTGGTCCATAGTGTCAACCTCTTTAGTGTCTTGAACTAGTAGTTTTCATTTTTTAAAACCATAAAAGATACTTTCTCCACATGTGTGACCACTGTGTTCACTTGTACTTTAAATGTAAATTATTGATTCAATTGAACAAATTATATTCTGTACAGATTATTAAATTGTTGTCCCAAATAAAAGTAGCTTATTTTTTTTCTGTCTTATTTCTTTTTGAGAAAGTAATAATAAAAAGCATGGAATTGAATTTATGTAGATATGTAGAAATATAGCTTTATTACCTTTAACATAATTGAAATGCACGTCGGTCTATCGATGGCATGCACCCCGTATAAAATAGCTTGCATGAAAATATTATAATATATCAATATAATATTTAATATATCTTCCAAAATAAATGTTATTTATTGTTATATATTATTTAAGGGAACGGTTATATGTGGACTATTATTTATAATGATATTTTGTTACTAGAATTTTTTATATGTATAATCTGTAGTGACCTGTATCAATGATATGCATGTTATCTTGTTTATGTAAAACTTAAGAACTGTAATGGTCACGTGATCCCCCCACTTCTCTTCTGCAGCATCAGTATATACTCCATAGTCGATGTCGTTATGTGCTAGTTAAGAGTTGTGACAGAACAAACAGATATACTGACAAAAGGTTTACGTCCATTGCAGAATGCAAATCCAGACGGAATGGAAGGGAACACATAATACATCAAACATCTGTCCAATGTATATAGTTTTTAATCTATGGACTATATTATATTTCAATTATGTGTTGCGGTTGATGTGTATTTATTTGAGATTTATTTCATAATTAAATGTGTGACAGTTATATTTATATGTATGCTTATGAATTTTTAATTTTATTATACAAACCACACAGTCTCCACTAGATTTCATGGACAGCATTTATCTTATTATTTAATTACATAATATGTAAAAATAATGTCTGAAATAAATATTATTTGTGATTTAAACCCATGTTAGATGATTTTATTGTCATTTATGTAATGTTATTTTCAATATTATTTAATTCTTATATATATATCATTTAATATAAGTAATAATTATCATTAGTTATAAAAATTAACTGAAATTCAATCCAGCTATTCTAATATTGTACCGATTCTATGTTCATGACAATATATTGAAATAAAACCACAATAATCCTACTCTATTATGTAATGGAGGGTATGTTGATGTTATAAATGTATAAATAATTGTTATATTTCTAAAAGTATATTATTATACTCTGTTTAATGTATAGATGTTTGTATGGACACCCTGTATCGTGACTATCCTGATTCTAAACAGCCTTATTGCTTTACCAATTAAACATAACTTGCTTTACCAATAGCCGATCAGTTAATATAATATAATATTAAATGACCAATGTAGACTCTTAGTGAACTGTCTAATGTACTGAAATCTCATCCTGATTCTATTTGAAATGCCTTTTGTATAACAATTTACATATATGTTAGATGTTATATAAATCTTTTTAACGATATATACATACAATCATTATTTACAATTGATATATCATATTGTTTCTTCCATGACGATTTTTGGATTGTGACTGTATTAAAAAAAATATGTCTAATGTCATAAATTATTATGGAATAAATGTAATTATGTTAAAGTAATTTTTAATGATTTGTATCTATGGTATTTATTATAAGTGCTTGTTTCTTGTATTGCTGTATTGTATATTTTGCTTTTATAGTGCTCTTAGAACAAAATGGCACATTTATAATTAAATGTTGCTAAGTTTTTTGAGTAAGATTTAAATCGTTGCTACAACGCTATTAAAATATGTTTTTGCTTTTTGAGAGCTATAATGTTATGCTCCTTTTTCGCTAAACATTTTTATGTCCAAACTAATCATTTATTTTAACGAAGGCGGTTTTATTGATCATGTTGTTTTGTGTACGTTTCATGATACTTTTGATTTATGTAAAAAAATATAACATATCAAATTAAAATTTCTGTAATATTATTTTGATTAAAGATATAAGCGTTATATTATAAAATTTGCCAAATCTTAAAACTGCCAGTTATTTTGGAATTTTACAAATGGAATATAGATGTATTTAATGTAAATGAATTGGCACCTTTACTTTGTATACAAAATTATTCTAATTGATCTTATACTTTAGTGTTGAATTTAAATACACGTTGTTTTGAAATTGGTGTTTTTATATGTACTTGTAAGATTTTTGTTAGCAATTTTCCCGTAACATTTATTTTGGAAGATTTAGTTTCATGCTTAAAGGTCGATTATTTTTACCCCGTTTTTTTTTGTTATTGAGGCTGTTTTCTTGCAAGTCGCTTTCGCTAAGTTCCCATAGAACAAGCACACATAGCTAAGTAGTATAAAAGCAGTGTAGTACAATTGTTGGTTTGGTTAGTCGTCTAGTGCGCCGGTTGCGGTGTCACCGTTGGGGGTCACACAACACAAGCCGAAGAGTCCACCCGCTGATAGTATGGGAACATCAATCGACCCACCGACTAACCCACCGCCAGTCAAACAGAAACCACAAGTGCCTAAGAAGCCACAAATGAAGCGAGTTAGTTTCACATCGGAAGCACAAGATATGACGAACGAATCGAACGAGCGAAACATAACGCATCTATCGCATGATACAGCCCCGATGGATACTACTAACGATGCATGTCAGGGAAATAGCTCTTTACTAATAAAACATCGACCCACTAAAATTGTGAATGAAACAAAATCAAGTATCGTACGCCCCGAAGAATTTATCATACCACCTCCGCCTTTATTCGCGACTAAAGTAAGTTTAAGTCATTTAGTACATAAGGCGGGACCTCAGCTAGACGCCCCCCTCATCACTGTTGTCCCTGAGAGAGTAGTTCTGCCAGAACCTATAGTTGCCGAAACAACTGTGCAGTCCAGTAACTCAACCAACTCACCAGAAACAGAATTCCCTCCCCCCGTCAACTACAATGCGCATCCGATTTTAGATAGTTCTTTAAGATTAGATAGGGATCCTCTTGCAGCACCAATATTTTCTGAAGTGCCTTCACCTCAAGTCTTCCGTAATAAATTACCGTCTAACGAGAGTAGTGAATACTTTGAAGAATTATCAGTTAGTCCTGTAGGAGAGCCAGAGCCACCGGAATTGTTGCATGCTCAATACAAAACTCTTCCTTCTGTATCACACGTACCGAATTCACCTTGCTACTTGCATCCTATGAGAGGTCAGTTCGATGACTCAGATGCTAATAACTATTCTTTGCGCGACTTACGAGTTAAGAACATATCACCGAACATGGTCCATTCTGTAACTTATCCTCCTTGTAATCCATACCCGTCTTTAACGACGGTCGCGGGTACATTCAATCCATATACTTGCACGGTCCCATCGAGGGCATCTAGCGATGAATCCTTCTCGCCATCAAAACCGCAACTGTCACCGTCATTAATTAGTTCAGTAGGAAAAGATATTAACGCTAATGTCACACAACTCGTTACGATTAAAGAGGAAGATGCTCCTAAAAGTGTTCAAATAGAAAGAAGAGTCCATTTTGGCGAAGTGACGACTGCGCCAGAAATTAATAGATTTTCAATGGGTTCCGAAACTGCGAGAGAGGGAAGTACCTCGCCCGCATCCACCCTGAAACCCTCATGGAGCAGCAAAATCAAATCCTTTGCCATCGGCGAGGTAATCATTATTGTACGGCATTACCCACAACACTCAGCTTCTTATGATTGTGTTCGTCGGCAACCCGTCTCGATATACTAAAACACACGTTATGTCATCGTTCCATACATACCATTGTTTTACCTCGTTACAGACATTAACAAGCATTTTATTATAGTTTGCATGTTTTTAATTTTATTTTACTTACTTTATTAATATTGTTATTTTGCATATAATTTTGCTGCCTACAAGGATTAACTTTTTGACTGCATGGGTGTTAATAGCCGGATATGGATTTTAATCATAGCTTGTAAATTGTGCTTTTTTTGATTATTTATTTTTAGTATCATCACTATATATGATATTGCTATTTTTTTGTTTGTCACGGTTTATATAATTAAATATTACAGGCTTCCCCACCTCAATCTGGTAATTTTGTGAAAGCATCTGTGAGCGATAAGAAAAAATTCTTTGAGAATGCTATGGAAGAAAGTCACAAATCATCACCCAAGCCAGGTAATTCAACGTCATTAGTAATCTCTTTATTATATATTTCTATTGGTTAGAATTACATACATATATATTTTTTGCATTGTCATGATAAATAGTGTAAGTCTTTTAATGTTTGAATGCAAAATTATTAAACTATATATCAAGTTTGGTGTAGTACTAATTGGTACGTTATTTAAGCTACTTATTTATTTTAATATATATTGAATATTGATATATCTTATACCACCCAGTTTCGACGTTCATACCCTTATGTACATTATCAAAATCTCAAATGAACTTTGTGGAATACTAACAACCATTCTGTTCATTTCATCAAAACTCCTTAAATCTTCCAGAGAAAGTATTCACATTCTTATCAGCGGATGAGGTGGAGAAATTGAAGCAGGAAGAGGAGCGGAAAATGGCGACGCTGTCCCGAGCTGAGCTCGCCTCGTGGTCACCCGACCGCCAGAGTGGAGACAGCGAGCATTCAGACGATGAACCGTATGAGAACGGACATAGGTAATAATAGGTCTATTTGTGTAATACATTCATATTCTACACTATGGGAATTAGGGGGTATTTTGTTTGGTACATTCAAGACTAGAAAATTGCAACACTTGGTCCTTTGTATCAATGCATAGAGATTTGCCAAAAGTAATTTGCCTTTTGATTTTTTTATATATATTATGTTATTATAATATGTCTGTGGATGAATTTCACTTACAGAAAATTTGATCTACTTTGATTATTGCTGAAAAAGTACAGGAATGTAGCTTAGCGATAATTTTGTTTTTACTTCAAAAAAGCTACCTCTACCAAAGGGCCAATAGGTCATTGACATTATATCGAATTCATTCAAATATTTTCAATTTGTAACCTTTGATAAATGACTTCTATATACATATATATGTACCTAAAACCGTTCCAGCGTTTCGTTGGGTGGTGTTTCCCCATCAGCGAAATCTCAGCGTCGTGCGGGACGCGATGGTTTAGACGCTGAGGCTCGCGCAGCACGACGAGCAGCCTGGCGAGCCGCCCGTCTCCGCTCGCTAGAACAGGTGACGACCGCTACCATGATATTACTTCACTGCGTTTACACTTAAGAACTTTGAAACGAGGAAGGTAAAAATACATCATTTTCCTATAAACAACAATTTGAATTGGTAATGACAAGGGTGACTTGGTAGTGGGGCTGGAACTTCAGTATAATATCTGAAGCCAAACTCCATTGATGCTATTATTCCCTGCCTTGCTCAGTTCAAGTGGAAACGCACCTTAACAAACGTGCTAATACTAACTCTAAAGTCAATTGTGTGCGAATATTCCAGAAGATTCTGGATTATTTTGCACCAGTAATATATAAAAGATGGCATGTAATCTAACTGTATGAAAGATACGTCGTCTATGTAATGCCTTCGATATCGTGAGTAATTTATGATTACAATCGCGTCTTAGAATTGAATGTAATGGGAAAATTAATATTTTAGGACGCGATTGAATCACAAAAAGCAATTAAAAGCATGGTGGGTCCAGCGCATGAAATCATAGGAGAGGTGCCGCCAAGGGATAATTCTCCTTCCGAGGTAAACATTGTATTGGTACAGTAATATGTATACACGTTGTTCTAATATACTAAAGACTTGGATAGAATCAAGTCATATATATGATTTAATTCCTTCCAAACAAATTTGTATGTTCACTCTGTTTTAAACCCAAACCTAATGTGTTTTTTACCTATAAGGTATTTATTAATTATAACGCTGGGGCAATCTCAATATCTTGGATGAGTGATCCAACGATGCATTTGATAATATATACAATTCACTGTTCACTAATCAGATACAAATAGCACTTGATGTCGCGCTTCGTAACGCGTTGTCCAAGTACGAGACTAAAACTGTCATTGTGTTAACTATATACCTGTCACTGGTTGGGTGTTATTGTCCGCTTCGCATAATATGGGTATGTGTATGTGAAATTGGCTTTGAATTATAGAAATGGCCCCTGCCTCGTATCGCGTTACGTACAAAGCCGGGGCCAATACTGGCTGTGAAGGAGAAGGAAAAGTTGTTAGACGAGCGAATAACACTACGAACTGAGGAATACGTCTGTCCGGCTACCGGCGAGACTAAAGTGCGAACCGTCGAGTACATTGAGAAAGTTATTGAGAAAGAGGTACGGGACTGTACGCGACTGTACGCGACTGTACGCAACTGTACGCGACTGTACCGTCCGCGATTGTACTTGTCTTATATACGCCGCTGTACACAAGCAATGCGTTTTAGTGTGTGGTTTCTTTTTTGTTATTTCTATGCAGTGTGTATTATAGGGAATATGCTTAGCTTATACGCAAATTATACGACTCTGTCTTGACATTTGATCGTTTGATATTAATATGACTTGTGACTGTGACTGTTATACGCAGATGAAGGGGCGTGCACATTAAACAAAAATTTTTGCCATTCTTTTACGTGCAACACCGTATATATACGCTGATTTAGTAAATAGTAGACAATGGTAGTATTTTAAGCAACTAATTTTTGTATATATGGTGGGAGATAGTGTATTGTATATATAAAAATAAAATTAGGTATAGAAGTAATGATTTCATAGGAACGGTAATCGAAGATTTCTTTTTATTGTAAGTTTTTTTTTTCTATAATTACACCGTTATTTAAGTGTGTTGCATGATATATTGGCATGGCATGCTAACATTAATTATATATTTGTCAGACTATACCCGGATTCTAGCCACGGAATCTTCACCCAACAAATGGTTTGTTTCGTTTCAATATTATATAATGCTTGATGCGATGATTTCATTGTTTTTTCTTGTTATAATCTCATTAATATGTATATGTTTTCATAATGAAATTGTTGCATTAATCTCGCTTACTGCTTGCTCTAAAGCCTACCTATCACACTGTAGTTGGTGTCGTGTTGCATGTTTAACTTTACATTTAACATTATTTTAACATTAATACCAGAACAGTTGTAAAAAAAAAAACATTTAATTTATCAATTTAAAATTTATTCATGAACATAATTCATGTAAATTAAATTCTGAAAATGATTCATTATGTAAATAATATGAATAACTTATTTTTTATATCATTCATACAGTTTGTTCATATATCATTAATGAATTTATTTATGAGAATAGAAATTAAATGATTTATTCGAATATAGGTGGAGACGACTCAAGAGAAGATAATATCATTGGAATTAACAACGAGTCCAAGTAGTGAGACGGCACCGGATTTAGAATTGGGAGCTAATCTGGAGGCTGAAGAATCTGGGGAGAATTCCCTTCAGCCAGATATCATACAAGTGGTGAATCCCATACTCGATGGCGGAGCTGGTCACGTGACCTCCATACCCGTAGGCCCCGCCCACAGGCTCACCTACACAGATAAACAGTAACGAGGGTTGCCACCTCTATGTTGTAGAGTTGGTCTCAACCTTCGAAGTTATATCGATTACATATTATTTATTTATATTCCGATCATTTATGTTGACTTGAAAAATTATTTGTTTGATAATTTTAACTTAAAGTTGGCAACCCTGTATCCGTGACAACGCTATCGGCTAGACTAGTCGACTTCACGTCGAGGATCAAACTCGATCGTAGATTTCTTCAAGGGAACGAACGAAATTAAAATATTTTACATCCATTTTGTATTATAACTGTGATAATAAGTATAGAATTCCACCGATTTTTGCTCTTATTATTCGTATGGAAATCGTTGAAGAAATCCACCAGCGAGATGCATCTACGTGGCATTTTAATTACGATCACAATTTTTTTTCTACATATATATGTATATTGTATATGTATTTTTTATCATTTAATTTTCGCGACGGAGATTTCTATTTGATCTTTGATAGTTTTTATCTATTTTGATAATAAATTTTTTCTTGATGTACTTTACGTATCGTAATTTTTAAATGTAACTTCATTCCGTGCAAGTTTTATTGTCTGACTGAATGTTGACTGTACCTGCTGACGAAATTGTTGAGGTTCTGTTTGGTATCGGATTTTTATTTAAACATGGCTACTTTGCCTTATACAAAATGTAAATAAGCACGACACATTGGCATCACACGACTTACTATACATTCATATTATATACTTAGTACAAACTCTTCTGTACATAAGTGTAATTTCAATCATCGGTGTTATTAACTGATGTATTAATATTATAATTTTGACATTTTATTTTTCTCTATGTAAGTGGTGCCTTAATTCCTCAGATGTAACTGTATTCATACAATTCATATTCATTTTGTAATAGAAGCTTATTGAACGTTTTTATTATAATGTAAATTAGTTTTAAGCGATTTTATAATAAATAAAATTTATTTGTCGTATACAGATAGTGATCTATTCTGCATTTTCATTGGATGGATGTAACGTGTCTAGTATGACATGTCCTTATGAAATGTATATTTACCTTGGTGATGATTTTGTAATAGATTTTGATATTTAAATTGAATAACAATTAAATGTTTTAGTATTATTGTATCGGATGGAAGAATGGTATAGTGTGTTCTTTATATCTTTTTAAGGATCTTTAGTAATGTGGATTGTAAACTAATGAAATTATTGTATGTTTGTCCAATAAATGGTTTAATATATATTTTAATAAAATTACATAATCGTTTTATTTGTAGGTTTCTTTTGCAAAAAATACTTTAAAATGGTAACATTTTATTTAAATAAAATTAACATAATTCTGACGATATTCTATAAGTAAAAATATATTATTTCTTCGGTGCTATAATTCCTTCCAGTTGTGCCTGTAAGGAAAATATCGGTTAGTACATTCAAATCTACCCAACTTTCACATTCTTATCTAAAATAAAGAATAAATGAAATATAGGAACTGGAAATACTGGAGAAATGAGTTCTGGATTCAAGTTTTTGTGTCTTAACATTATTTGGCTTTAGTATACCAAAAATTTTTCTACGAAAGATATACAGCGTGTTCTAAAAACTGTGTCAACCCTTGAAGGCATGTATACATATAAGCATAAGCTTATTATTAAAAATAGTGTAACTTAAAAAAAAACAAGCAGAGGTCAGTTACAGTGCATAGGCTAAATAAGTTTTAAATCGACATTATTTGGAAAAATGTTTCAAATATCTGTCGCATAAACGGTTAAGGGGCCGTATAGTCGTGCCGGCGCACGTGCGGCCATTCATAATATTATTATTATTTTGTTAGTTTTTCGAATAGAGATTTGAAAGTTTAAAAATTAGATATATCGATAAATATTCTATCGATATTTTCAATATTGCTATAAATAGTTATGCTTTTCACATTAAAATAATTTCATTTAAAATGATTTTATTAATAATAAATATTATTAATCAATATTATAATTTGGAACTTCTTCAGGTAAAGTAACTATGTTGTATTATAAGGATAAATCGTTAATCTACTTCTGTTTAAAATGGTGTTTTACAATCAAAAATAATATTATTGTTTGATTTATCAAAATAAGTATCGAAATAATGTGAATATTAAATATTTATTTATTGTTATGATTTTTTAAATATCGATATTTTGTATTCGAGCCTATGCCTTCTTTTATAAAAAAATTTTATTAGTTCCTCGTGGATATTTCTTCCGAGTGGATTACTTTTTGGTTGCGAAAAGATGTATCGTATCGTATCGTAACGACGATCTAGAGGAATACATATTCGATATTTTTCGACAGGACCATACGCAAAGCACGCGTGCTCGGTGGGACATCAACTTGGTGTCAACCATACGCGTGTATGGAAAGTTTTAAAGGAAAATGGCCAGCACCCGTACCATTATCGTCGAGTACAGTTACTAATTCCTACAGACTCGGGCCTAGAATGGCATTCTGCAGATGGATTTGGACTGAATTCTCGAGCCGTATACTTTTTAGTTATAGATAACTAAGTGTTATTTTAAATTGATTTGTAACATAGTGAAACGTATCAATATTTGAAAAAAAGTGGTATCAGTGAATTGTTAAAGTGATTAAACAATCAAAATAATGTGAATGTACGTTCGAGTTCGTCACTAGTAGCGCAGCAGGTGTGATGGCGCCATTGAGTCTCATCGTGTTATACCAGTGAGTACAAACATTTGGTTACTTTACATAAAATATTCATTAAATATCTAATTTTATTATTTTTTATTGAAGAATTTGTAAATGTAAGTTGTTTGATTGTGTTTCATTTAGGGGGTTGACACAATTTTTCATACACTGTATAATAATTTTACTATAATGTAAGTTTAAAGGTTTATCGTACCTTGAGCTGAGCGTTAGTCTTCTTAAGAGCCAGTAATTCTTCTTGATGTCTTTTCTCTTCTGCTGCTCGTAGTTCTGCCGCACGTCGTTCCAACTGCTCAGTCTTCTGTTTTAGTTCTGCACACTGCTTCTCTAATGACGAACGTTCTGCTTCCAACTTCGCAACTTGTTCCATTAGATCGGATTTTCCTTGTTCCGACTAAAACATTTACGTTAGGTACGTGAAAAAAGTGAACGATGAAAGAATTTATTAAAACTTGAATAAAAGAAATATTAAAGATAACCTCTACAATAAAACAAAACACAAAATTATATTTATTCGATTAGATTCCTTAACTCGTTGTGATATTTGTGCTCTCGCAATAAAGGTCTAATGATACAGAAAACAATGCATACCTGCAAAGCTTTCCTCATACCAAATGCAATGGAACTGCAATACAAGGTTTGATAGGCTTCCATTGTTATCCTTGCTTCATCACGTACTCTTAATAAGAGAAGACCTCTTTCACCACAGTTAATAGTAACCTGGTTACACAAATATTTTAAAATAATTGTATTTTAATGATACCTAAAAATACAGTTAACCATCAAACCTATGCTAATAATTTACCAAAGAGGCTTAGAAATTTAAATAAAACTACTATTTTCCGATTACTTCGCGTAAAGTTATTATTAAAAAAAAATGACATACTCCTGATGTTTTGGTTACTTTGCAGCAACCGTGATCAAGGACAGATGATATCTAAGATATCATTAAGCTTACAAATTACCTGGCGTATAAGTTCATCAAAACACTGAGTATAAAGTTGCCTGCGAACTGGACATATTCCCGTTTCTCTCGCTTGCCTTTGCTGTAGACGGGTATCCAGCATTTCTTGAAGATTTATCACATCTAATCTCGTTGCAGGAGTAGACGATATCTGATCGTATAGAAAGCAATCACTTATCTGTCCTATGGTATATTAAGTGGCTAAAGTTATTTCACCTTTTGAGTCCATATCTGTCCATCTTCTTCCCATTCTTTAGGTGGTAAAATCGCATTAAGTATTTCTTCAGTCTCACGTTTTGCTTCTGTAGGAATACATGGTTGAGCTATCGCACCGGTTGTTGGGGATACCTAAAATGTTAAGGATATTTGAAGCTTTTCATTTACATATATTATACCCACATTATATCGAATATCTGGTGTAATGTAAAAAACGAAGCTAAATTTGCTGAAGCAATATAATTATATGAAACAAATACATTTTCAAACATCGTTTTGCAATAACAATATTTCTCCCAACAAATAGGTACTTACCACTTTCTCGGGTTGTTTTGTTACTAATACTGGATTATCATAACGAACTAAGGTATCTTCAGCAGAAACTGGAGCTCTTTCTGCCATTTTTCTTATAGTTCTTAATGTTTATGTATAACACGTAGATAGTTTCACCTATGTGAAAAACTCAATTGTATCCTTGACAACAATGCGGTATCATAGCAACGACCATTGGAATAGTATTTTGTATATCAGATTAGTATATCTAGCGGAGAAAGAGATGAAATTCGATAGACAAAAGTAATACCTAAAAAGTAAGAAAAAAAACAATAACAGTATACGTTCGCTAAGTCCTACAGGTTGCTCCGTATTGTACTGTAATTGTAATGTAATATGTCTTGGAATATATACGATGCTAAGTTAATTGAGAAATTCAATATCTCTTCGGATCAAGGCCGTTTTACTCAGATTTCATTTCATTATCAAGTGTTTCCAAAGTTTCCATTACGATTTATTTGATTAAAAGGCACCTAAGTTGATTTATATTTTTTTACATATTCAGCCTAAATGCGTACCTATGTAAAACATGAAGATTCATGGCGTAAATATTTTCGATTGTCTTACGATTAAGAAAATTGTTTTAAAAATAATTAATGTCCTGTGAGGCTATTTATCCGGTTTTTTGATAAAAATAACACGTTATAAGCATTGACAACCCATAAGTATAAACTTACTTATTATTATTTTTCATTTTTAACAATAACTCGGACAAAAATACAAAATGCTTAATATATTTTCCATTACCTACTGTTCTATCAAAATATATGTTTTAATTATAAACCTTTTTTTATAAAGAGATATATTTTTAAACGTATATATTTTAAAATAACATGTGATATATATATTTGGTTTTCAGAACAAATAGCGTTAAATCCATAAGTTTGTTTTATTGTTTGCAAAAGTATATTTCCCAAATATAAATCGGGCTTTAGCTTTCCTTAATCGCGTCTATAGCTTGCGGTATCACGTAGCGCAAATCTAACTTATTGAAGAGACTCGGACTTTATTGTTATATAAACAGGATAAGAGGTAACCCTGGCCAAGAGAATATTGTTAAAACATCGTTGAATCCTGTCTTTTTGGCACAAACATCTAGATTATATGAACATTTTTTTCTGTAAAAATTTTTAGACGCGTATAATAAATGGATTTATTTAATAAATTCTTTATGATCGATTCATTATATTTCTTCAAAAAATTTGTAACTTATTATCCAATCTTATTGAGGAAGGAAAATAGATTTTTTCCGCAAACTTCTTATAAAGTTCAAAATTACGAGAAAAGACTTTATTATTAGAAAGTACTTATACTTACTTCAAATATTATCAATAATATATATAAATATATACGAATGTGATAACTGATAAGGAATTGATATCTTAACTTAACAAAAAGTTTTTTTTAATATGTAAGGAAATAATGAGAAAGTTCGGCCTTCTGTTAATTGTATATACTTTTTGGTTTCAGAACTACTGTAATCATAATCGGTGTTAATGTTATAGACGATATACCTCATACATAATATGACATAATAATAGGATCGTCAGCCAATTGGGTAATTCATGAGCCATTTATAACATTTTCTTTCCCGCGACATTGCAAATATATTATAAGGTCTATTCATATTTCTGCATTGTATCTGACTAGTGCATGTAACTTCCGTAGTACTATACTATCATTGCATATAACTTTTCGTAAAGTTTTAGTTGTAGATTTGTTGTTGTAAATTTTAATTCTCTGATGATGTGAACTTTAATTTCTACCTTTAATCTCAGTATATGATACAAGTCTTAATAATCACAGAAACAACTGTCAACAGTTCGATAATTCTGTAAGATCTTTGTAACGAAAAACAATCCTTAAAGTCGATTGTAAAGAAACTTTATAAAGATAAAATTTTTGATTAAATTTCTGAGACGACAATGTTGGACGATCTTAGAGATTTCTTCATAAAGAGTCCGTTACTGATTTTTTAAATTATTTTTGTTTTTTACTTTATCCGTAAAGTGGAATTTTATTTTTTCAATAAGTATTAGAAAAAAGACGTAACAAACTTTCCAGGGTTTCCCTATAATTACGGCTAAGGCCTTTTAATTAGCCTTGTTAAAAAATATGTAATTATTAGTGATTTATTCTTTGTAGCTTCAATTTGAACAAGTCAATAATTAATTAGGGTGTTGCTTGATAAAATTAGAAATGCTTTTATTTCAAATAAAAATTACTATTATGAACGATGATTGGAAGGTAATTTATTTTTTAAAGATGATAAGTAATAAATAGGATTCACACATTGTACTTTATGCCACTGATATGGTTCGTGTGTTCTAAAGTAATAAGCGTCATAAACACATGTGGTGAAGGTTGTTAATCATCTTAATGAATATTCACTAATCTTGAACAAGAGGTCAACGAATATGTCTCTGTATGTACTAAGTTGATATTTTGAAATATTTGTTTTTATTACTGATAAATATTAAAGATTTTTTTTATTATTATAACACATTGTATATTAGTTTGTTTGAGTAATAACAATCTCTGCAACTTAGTTTCGCTAGCGGGAATAAACTGGAAAAATATAGCTAATTATTTGATACTTAACAATAGACTGTATTCGTTCAAAGAGCTACAGGTATAGCAGTTCTTAAACATTTTTATATTCTGCACTGTGAACACGATACCTAATAGTCTTGTTGATATTTCAAGACCACTTCAACTGTTCAACTTATCCATTCCCCGAGAGGATACTTCACTTTAAAAGATGTCTTTAAGTGTTGGATCTTACATAAATAATATTTAACTAAAAAATTAAATTATTGCATACAAATTCACGATGTTACACTTTTGTATCATCGTGTTATGAACATCGTGAATTTAAACAGCCCGTTAACAAACAAATGAATAAAAATTAATTTCCAGTGATATCAAGAGTTATATTAATAATTTATTATTAATAATGCAGTACTAAAAATTATAAATTTTAATTAAATTTTTTAATAATATGAATATTGAAATTCATGTGAAGGAGTTTTTTAATGATTCAACAAAGCTTGTAAACATCGTAATTTCATTTCATTTTTCTTGAACAGTTTGTACCATAACAAGGGCTAATTCTAACACGGAATTAAGAGAATAGTCGTACTTAAAAATTAATGGCTATAATAATAATAATCAGATCTTTGAAAGATTTGAGTTAGTAAAAATAATGCAGCAGTGTATTTCTTAACAACCAAATTTAAAAGCATTCTATTTTAAATGTAACGTATAAAAAAAATTTAATGTATTTCTAGCATAGAAAAAATAACGTTATGAATAAGGTATTAACTTTAAAGGGTGGCTAAAGTAATATTCATGTTGGGATTTGTTATTGGCTTCGTTTATTTTTTATTTAAAAGTCAATTTATCATTATTTTAAAAATGTCGTCTTGGCTCAGGACAAACTCGATGCGGGGCCTTAAGCAGTTTCTCGTAATTTATCTTGTTATAACTAAACTAAATGTTGTTTATATTCTTAAATCCAGAGAGAATCGGTAACCTAATAACTTCTAAAAGGTGTTGTACTTATTACAAGAGAGGCTTTTCAAACGATTTCATTTTGTATAATGTGTTAAACCCTAATTTGTAAGTTCCCCTGAAAGTGGATAACAATTTTAAATTGCCAGAAAAAATTAATGAAGTGTAGTATAAGATGCTATATATCTATTACAATTTGTAATGAATTTGGTAATATAAGCTTACCTTACAATATTTAATAATTTAATAGGTTACTTTTAGTTTTTATTTTCATAAAACTTGTGATTATATTCATAGAACTTGAAAAAGTATATGGATTTAAGTTATCGTAGAGAAAATAAATATAACTAAATACGTCGAACATAACAGCTCCTTTATAACTTTTAATGTACTGAAGAATTTTCTACGTTGAGTAAATTGACATGCATTACTATTGAAAAATACATATATTGAACGAAAAAAAAATGTAGACCTGAGATGAAAAATAAATATGGGGGAAATCTATTTGAATTGAGTTATTTGACTTGGAATTGGCATCAAAGAGTTCGTATTACATAAATAAATTTAACAATATCAAGACCAATATATTTTGAACACAAAATAATAAACTCATCTTACAAAACCACTAAATAAAGAAAAAGAGTTACAAGGATTTCCAATAAATTATATAAAATGGATTATGGAAATGGTTTTATTCAAGACCTAAGTGAAACATGAATATAATATGTACTATATTCTGATACCCGTTCCGGTTTCTGAATCGGAAAATTTTATTAGGAATATAAATGATAAATTCATTTACCGAAGATCTAGTTTTGAATAAAATTTCACAGATGATGTTAATTTTAAATAAAAGTAGTAAAACAAGAAGTAAAATAAATAAAATATTATTCAGATTATAAATTTTTTTTTATAATAGTTATATTGTATTCCAATTTACATCTTTATTTTACTAAATACAAATATTATGTAGGATAGTTAAAATATTGGAAGAAATAGTGCAGTAATCGTTACATTAGGCTCTGAGTAACAGTTTAGGAAGAGAAACGATATTTCCTTGAAATCGGGGCAAAGAAAAATAAAAAGCACAATATTTTCAATGAATCCAATTACAAAGTTGCTGGGGCTGTCAAGCAGTCTATAAATCTCTGTAGTGAACCAGCGAAGAATGCAATCCAAAAACTCCTACTTGCTTAGTGCTAGTGAGCCAAGTTAAGTAATTTCATGAAAGAACAGAAACAACGTTAGCTTTGTGACACAATATTACTTTTTCAATAATGGGATAAAGTAATTCAAAGCAAGGTTTAACAGAAATAAATGAAATGTCGAAATTGATTTACAAATTCATAACATTTTTCATGCATTATATATACATATAATTTTAAATAGGAAAATAACTGTCACTATGTTTTTTCTTTTTTAATTTAAAGTATGGCTTCATTCGTACTGAAAGATAAAACATTTTGCCAATCTCAACGATTTTATTTGGACAAATTTTTATCGTAAGTTTTATTTTTCTTGTATTTTGTTTCATTAATAATAAGATATACACTGAC